CGGAAAGAGCGCTTCCAGCCCCGAAATGCGGAAGGATCCGCACATGTGCAGGAAGTGCAGCGGGCGCTCTCCATTCGCGAGCGCCGATGACCGATGATGCTCGCAACCCTCCCACGCCCTTGCTGGCTTGGTAATAGGACCAGACAAGTGCAGCCACGTGACCCGGTGGAAGAAAAACGCTCGGAACGAGCGCTTCCACCCCCAAAACGCGGAAGGATCCGCACATGTGCAGGAAGTGCAGCGGGCGCTCTTCATTCGCGAGCGCCGATGACCGATGATGCTCGCAACCCTCTTACGCCCTTGCTGGCTTGGTAATTGGCATAGACTAGCGCAGCCACGTGAACCGGCGGAAGAAAATCGCTCAGAACGAGTGCTTCCACCCCCAAAACGCAGAAGGATCCACACATGTGCAAGAAGTGCGGCGGACGTTCTTCATTCGCGAGCTCCGATGACCGATGATGCTCGCAACCCTCCCACACCCTTGCTGGCTTGGTAATAAGCTTCAAAAGGTGCTGCCACGTGACCCGGCGGAAGAAAAACACTCGAAACATGCGCTTCCACCACCAAAACGTGGAAGGATCCACACATGTGCAGGAAGTGCGGCGGACGCTCTTCATTCGCGAGCGCCGATGACCGATGATGCTCGCAACCCTCCCACACCCTTGGTGGCTTGGTAATAGGCTCAGAAAAGCATAGCCACGTGACCCGGCGGAAGAAAAACGCTCGGAACGAGCGCTTCCACCCCCAAACCGCGGAAGGATCCGCACATGTGCAGGAAGTGCAGCGGGCGCTCTTCATTCGTGAGCGCCGATGACCGATGATGCTCGCAACCCTCCCACGCCCTTGCTGGCTTGGTAATAGGCCCAGAAAAGCGCAGCCACGTGACCCGGCGGAAGAAAAACGCTCGGAACGAGCGCTTCCAGCCCCAAAATGCGGAAGGATCCGCACATGTGCAGGAAGTGCAGCGGGCGCTCTTCGTTCGTGAGCGCCGATGACCGATGATGCTCGCAACCCTCCCACGCCCTTTCTGGCTTGGTAATAGGCCCAGAAAAGCGTAGCCACGTGACCCGGCGGAAGAAAAACGCTCGGAACGAGCGCTTCCAGCCCCAAAATGCGGAAGGATCCGCACATGTGCAGGAAGTGCAGCGAGCGCTCTTCATTCGCGAGCGCCGATGATCGATGATGCTCGCAACCCTCCCACGTCCTTGCTGTCTTGGTAATAGGACCAGACTAGCGTAGCCACGTGACCCGGCGGAAGAAAAGCGTTCGGAACGAGTGCTTTCATCCCCAAAACGCGGAAGGATCCGCACATGTGTAGGAAGTGTTGCGGGCGCTCTCCATTCGCGAGCGCCGATGACCGATGATGCTCGCAACCATCCCACGCCCTTGCTGGCTTGGTAATAGGCCCAAAAAACCGCAGCCACGTGACCCGGCGGAACAAAGACGCTCGGAACGAGCGCTTCCAGTCTTAAAACGCGGAAGGATCCGCACATGTGCAGGAAGTGCAGCGGGCGCTCTTCATTCGCGAGCGCCGATGACCGATGATGCTCGCAACCCTCCCACGCCCTTGCTGGCTTGGTAATAGGACCAGACTAGCGCAGCCACGTGACCCGGCGGAAGAAAAACGCTCGGAACGAGCGCTTCCAGCCCCAAAACGCGGACGGATCCGCATATGTGCAGGAAGTGCAACGGGCGCTCTCCATTCGCGAGCGCCGATGACCAATGATGCTCGCAACCCTCCTACGCCCTTGCTCGCTTGGTAATAGGACCGGACTAGCGTAGCCACGTGACGCGGCGGAAGAAAAATGCTCGAAACGAGCGCTTCCACCCCAAAACGCGGAAGGATCCGCACATGTACAGGAAGTGCAGCGGGCGCTCTCCATTTGCAAGCGCCGATGACCGATGATGCTTGCAACCCTGTCATGCCCTTGCTGGCTTGGTAATAGGCCTAGACAAGCGTAGCCACGTGACCCGGAAGAAGAAAAACGCTCGGAACGTACGCTTCCACCCCCAAAACGCGGAACGATCCGCACATGTGCAGGAAGTGCTGCGGGCGCTCTTCATTCGCGAGCGCCGATGACCGATGATGCTCGCAACCCTCCCACGCCCTTGCTGGTTTGGTAATAGGCCCAGACTAGCGCAGCCACGTGACTCGGCGGAAGAAAAACGCTCGGAACGAGCGCTTCCAACCCCAAAACGCGGAAGGATCCGCGCATGTTCAGGAAGTGCATCCGGCGCTCTCCCTTCGCGAGCGCCGATGACCGATGATGCTCGCAACCCTCCCACGCCCTTGCTGGCTTGGTTATTAGCCCATACTAGTGCAGCCACGTGACTCGGCGGAAGAAAAACGCTCGGAACGACCGCTTCCACCCCCAAAACGCGGACGGATCCGCACATGTGCAGAAAGTGCAGCGGGGGCGCTCTTCATTCGCGAGCGCCGATGACCAATGATGCTCGCAACCCTCCCACGCCCTTGCTGACTTGGTAAAAGGAACACACAAGCGCAGCCACGTGACCCGGCGGAAGAAAAACGCTCAAAACGTGCGCTTCCACCACCAAAACGCGGAAGGATCCGCACGTGTGTAGGAAGTGCAGCAAGCGCTCTCCATTCGCGAGCACCGATGACCGATGATGCTCGCAACCCTCCCACGCCCTTGCTGGCTTTGTAAAAGGTCCAGACAAGCGCAGCCACATGACCCAGCGGAATAAAAACGCTCGAAACATGCGCTTCCACCACCAAAACGCGGAAGAATCCGCACATGTTCAGGAAGTGCAGCGGGCGCTCTCCATTTGCGAGCGCCGATGACCGATGATGCTCGCAACCCTCCCACGCCCTTGCTGGCTTGGTAATAGACCCAGACAAGCGCAGCCACGTGACCCGACGGAAGAAAACCGCTCGGAACGAGCGCTTCCACCACCAAATTGCGGAAGGATCCGCACATGTGCATGACGTGCAGCGGGCGCTATCCATTCGCGAGCGCCGAAGACCGATGATGCTCGCAACCCTCCCACGCCTTTGCTGGCTTGGTAATAGACCCAGACAAGCGCAGCCACGTGACCCGGCGGAAGAAAAACGCTCGAAACGAGCGCTTCCAGCCACGAAATGCGGAAGGATCCGCACATGTGCAGGAAGTGCAGCGGGCGCTCTTCATTCGCGAGCGTCGATAACCGATGATGCTCGCAAACCATCCCACGCCCTTGCTGGCTTGGTAATAGAACAAGACAAGCACAGCCACGTGACCCGGTGGAAGAAAAACGCTCGGAACGAGCGCTTCCATCCCCAAAACGCGGAAGGATCCGCACATGTGCATGAAGTGCAGCGGGCGCTCTTCATTCGCGAGCGCCGATGACCGATGATGCTCGCAACCCTCCCACGCCCTTGCTGGCTTGGTAATAGGCCCAGACAAGCGCAGCCACGTGATCCGGCGAAAGAGAAACGCTCGAAACGAGCGCTTCCACCCCCAAAACGCGGAAGGATCCGCACATGTGCAGGAAGTGCAGCGGGCGCTCTTCATTCGCCAGTGCCAATGACCGATGATGCTCGTAACCCTCCCACGCCCTTGCTGGCTTGGTAATAGGACCAAACTAGCGCAGCCACTCGACCCGGCGGAAGAAAAACGCTCGGAACGAGCGCTTCCACCCCCAAAACGCGGAAGAATCCGCACATGTGCAGGAAGTGCAGTAGACGCTCTTCATTCGCGAGCGCCGATGGCCGATGATGCTCGCAACCCTCCCACGCCCTTGCTGGCTTGGTAATAGGCCCAGACTAGCGCAGCCACATGACCCGGCGGAAGCAAAACGCTCGAAACGTGCGCTTCCACCCCCAAAACGAGGAAAGGATCCGCACATCTGCAGGAAGTGCAGCGGGCGCTCTACATTCGCGAGTGCCGATGAAGCTCTTTTGCAGGTACCCATGTGACGTCTCACGTGAGTGTCGTGGGAACATCCAAACACAATGGTCCGTCCGTGGCAACGTCTAGGCATGGACGAGGCATGGTATGTACTCAAGGACGACGATGCGGATAGTTTGGTGTAGTCCAGACGTTTCCTATGTTTTCAGGATGTTCCACACCCTAAACCATCTGTTTCCAGGCGAGGGCTTACATGTGTACAACTGAACGAAGGCATGAGCAAACAATAGCGAAAAGTGTTAACTAGCGCTCGAATGAGAGCAAGGTAAGGTACCATACGGTATGTGGAATGGGGGCAGCAAGGCTCAAGCTAGTCTGGATCCTGGCACTGGAATAAGGCTGATGGAGACCTGGTGGTGTACACTGTGTGCAACTTGGTGGTGTACAATGTGTGGAAGTGTCTTTGAACGGAAGGGAGAATTGAAATCTGCACGGCACACCAAACAATGGGCATTGCCATTATCAGTGATGCAAGCTTTGTCATCACCACCATGTTGATCCTAGGGAGCAGGCATCCTTCTACTGCAGCACCCTGTACGTTTCCCTCTGCATTGGTTTGGTAGGTACAGCTTTTGCAACATTGACGAACACTAAAAACAATACAAAATTGGACCTGGGGAGGAAGCCCCAGAAAGTTTCCACACACGACGGACACATCAAACGGCACACACTCCAAAGGCCTAACTTCAAAATTGTGGAAGGGACAGCACTGCATTCGCGAGTGCCAGCCCTTCGTTTGTGCCTGATGGAGTCACCATAGCATCGCCGCGTGCCGCTGCTGCTTCATGCACGCATGCACTCATACACCCATGTCATCTCGGGGTATTTCAAGGTGCGGCTGCCATACACCCACCTCACAGGGGGTGGCAGCACACACCAGCTCTGTCAGTATGACCTGTACACACTCAGTGCTTCTGCTTCACCTGTTGCAGCACACCCTCTGCAACCCTCTGCTGCTCTTATAAGCAGATGCTGTTCCTCTTCTTCCAATTCCCCTACTCCCACTGCTCCATCCCAGACTGTCGCCCCTGCTCTCACCTTCACCTTAGCCCACCCCAACTCCCCACCCTCCTTTCTCCCAACTCGGAATTACACTCTCAGCACGGCGCACCCGAGAATAGCTCCCTTGCCGCCACCCATGCCCCCAACGGCGTGCCAGTTGAGCAGCCGTTCGCTGGGGCGCATGAACATGGGCGCGGCAAGGCCCTTGGGCCTGCGCGCCTCCTCCTCCCGCCCGCGCCTTCCCTCCTCCTCGGGGTCCCAGCAAAACACCTCCTCCAAACCCACCCTCCCGCCATGGCCCCACGCGTCGCGCGCGCCGCCCAGCAAGAACAGCTTCCCCTGGAAAGCAACCATGCCCACGCCGCGCGTCGCGCTGTTTTGTCGCCCGAAGCTGCCCACGCCCGTGCTGCTGACGTGGAGCGAGGGGATAGGCCCGCACTTGCGCCACTCGCCCGTGGCGGCGTCGCGCACGACGAGGCGCGACTGGTGGACGGCGTAGAGGTCGCCGTTGAGCACGGCCATGGGGCCCGGGATCTGCGGGGGGGAGGGAGGAAGAGCGGGGAGGAGAGGCAAGCGCGGTGAGGATTCTGGACTGCGGTATTTCTATCTAATGCGGGTGCTCGACTGAACGTCCGACGTTGCTGCGGCAATTGGTTAACAGGCAGTTCTGGAGGGCTAGAGACTGACTAAAACTCTCCCCATGCGCCGCTTCCCTTTACTCTCTTCTCCCACCCGCTCCCCCTTCGTTCCCCCGTCGGTCGCCCGTGGCTCACCTTGCCGTCGTCGATCCAAGCGTTGGGCACCAGGTCCCACCGGTCGCTCTGCCGGTCGTACACCTCGATTGACGCCGTGCTCTCGCGCGCGTGTCCGTCTCCGTCATGACGTAAGCCCATGACGTCAGCAGTCGAGCTGTCGTGCCGCTGCACCTCCCCAGCGATCACCGTCAGCTGCCCCCCGAGCACCACGGCGCGGTGCCCGCATCTCACGGCGTGCATCGCGCTGATGCTCCGCCATTCACCGGTGTACACGTCGAAAATCTGAATCCGATTATGGGACCGTGGGGAATGATGAGAGGACGAACAGATAAACTTAGTACACTACGATTCTTCACACTCGTTCACGGCACAATTTTGAGGTATCTTCCGATTCCGATTGACCAATCAACGCTGAGATGAGACTCACCTCGGCGGATCGCAGGAACGCGTGTCGGCCCTGCCCTCCCGTAACCACGATGTAACGGCCGTCCAGCACCTCTGCAGCCGGCGAGATGCGCGCCTCGCTCATCGGCGCGCAGAAGTCCCAGCGCCACGCGACGGGGTCGAACACGCGCACCCGCGCCGTCGCGACTCCTGCACCGCTCAACCCCGAAGGCGATGATGACGTCACGCGCTCGCAGCCGCCAAGGACGTACATCTTCCCACCCGCCGCCACCGTCGCAAATTCCGAAAGCCCCTCGTTCTTGGAACGGCCGGGAATGGGCGGCACGGCGTGCCATGAGTGCGAGTTTGGGTCGAAGGCGCGGAACGCGCCCTGGTCGGGGTCCTCTGGGAGCACGAAGAGCCATTCCTCGACCACACCCGCCGCCTCTCGCGCCTGGAAGAACGCTCCGCTGGACACGGCGGAGCTCCAGGACTTGGAGACGGTCTTGAGCGCGCCGTGCAGGTGGCGCGGGAGACGCAGTAGCGCTTCGTGGGAAACCTCGTCGGGAATTGACGCGAAGATGGTGCCAAGGGAGTGATGGCAGGGATTTGTCTCGTGAAGAGTTCCCATCGCGTTTGTAGGGGTTGATAAGAAGATCGACGATGGTTCAAATAACGACACGTGGAGAAAACTGCAGCTACACGGCTCTAGAAACTAGGATGCTACGACCGATGGATGAAGAGTTGACTGCTGGTCCTGAAGCAAGAAGAAACGATGTGAGAAAATAAGGGTGATGAACCTGAGGAGCGAATTTACGGGTTGCATAGCTGAGGAGAAAGATGGAGGTCCAAGGCGACGGGGGGATTGCGCGAATGATTGCGCCAGATGCTGTGCGACAATCTACGGTAGTGACGTGCCTCGAAACCGCTCATCTGAACTGCCACGTGGGAGACATCGCAGATTCATCCACCTTTCGAAATTCCCATGAACCACCAACAGTGATTCTTGGTTTCTCGAAGGGAACGGAATTGACCTTTCTGAGTGCGAAGAGTCGTTAAATGACGCGTCTGAATGCAGAGCACACGTCACGGTCGAAGTCATCTGATGCGTGGTCCAACGCAGCTTCCGTTGTGATGACTGGCTGAGCGACCGTCTGAATTCTCTGGCGAAAACGAAAACCTCGTACAGTGCACAACCGACCACACAGCTGGTTTACAACCCTGGTTTCCCGCAACGCAATTTCTCTCAACCACGCGGTACGACAGGGGTCTGATGGTGGGCGATGGTGATTTTCGAAATTGCATTCATCACCAGCTCCACCAAAATCATGGCATCTGAGAAGCAGCGTTCCTGGCCAAGCAGGGTGGAAAACACTAGATCTCTACACCCTGACTCGTATCGTAAGAGAGTACTTTGGTGACTATGTGAGTGCCATACATTTATAAATAAATTACACCATTGGCAAAATCTTCGCAGTAACACAAATTAGTGTTGTTGTCAGAGAAATTGCGCCATGCGCGCATCCCTAGGGGTGTCAGGAACTTGAACAAATTGTAGCTTCAGAAGCTGTCATAGAAACGGGGGAAAAAACAGGGCACATTTGAGGAGGGAAAGACCCAAACTTGCACACTAGGAAACAAACGGTAGCACTCAGCACAGCCCCAGGAAGTCTTAATGTCAAGTGTGTTCATAGCTTCATAGGCCCACGCGCCACAAGCGGTTGCTCTAAACACATCTATGTGACGCGGTCCACGAAACGCACCCCATCTCACCTCGGTGGCGGAGGGCCTATCATAGGGCTCTATGTGGAAGCACGCCTCGAGGAACTCGCGGCCCTCGTCCGATATGCCCTCGGGAATGGGCGGGCCCGTGGTGGTCTTGGCAATGTGGAAGATGGCCGACCACGTGTTGTCCATTCCCGGCCATGGGTGGCTGCGGAGGGGTCATGGGGGTGCAGGCCGGGGGAGGGGGTGGGGACGGGGAGAGGGTTGGAGAAAGGAGTGTTTTATGACAAGTGAATATCGAGGAAACGAGGTGGAGGAAAGGCATGTGGGAAGTGAGCAGTAGGGGCAATGACGGACCCCTCACCTACAAAGGAGCACCCATCACCTGCCAATGACCCGACCACCCATCTCAATGACGGTGCAGCCGAGGCTCCAGATGTCAGACAACTACACCCAGCCCAACCTCACCCAACCTTACCCAACTCCACTGCCCGCACTGCTCTCACCTGCCAGTGAGCATCTCAATAACGGTGCAGCCGAGGCTCCAGATGTCAGCACGGCGGCCGTACCCCTCGCCCTTGATGACCTCGGGTGCCATCCAGAACACCGACCCTCGGATCGACTTGCACCCCTCTCCCACCGTGCCCTCGTGAAACGCCTGCGGGTGGTGGGGTGCGGGGGGGGGAGAGAGAAGGGAAAGGTAGAGGAAGGTTGTGGGGGGAAGGGAGGGACGAAGCAAGGGGGTGCAATCACGACAGTGCAAGAAGCACAGGCAAAACATCCAAAGAAGGAAATTGTGCAGCACAGACAGAGACACTTTGATGAGCATCTTGGGGACATGAGGACCTTTGCCTTGATGCCATGTGCAATGATCTTGCTGCAGCCCAGTCCCAGCAGCACATCACAATCGCCCCACCCCACCCCATTCGCCCCATCTCCCTTTTGCAACCAATCGCCATCCATGTCTCACCTTGGAGGCGCCAAAGTCAGCGAGCTTGATGACCCCATCGCGGTCCACGAGCACGTTGCCACCCTTGATGTCCCGATGGATGATCTTGCACCCGTGCAGATACTCCAACCCTAGCAGCAGCTGCCGTGTGTACACGCGCACCAGCGACTCGCTGAACTTGCCAAACTTCTCCAGCATGCTGCCAGGGGGTGGAGGGGAGCGAGGAGAGTGTGGATGGGAAGACGTTGGAAATAGGCCATAGGCCAGGCATGAAGGTAGACCCACACGAGCAACAAGAAGCAACGAGGGAGGAGGCCGAGAAAGAGTGCAAAGGATACATGCTGCAGCCAGCTCCCCTCACCTGTACCCCACGATGTGCCGGTGCCGCATCGGCTGATACAGCACAATCCCACTTCTGAGACATCTTCTGCAGGCATATTCCCTCACCTGTGCAGGGACCCCCCAGATACGACCTCCAGGAAGATGTGGATAGACCCGTCAGCCTCGTCCTTCTCCATGTCGATGTATCCGCTGGTGCCGCACGATCCTGCCTCTGAGAGACATCTTTAACACAGCCTCACCTGTGCAGCGATCCTCCAGAGACAAGTTCCAGGAAGATGTAGATGGAGCCGTCGGCCTCGTCCTTCTCCATGTCAATGTACCCCACGATGTGGCGGTGGCGCATCTGGCGGTACAGCACAATCTCGCGCTCCAGGGACGCGATCAGCATGGCCTTCTCATCGCCCGCCGTCGTCATCTTGATCTGCTTCACTGCCATCAGCTCTCCCGTCATCTCGTTCAGCCCCAGGAAGACCTGCGTGGAGGGGGGAAAGGGGGTTTGGGTGGGGTGGAATGGGTTGGAGATGGGTGGGCGGTGATGAATGGGGTGGAGGGGGGTTGAGTGGGGTTGGCGGTCATGATGGGAAATGGGAGGGGGAATTGGAGAGGACATGAGTGGAGTGGGAATGGGAGTGGGTATGGGAGTGGGGTGGGAGGTGGGGGAGGCAGTGGAAGCAAGTGGGGCAGTACGAAGCGTATCCACACTCTCTATGGCGAGCCTCTGCACCCCTTGCTATAACCTCTCCCCTTTCCCTCCTGCACGCCCCCTCTGCCCTCACCAGCCCTTGCCCTCATCTACCCCTCCCCTCACCTCCTTCCCCCAGACCCACCATGTGCTCCCCCGAGCCTCACCTTGCCAAACGCGCCCTCCCCCAGCAGGTCGCCCTTCTTCCACTTGAGCGTGCCCAGCGGGGATGCTGACATGGACACCGACGCCGAGTCTGCCAGGGCCTTTGCCACGCTGGCAGAGGTGGTCATTGACGTGGCACTGGTGGTGGCAGTGGAGGGAGAGGAGGAGGAAGAGGAAGAGGAGGAGGTGGAGGTGGTGGTGGTGGTGGCGGTGCTGGTGGTGGTGGCGGAAGAGGAGGAAGGGGAGGGGGACTTGCTGTCACTTTCATTCCCCTCACTGCCACTACCTGCACTCCCCTCCTCTGCTCGTCCCTCCATCTTCCCACCCTTCTCATGCCCTGTTTCACCCTCCTGCTTCTTCCCTTCCTCCCCCACTGCCTCTCTGCTCGCCTTCCCGTCCCCCCCTCCGCCCTTCTCCCCCGCTTTTGCCTGCTTCTCCGCACCCTTCTCCTCCCCGCCCTCCCCACTGCCATCCGCCTTGCCAGAAAGAGGCGAGGCGGAGGTTGTGGAAGGGGAGCGGGGCGAGGGGGTGACGGGGGAGGCCAGGGGGGAGGACTGGTTGGGCGGGGAGGCGGAAGGGGAGGGCGCGGAGGGGGAGGAGGTAGCAGGCGAGGAGGGAGACGAGGGGGAACCAGCACCAGACGACACCTTCCCTCTGCCCGCCGCGTCACCCTTCTCTTCGCCCTCCTTATCCCCTCCTGCGCCCGGTTTCCCATGCCCTGCAACCCCCCCTGCAGCAGCAGCAGCAGCAACGGCTGCTCGCCGGCGGGGGGACACAGGAGGGCGGGGAGACATCCGCCGGTCGCCATACCGCCGATGCCGCCTCACCCCGCCTCCCTCGCTGCCACTCTCCGTCTCCTCCTTCCCCGACCCCCCGTCGCTCTCGCCCTCGCTCTCGCCCCTCTGCCGCCCATGCTGGTTTGGGGAGCCGTCGTCGCCTGCGGAGGGCAGGGCGAAGGACACGGACTTGCGCACGCGGGGAGGGGGGCGGGATGCGGTTGACGTGCCGCCGCTGCTGCTGATGCTTCTGCCCACTGGAGTGTGGCTCCCACTCCCGCCTGCACCTGCAGCAGCAGCACCACCAGCACTGCCAGCAGAAGCTCCAGCAGCAGCAGCGCTTGCACCACTCGGGCTGGTGGCAGCACTGGTGCTAGCAGCATTCGCACCACTTGCCTTTTCAGCACTGCCATTTACAGCAGCAGAAGCGGAAGCAGGAGTAGGGGCGGCAGCTGCAGCCCCCCCTCCTTTACCCTGCCCTGACGGCTGCAGAGCCTTCCTCTCCCCCATCGCCGCCCTCTCGCCATCCGTCAGAATCTCCCCGCGCACTGAAGACGCTCGCCGCCACCCACCCGACGCGTGCGCGGACGGCAGGCGGGCGGAGAGCGGCGTCTTTACCGACACTTCAGTATCACTCGTCGACACCTCGCCCCCTCCATCCGCACCTCGCTCCCTCGCGCCCCCTCTCTCCCTGCCCTTGTCACTACCCAACGCACCAGTCAGCCTGAGATCCCTCACATGCTGCTGTTGCTGCCTGCCGTTGCCTCTTTCCAGCCCTACCCCCACCCCTTCCGCTGCCACCGCTCGCATGCTCTCTATGTGTCGCTCCCCCAGACTGCCCACTCGCAGCAGCGGCCTGGCGTCTGGTGCCCGCCTGCCCTCTGTCTCCGACCCATACTGTGCGTCCAGACGAAAGTTCTCCAGCTTCGACCCCCTCTCGCCCGAACCCCTTTCCACCGCATCTAACCCCACACCATCGTCAACACCGGTCCCACCAGAATCGTTGGAAGGCGCACCCCCCGCCCCCGCGCCTGTTCCTGTGCCCACGGCCCCATCTCTCCTGCCTATATGCCCCCCCCCTGCTGCTGCTCGTCTTGCCTCTGCGCCCGCTCTGCTCTGCGCAGCCCCCTGCGGGCCCAGGGGGATGCCGCCTCTGTGAGAGCCGTCAAGGCTGACAGACTGAGAGCGTGCATGCCTCCCTGCTCGCACCCCCCTCCCCATCAGCCCCACTCCCGCCCTCCCTCCTCGCCCGCCCCGCCCATCCATTCCCCCTCCCCCGCGGCCTCCTACTGAACGCCCTGCGGAGTTTCCCAGAGCTGGGCTTGCGGTTCGAGACCGCCGGACCTGGGAGTTCGGCCCGTCCGCATCCGAGAGGCAATCCGAGCCTCCAGCAGGGGAGGCCGCGCTGCTGGGGGAGCCGTGGGTGGGGCTGCTGGCAAGCAGGGGGGAGAGCGAGGTTGGGGAGGGCGAGGGGCGGTGGCCTGAGTCACTGAGAGTGCGATGATAACGCAGATGCGGCTGGGACACCGTGTGCGCTGGCCCCCCCTGCCCCTGCGCCTGTCCCTGCGCCTGTGTCCCCCCCTGTGCCTGCGCCTGTCCCTGTCCCTGCCCCTGTGTCTGACCCCGTGCCCCTGCTGCTGTCCCCCCACCAGCCTGCCCTGTTGCCGCTGCCCCCCCTAGCCCACCTGCGCGTCGCACCCCCACCCGTCGCCGCCGCTCACCACCGCCGTCCGTCTCACTCGAGCTATCACACGCCTCTCGCCCATCCTCCCCCCTCCTTCCGCCCCCCACACCGCGCACCCCTCCCCTCTCCTGTCCACTGCCGTGCTGCTCCCCACCCGCCCTACCAACACCGATGGGAGCGAGGGAGATGGGGAAGGTAGGCGAGGTGGTGTCGTCATCCCTGTCGTGCTCCCACGCCTTCTGGAACAGCTCCTCTTTGCTCTCCAGCCCCTCGCCGCCAAGCCACTCTGCGCCTTCCCCCCTCCCCTCCCTGCCGTTGCCGCTGCCACTGCCATAGCCCTGCTGCTGCGAGTGGCGCTGGTGCGGGGCTTGGGGTCTCTCGCTCTGGTTCTGGTTCAGACTGTTGCTGTGCCCGAAGCCCTGGCTGCCGCTGTTGCTGCTGACGCATCGTAACAGCTCTCTGTTTCCGCCACCGTCCCTGCCCCCATCGCCTGCATCAAAGCCAGTCCGCGCCCTCAGCTCCGCCAGCCACGCTGCGCCCCTCTGACTCCTCCCCCCGCCCCCTGCAATCCCCTCAAACTCCCCCCCCATTCCCCCATCCTCCTCCCCCTCCCCACCCAAACCCAACCCCAACCGTCTCCCCGACCCAGACCGCCCCAGCTCAGGCCTAAACCCGCCAATATCCCCCAAGCCTCCCTCCGAACCTCCCAGCAGATCCGAGCCTCCCAGCTCCCCCGAAAGCAAGTCCCCATCCTCAAACCCACCCCCCTGGCGGAACCCTCCGAGCGCGCCCGCGCGTGTGGCGGCGTCCAGGGGGGCGGCGGCGGGGGAGGCGGAGTCGGGGGCGGCGCAGCGCTGGTGGTAGTCGTGCAGCTTGCGGAAGAGGGCGCCGATGCGGTCCGACGAGGTCAGCTCCTGCGGCAGCAGCCCGTCCCTGTTGCGCGCGTACATGTTGGCGCCCGCCACCAGCAGCAGCTTTATTATGCTCCTGGAGGGGGGAAAGCGGGAAAGAGGGAAGGAAGGGGGGAGGAGAGATGGGAGGGGAGAAGGAGGGGGGGGAGGGGGGGGAGGGGAGGGGTAGGTTGGGGGCGGAGGTGGAAGACAAGGTGGGAGTGGTTGTGGGAGGTGGGGGATGGTGAGAATGGATGAGGGAGTGGGGACGCGCACAGAGATGGTTGGTTGCGTGCGTGCATGTTGGCGCCCACCACCTGCCGGGGGTGCAGAAGAGGTGAGCAGTGCGGTGGGGAGGGAACTGAGAAGCATTAACGGGCATTTCCGAGCTCGAAAACGCCCCCCTCCCCCACCCCCACCCCATCCCCTACCTCTCCCCTTCCCTCTAGACCCCACGCCCAAGTGGGTCTGAGCTATAACGGCCAGGGCCCCACCACGCACCTGTGGCCGGTGGCGCAGGCGTAGTGCAGCGCGGAGCAGAGGCGCGCGTCCGTGGCGTTGATGTCCGCGCCGTTGGTGAGCAGCAGCCGCACCGCCTCCTCGCTGCCCGCCTGCACCGCCGACATCAGCGGCGGCGACTGCCCTCCCTGCTCGCCAGTGCGTTCCGAGGGGAGGGTGAGGGGCGGAGAGAGCGCATTCAGGTGGGTGTTGGGTTGTGGGGAGAAAGGAGGAGGGTACAGCATTGGAGCGGGAGGAGGAAGGAGATACTATGGAACTCCCCGTTATGGAACCCCCCAATATGGAACCTCCCACTATGGAACCGCCCATGCCCTTGGCCGGCCGTGCATGCTCCCGCGCCAGGGCGCGCGCGTGCCTCACCTCCGCGGCGGCCGTGCCCCCGTCGGGGTCCGCCCCCCACTCCAGCAGCAGCGCCGCCGCGTCCAGGCTGCCCGCCACCACCGCCTCGTGCAGCGCCGTCCTCCCCGTCGCTGCAGCCATGGAGCCCACACGCGCACAGGGGTCGGGGAAGAGCGCCCCACAGGTGGTGAAGGAGAACGGGGGAAAGGAGAGGGGAGGGAGATGGGAGATGGGGGAAAGTCAGAGGATGTGGGAAGGTGGGCGAGGATGCAGCTGTGCGGGCAGGAGGGAGTAAGAGGGGGACGGGGAATGTAGGCACAAGAAAGAACGCCACAACTCCTCACACGCAGAGCGGCAGAGTTGCCTGGGTGCAGTGCGGTGAGAGCGAGCGTCACCTGGGTGCAGAGCGTTGAGCAGCGCGGTGCGCGACGAGGCTTCCTGCAGCACGCTGTTGACGAGCGCCGCGTCGTTGGCGTGCGCCGCCTCCACCAGCTTCAACACCGCCTTCAGCTGCACCCCCGCCCCGCCCCCCCCACTCATTCCCGCGCCCGCTCCCCCCACTAGTCCCCCTCCCCCGCCTCCGACGCCCCCTCCGCTTCCCCCTCCCAAATTATCGTCCGCGAACCCCAGCATGCCCGCGCCAGCTCCGCCAAATCCCCCGCCTCTGCCTTGGCTGAGCTCCCCCGCCAGCCCCAGGAGTTCCTCTGCGCCCATGCGCCTTCCCGCCCCCCCCCCTGCGCCCATCCCCATGCCGTCATCGATAAAGTCCAGAGTCGACGAGCCTACGCCGGGCTTCCCCACGAGGTCCGCGAAGCTGTCCGCTCCGCCCCGCCACGAGCTAGCGGAAAAGGAAGCCTGGGGGAAAGGGGGAGTGGGTTGTGCGGCAACGAGCAGACTAGCATTAAGGGCACTCCGAACCTGTAGACGACATGCCGGGAAGGAGGAACGGGGACTCGCTGACGTCGCATGGGCAACAACGGAAACAAAAAGAACAATCGAAAAAAAGCTACCAAAGCGAAAAGCGATGCTGCTCGTACCGGATCAGTGGACAGATCCGACCAAGCGTCCTGTCGCCCCGCATGACCGTTGGCGAAGTCACTCTCTCTGTGACTCAGCACCCTCCGCAGCACTCCCTCCCCTGGCCCCTCCCCTCCTCCCAGCCGTATGCTCCCGCCATACCTGCCGCCACCCACGCTATCGTACCTCCCCCCCAGGTCCCTCCCTGCGGCGTCCGCCAGCCGCTCCACATCCATGCTCGCGGATCCCGCGCCCAGATGCCGCCCCCGCATCGCCGCGAACAGCGCCTCGCTGTCCACCACACTGCTTCCAATGCCGCTTCCGATGCCGCTACCGATGCCGCTACCGATGCCGCTCCGCATGCCGCTTCCCATGCTGCTGCTGCCTGTGCCGTCCAGCGACGCCGCGAGCGACGACCGGGCCCTGTGGCCATACGCGTTAGGAGTGGACGACGATCCCGGGATCCTCGTGGCCTGCTCGCTGCGCTGCCGCAAAAGCTCCCCTTCCGCGCTGCCCAGCTCTCCGTAGAGTCCCAGCACGGCCCCACCTACGCTCTGGTTCTCGCCAGCGTCGTGAAAGTTGTGGTAGATCTGAGGGCGCAGCGCGGACGACACGGACAGCGTTCGGCGATGGTTGTTACGAGTGGGTCGATCTCGCGCAACCTCGCCGCCCGACGAGAGAGCGGGAGACCACGTGGTCTCCTCAAAATCGAAATTGTCACCACCGGCATCTGGCTCGTAGTTACTGTAGCTGTTGTAATCCCCATCGGCTTGTCTGTGAGCGAAGCTGTTGGACTGACCGGTGCTGCGGCTGCGAGGATACGCAGGAGCCGCGGTCAATTCCGCATCCCCCTTAAAGCGCCGAGAGAATGAGTCTGTCCGCTGCATGATTGCAGTCAATGAGCTACTGAAAGCCGTCTCGTCAAGCTAAGCATGACGCCAAGAATTGGCTAGCTGATGGCACGGTCGCGAAAACGTTGTGGCTACGTCACTTATTGAATGACAGGTAACCAGACCATTACGGAAGATACGGTAAATCAAGTTCTCACTTGACCTACGACAACCACAAATCACGGCAAAGGCTTCGTCTGAGCAATGTGACAACTGCATAAGTTAGGGTTGTTCAAAGAGGCAGCAAGTTCCGTACAACTTAGTTAGGTGGAACTCAGGATAATGGAAGCGACAAGCGAGGTAGTGGGAGTTGGTCCTAGGGTAACATCTAGGTCCTGACCTATCCCGGTATGGCAGAGCGGAGATGCTGCAGCCACAGGCATCTGATTTGACAGATAGGTTTCGTCGTTCGGTTCGGAGGCAGCATGACATGACCGAGCCACAGTCCACAGCTCGAGTCGAGCCCTTGGGAAATGTGTGGGGTGAAATGGGTGGTGTGGCGGGGCACTGGGGCACCACGGCATCCACCAAGGAGAACAACGAAAGTGAGGACGTGGGCAGCGGAAAAAACGTCTTCAACCGCGAAGTTCGTTTTCTGAACTTCTGACCGTGGCAGAGGTGATGCCATATGAACCGTAGTTGGTTTTCTCTATAGCAATTGGAGCAGCCCAAATGACTTAATCTCCTCAATAATGTTAAAGGTGTTCCAGCATAACCACACATATGACTAGCAGTATTAATCAACTCGTAGAGTATATGTAGGTTTTGAAGAATATGAACGCGTGATTTTTCCGTGAAATCCATTCAAGGTAAAGCTTGAACAGTTCCTGTATGTAAGGGCATTGTAAGTAAGAACGTCCAAATTTCATACCCGTTACATACCTTCTGCTGGTCACAGTTCAGCGATTTTCGCATGCTTTCTGTTTCTCGCCAGCGAGCCGTTTCACCACTTTCGTGCGCATCCGCCTCCTGCTTCATGTTGGTGAACTTCCTGGAGTCAGATCCGCTCCAGGCACAAATAGCTAGGAGATTTCTCTGTTCTGGCTGCTGTCGCCTAGACCGTCGTTCTTCCAGCAGCAGGTTACATAGAAGCTATAGCCATGAGCGGCCACGATTCGAAATATTTTACGACAACAAAGAAGGGCGAGATTCATGAATTGAAAGAGGAGCTCAATTCTCCGTACAAGGTGCCGTCTTGAAACCAGGATTGTTCTATGGACCATGGCGTAGTCGATCTTTGGTTATCATGCAGATGTAGGTTGATGTGCGTAGCATTGAAATACGATTTGTGGATATGTGTTGCAGGAGAAGAGGAAGGATGCGGTCAAGAAGGTCATTGCAGCCATGACTGTAGGCAAGGACGTGTCCATGCTGTTCACAGATGTTGTGAACTGCATGCAGACTGAGAACCTGGAGCTGAAGAAGCTTGTCTATCTGTACCTCATTAACTATGCCAAGAGCCAGCCGGATCTTGCCATCCTCGCCGTCAACACATTTGTGAAGGTGCCTAACACCTCATTTATCGAATTTCCTTAGTGTAGCGCCCTTTCAGCTAGCCACTGACATTTCTTTTCTCCAGGACTCGCAAGATCCGAATCCGCTCATTCGGGCCTTGGCGGTGCGAACAATGGGTTGCATTAGGGTTGATCGTATCACGGAGTACCTGTGTGACCCACTGCAGCGATGCCTGAAGGTACACGCCAACGTTATGATGACCTCTGTAACTGAGGTTTGGTTGCCCTAACAAACATTATTCTCCTATTTTTCAGGACGACGACCCGTACGTTCGGAAGACCGCAGCAATCTGTGTGGCCAAGCTCCACGACATCAACGCAGAGCTGGTCGAGGATCGTGGTTTTCTAGACATTCTGCGGGATATGATCTCTGACAGCAATCCCATGGTAGTGGCCAACGCAGTTGCCGCTCTGTCCGAAATTCAAGAAGGCAGCAGCAAGCCTGTCTTCGACATCACGCCTAATACAGTCTTCAAACTGCTTGCTGCACTGAACGAGTGTACCGAGTGAGTGTTTTCTCTATAAGCTTCGTATCCGACTGCAAAGTTGCTCATGAGTCTAACGAGCGACTTGTGCCGTGACCTCAGGTGGGGACAGGTTTTCATCTTGGATTCACTTTCCAAATACAAAGCACGTGATGCTCGTGAAGCCGAGGGGATTGTGGAACGCGTTACTCCTCGCTTGCAGCATGCGAACTCAGCCGTTGTCCTTTCTGCTGTTAAGGTGCGTTTTCTGGTCCTTGTTGTCGCGCTAAGTCTCTCTTTCTGCCTGGTTATGAACGAAGTTCTCAAAATGTACGCTGCGTTGATCAGGTCATTTTGTTGCAAATGGAGCTTATCACAAGCACTGACTTGATACGGAACCTTAGCAAGAAGATGGCACCTCCGATGGTCACGCTTCTTTCGTCAGAGCCTGAGATTCAGTATGTGGCTCTGCGAAACATCAACCTCGTCGTGCAAAAGCGGCCATCGATTCTTGCACATGAAATCAAGGTTTGTGAAGCCAGTTGAGAAGTCCTAAGTATTGCTGGTGAAGTACTCCCACTAATTCCTTGCGTCATTCTTTAGGTTTTCTTTTGCAAGTATAATGACCCTATTTACGTGAAGATGGAGAAGCTTGAGATCATGATTCGCCTCGCATCTGAAAGAAACATTGATCAGGTATTTGCTTTCATTTTTTTGTCTCGCTATCCATGTAGTTACAGTCAGTGTACTTAGCATTAATTGGTGAATCTGGCTGTCAGGTGCTGCTCGAGTTCAAGGAGTATGCAACTGAGGTGGATGTGGACTTCGTTAGGAAAGCTGTTCGTGCTATCGGCCGGTGTGCCATCAAGCTTGAGAAGGCTGCAGAGCGATGCATCAATGTCCTCTTGGACCTTATCAAGATCAAGGTCAATTACGTCGTCCAAGAGGCGATTGTTGTGATCAAGGACATTTTCCGCAGATATCCGAACACGTAAGTGAAGCAATTTAATGTTGGGTGACTTGTTTGTCATACACCCACTAATAACTGGTTATTCATGCTGCCTATTCGAGCAGGTATGAATCCATTATCGCAACACTCTGTGAAAGCTTAGACAACCTGGATGAACCAGAGGCGAAGGTACAGATGGCTATTCGTCATGATTTTTGTTGAATGCAACTTGGTGCATCGCATCTCACGTGGCCATTGCATTATGCAGGCGTCGATGATATGGATCATTGGAGAGTATGCTGAGCGTATTGACAATGCCGATGAACTTTTGGAAGGTTTCTTGGAAACCTTTTTGGAGGAGCCCTCACAGGTTCAGCTGCAATTGTTGACAGCAGCAGTAAAGCTCTTCTTGAAGAAGCCAACAGAGGGGCCACAACAGATGATTCAGGAAAGTCGGTTCCAGTCTTGGTTCGCTGTATGTTGCAGCTTTTGTTGTTATTATTACTGAGGCTTCTTATTGTTCTGCAGACGGTTCTCAACAACGCAACCCAAGAGACGGACAATCCTGACCTTCGAGATCGTGCTTATGTGTACTGGAGGCTTCTCTCGACCGACCCTGAAGCAGCAAAAGACATCGTCCTTGCAGAGAAGCCAACTATCAGTGACGAGGTTTCCGGGCTAGACCCAGATTTGCTGGCTGAACTCCTTCGAAACATTGCAACCTTGTCGTCTGTCTATCAGAAGCCTCCTTCAGCCTTTGTCTCTCGTCTCCGCTCTGCTGTGCCAGCATCAGCAACTGAGCCGTCTGAAGAGTATGAAGAGTCATCTGCTCCTGTTTCAGGAGGAGCTCCTCCTTCAGCTGCACCACCAGCTGCTCCTGCTCCATCCCCTGCTCCTGCTGCTCCTGCTCCTGCAGCTGCTTCTGCCCCACCTGACCTTCTTGGTGACCTTATGGGTCTGGATGCTGCCATAGTTCCTGTGCCTGAGGCGCCTTCTGGGTAAGGCTTTCTCTGCTTTCCACATGTAGCTCCTGGATGTTCCTGTTCAGTTGTCATACTGGGCTGGTTGTCTAATCGACTTTGTTTTTCATGCAGACCTTCTCTTCCAGTTCTTCTAGCAGCGTCAGCTGGGCAAGGGCTGCAGATCAATGGTCAACTGGAGCGCAAGGATGGCCAGGTGGTTTACCGTGTCAAGCTTGACAACAACTCCAGCACAGCTTTGGATGGCTTTATGATGCAGCTGAATAAAAACTCCTTTGGCATATCTGCTCCAGCTGGCGTTTTACCTGTAAGACATGTATCCAAGATAAATTTTGCTGGACGTTGGTAGTCTTGTCTTGTGTTGATGTTTGTGTGTTTACCTAATTGCAGGTGCCACCTCTGCAACCAGGTGCATCAGCAACAGCTGACCTGCCATTGACCCTCTTTCAAAACGCGTCTCCTCCTCCTCCATCGTCAGTCCTCCAAGTTGCGGTGAAGAACAATCAGCAGCCAGTTTGGTATTTCACTGACAAAATCAGGGTGCAGGCATTCTTTACTGAAGAAGGGCGCATGGAACGTGGAGTGTTCCTTGAGGTGAGCATGTCAAAGTGTGGTCGAAAATGTTTTTCTTTTGCATTGCTCTCGCTGGGAAATGTAATGCTGCTGTTGGCTGGCAGTCGAGGTGGGTTGGGTGTTGATAATTTACTCATCTCCATACGCCCCTTGTCCTGATCCACAGACATGGAAGGCGCTTCCGGATTCCAACGAGGTATCCCGTGATTTGGGCATAACAATCGGGAACATTGACTCTGTCTCAGAAAAGCTGGCCTCCAACAACGTCTTCTTTGTGGCGAAGCGACACCTCAAGGACACCAACCAACACATCCTTTACCTTTCGGCAAAGCTGGCCCCGTCCATCCCCATTCTTCTGGAGATCACGTTCTTGCTCGGTGTTGCTGGCACGAAGTGTGCCATCAAGACACCAAGTCCTGAGTGGGCACCTCTTGTCTTCGAGGCAGTTGAGAACATTCTCCAGTAAATCGGTGTCTGGGTCTGTATTTGACATTCTAACTACGGTAGCTTTTCCAAATTATGCTACCTCGCTAAGGTAGTTCTGAGCAGCTGGTGGATAATAGTAATGCCAGTACTTGGTGTTTAGGAATGTGCGTACTATGTGAGTTGATGTTTTCAGCACCAAGGGACTTGGGCAAATTTCCTAAACAGTGGGATAAATAAAAACTCTATCCAGATACATTTTAGATATCAAAGAAACCATGTCTGGATGGTGTAGTCGGTTATCACGCCAGTCTCACACACTGGAGGTCTCCGGTTCGATTCCGGGTTCAAAAATCCCTTTCTTTTCGTGTTGTTCCGTTTCTCCTTTTAGTTGCATGACGTGAAGCCATTACACGCTAACACGTGGATGTCACTTCCGTTGCAGCTTTTTTTCTGAAGACTCCAGGGTTCCGTTCGCCCTCAATCAACGTGTCTCGACATTTGGTTCCCCTGCGGAGCATTTCTTGTCCGCGCAAGAATGCTGTACCGCTTTGAGGGGTGTATGCTTCAGTGTGTGGGGATACGGCGCCATGGCACGTGGCCAGGTAACTTGAGCACAAGAGGTCTACGCCAGTTCAAGGAGGGCGGGGTTGAGTGCGTAGTAAGTGGGTAGGAGGGGAAAAGGAGAAGAAACGTTACTTACTCCGAGTGTGCGCTCACTAAGCAAGTGGCGGGAATTGCACGTCTCGCAGCAGTTGCGCTGCACGTGTAATTTTACTGACCTGAGCGGAATCTTTACCAGAAAATAATAGTTCATTAGGTTCAGTAATCGACCTAGCAGCAGCAGAAGCTCAGAGGAGAGCGACATGGCGATCTGTGCAGCGTCTGGCGCGCGGGCGACGACGATAGCGGTGGTGGGCGACTGCATGCTGGGTCGCCTGGTGAACCACCTTCTGCTGCGACGAGGCAAGGCCGTGCTTCGGAGCGCGGATGAGCGCATCGACCAGCACGCCTGTGCCCTTGCAGCTGTGAGATCGTCGTGCCACACCCTCGCCTCACGCTTGCAAATCCCTCTCCTCTCCATTCGTATCTCTCTGCTCTCCACCTCACTTCTCTGCACCTCGTCTTACCCACGTTCTGTTATAAGACACCCTACTCACCCACTGCACCTCACCCAACCTCGCCCTCGCATCAGGCATGGCAGGCAGAGCAAGGTGCTGACGAGGATACTGCACGCATACCTGAAAGCTTCTGGCCCGACACTTCAGCGGGCTCATCTGCAACCACGTCAGCAGCTGCAGACACGTCAGCAGGGTACATTTGGGATGGCTGGTTGCCGCTGCTACGGGCGGCTGACTGCCGGATTGCAAATTTGGAAACGAGTGTGACACGTCATCGCGACAAGTGGCCGAATCAGGCGTTCAACTTCAGAATGCACCCGGTCAACATCGATGCGCTCACTGTAGCTGGGTACGGCCTCTCAACCTATCAACATGAATGCATGCCGAAAAGTGTCTCGGCATGCTAGTGATATCTACAAGAATCCGCTCCGTGCCCCGGCTCATCTCATTCTCGATCATGACTCCCTCCTTGTGTATTCCGCTTTCACCATTCCCCCACCATTCCCCCACCATTCCCCCACCATTCCCCCACCATTCCCCCACCATTCCCCCACCATTCCCCCACCATTCCCCCACCATTCCCCCACCATTCCCCCACCGTTCCCCCACCGTTCCCCCACCGTTCCCCCACCGTTCCCCCACCATTCCCCCACCCTTCCCCCATCATTCCCCCACCATTCCCCCATCATTCCCCCACCATTCCCCCACCATTCCCCCACCATTCCCCCACCAGTCCCCCACCATTCCCCCACCATTCCCCCACCATTCCCCCACCGTTCCCCCACCATTCCCCCACCATTCCCCCACCAATCCCCCACCAACCCCCCACCAACCCCCCAGGATTGACTTCTGCTCACTGGCCAACAACCACGTGCGAGACCATGGAGAGCCTGACACGTGTCAGCACTCGATTCGCTGGCTGTGGGCGGAATCTGGCTGAGGCATCAGCGCCGGCGTTCATCACGGTGTGTGTGTGTGCGTGCGCACATCTGCGTCCGGGAACCCAGTGGCATGTCACGTGTCACGTTGTTCCTGGAATTGAATTGGTCTTTTTGTTTTTTGTCAGCAGAGCTAAGCAGTTTTTGCATTCCTCCCAAACCCCCTCCTTCTTTTCCTCTCTTTCCCTGCTTCTCTCCACCACACTCTGCCTGCCATCCTGCTTCTTGAATCCGCAATCAGCTCCGCGGTGGCAACAGCTCGCTGCCGCCCATCCAGCTGGCACTGTTCAGTGCTGCCGACCACTTCAAGTTCTGGGCGGCTACTGAAGATTCGCCTGGAATCCACCTGATAGACCCTGAGAGGTGGGAACTGGGTTCATTTAAGTCGGTTAAGATACTTCACGCTGCATACAACATCTCATGATCACGCATGACATATGCCTCTCTCAATGGTATCTGACAGCGTTATGTTGCATTGCTTCACTTGCTTTGCCCTTTCATCTTTTTCCACCTGTACCTTTCGTTCCGCTTTCTCACTTAAGAACCCTTCTTTCATTCCCTCTCAGTCTCTCTCTCTCACCCTTTCCTTCCTCATTCGTCTCCCCTGCCACCCCTCTCCACCGTGCCCAGAGTGACCGATGCGGACCTGCACCGCATCGCTGGCCTTGTGGTAGCGGCAAAAAATAGCACTCACACGAGCACTGCCGGAGAACCGCCACCCTCAGCAGCAGCTTCAGCAACAGCCGCAGCAGCAGCAGCAGCAGCAGTACAACCGCCACCACCACCACGAGAAGCAGCAGCAGAGGCAGCGAGCAGCCTTCCTGCAAGGACCCTGGCAGTGGTGTGCATGCACTGGGGCCCCAACTACGCCTGGCACCCCAGCCCTGCCATCCGCCGCCTCGCGCACGCCCTCATCGACCAATGCGGTGCCAACCTCGTTATAGGCACGTCCGCGCACCACATACAAGGCGTGGAATACCACCACGGCGCGCCCATCCTGTACAGCTGCGGCGATTTCATCGACGATTACCGAGTGGACGAGGGGTATCGCAACGACCTCTCCTTCCTCTTCCACCTCCACCTCCACCCCGTATCGTGCCGCTTCACAAGCATCAGCCTCTTCCCCAATGCCATTCGGCGGCTGCAGGCGAGCGTGAATGTGAGTGTGGAGGAGCGGCGGTGGCTGTACGCTCGCATGCGCCAGCTGTGTGCTGGCTTGGGGACGACTGTAACGCCTGTGGACCGATCACTCCGGCAGTTGGAGATTGTGCTGTCAAGAGAAGAGTAGCACTGGTACAGCTGGTTGGAAGGCCCTCAGTTGTGCCTCATTACTGCTCTACGAGGGGATCAGTCCTGGCACTGGTGGTTGGAAACCCTTTCCGCATGCGACAGCTGTGTGCGGCCATGGGGACGAGTATGACACCTGTCGATCGATCACTCTGGCAGCTGGAGATTGTACTTTAGTATAGTGTTCTCATGGCATTCCGTATGTGAGGAGGAGGTTCTAATGGTAGGGGAGGAAGGAAGATTTTGTACGGGAGATGCATGTACATATATAACATGATATTGCATTAGAATGTACACAAGGGCGAATATCATACATCCGCTAGCCTTCTCCAATATACAAGGTGCTATATAACTTCCAACTCGCCCAAAAGCAGCACTAGCTTTCTCCAATGACTCTCTGCTCTGCTGAAGCTCCACTGTGCTCTCCACCCACTGCTTCCGCCACTGCCACTCCTCTCAGCTCTGCTCTGGACAGCCCGTCAGCCAGGCGCACGGGCTCGGGCACGCGGTGCTTGCAGCAGCGCTGTGTGATGGCCACTGCTGAGTGCAAGGAGACTCGGTGCCCCACCGACACAAACACCGGGTCGTGACTGCCCGGCCCGCCCCGCACCATCTGAGGGGAGACGTGCAACATCCAAGGGGGGAAGCGAGTAGGGGGAGGGGGAAAGGGGGGGAAGGGGGAGGGGGAAGGGGAAGGGGAAGAGGGGTAAGGCAGGGGCTCAGGCACACGGTGCCTGCAGCAGCGCTGTGTGATGGCGACTGCTGTGCTGAGGTCTACCCGGTGCCTCACCGATACAAACACCGGGTCGTGACTGCCCGGCCCTCCCCGCAACCAGCTGCTCCCAGGTGTGCCGTGTGGGGGACAGGGGCTAAGGGAGGGAGGAGGGGAAGGGGAAGGAGAGGGGGGACGGGAAGAGTGGGGAGTGGAGGAAGGGGAGGAGGGCGGCAGGCGGGAGTGGGGTGAGGGGGGTTTGTGGAGATGGGTGACGAGACGAATGGATGGGACCATGATGTCACATGTGAGAAGTCTCGATGCGGTTCAGGCGGCGTGGGGGGCGGGTGAAGATGCAGAGCAATGCGGTCATGGGGTGCGAGGTAGCATGGGGGCGACACTCACCGCAGCATGCGTGGCACCGCTAGCGCCTGTGAGTGTTGCCCAGTCGCCCGGTTGGTGCAGATGCTGGTGCTTCAAGCTGCCCACCTGCTGGTCCGTCATTCCATCCATGTGATACATCTGATGGTGCGAGGGGAAGGGGTGGGGGAGTGGGTTTTGAGATGTTCCGTCCCCCCTCATAACGCACATGTTCCGTCCCCCCTCATAACGCACATGTTCCGTCCCCCCTCATAACGCACATGTTCCGTCCCCCCTCATGACGCACATGTTCCGTCATGCCATCTATGTAATACATCTGATGGTGGGTGGGAGATGGGGGAATAGGGAGGGGGAAGGATGGGTGGATGGGGGGCATGCTAATCTAGATGGAAGCATGCCGTGCTTGATGGTGGCAGCTGGAGTGTGCATGGGGGCACGACGCATGGTGCAGGCATGGTGCATGCGTCATCGTTGTGCGTGCTCGAAAAACCTTGGCACATGGGGCATGGGCCGCATGGCACAGACGGCATGCATGGTGTGGGGCGCTCACATTCTTGGCCACGCCAATGGTGGGGATGTCTGCCTGCACGCCCAGCTGACATGCCAGCCCAAAGCCTGCACGCACGGAGGAAGAGGGGGGATGGGTGCGTAGAGATGGGTGGAGTGAGGGAGGAGGAGAGGAACTGAAAAGAGTGAGAGCGAGAGAGAGTGGTGTGCGGGGGGACGGTATGTGCAGTCAGTCACAGGCATCAGTACAGCCCATGATGGCACGGCATGGCATGGCATGGCATGGCATGGCATGGCATGGCATGGCATGGCATGGAAGAGAGCATGGCATAGCACAGGGGCTTACCCTGGGGATGGAAGATGCCGTTGCCGTCCACCATGATGACCTGCGTGGGCGGTAAACCAGTGGGGAAGTGCCACGTGGCAGAAAGTAAGGGATTAGATTCAGCAGCCTGCTGAAACCGGTGAAACACAACACCCACCTAAGCACCCTGCTCCTTCTCCTGCTCGGATTTTCCCCCTCCCATCCCTCATCACCCATTCCCATTCTTCATCACCCCCTCCCACCACGCATCACCCCCAGCCCCCAGCCACATGGCCCATGTTCCCCCCCCATACCTGCGGCATGAGGTGCGGGCGAGCGTCCCTCAGGCGGCGGATCAGCCCCTCCAGCACGCCGCACTGCTGGCGCGGAGGGGGTAAGGGGGAGGGGAAATGGGGGAGGGGGGAAGGGGGAGAGGGGAGGGGGAGGGGCGGAGGGGGGGAGGGGGGAGGTGAGCGGAGGCGAGGGCAAGAGCACGAGGGGGGGAGGGAGGAAGGGGAAACGGGGGGGACGGGGAGAACTGGGAGGGTGAAACAGAAAGAGGGGAGACGGGAAAGACAGTGCAACTGGTGACAAAAGAACGAGGAAACTCGAAACCCTTCCCACCACACCGCGCTTCACTGCATCCCATCTCAACCCCTCCGCACCTCTCTGAACGCAAGAAATCCGGGTATATACGGCTGGGTGACGCGGGTGAGCGCGAGTTCGTGGTGCAGCAGGCGCAGACTGGGGAAGGCAACAACTGTGAGGCACGCGACCGCCAGGTCCGGGTCGCGCCGGTGGAAGCTCACGTCCACGCCGCCCACCAGCGCCAGGGGAGGTCGTATCTGGGGCGGATGCACCAGGGGCGGCTGTATTTGGGCCGGCTGTATTTGGGGCGGCTCCACATTCCCCGCTCTCTCCACATTTTCCGCATTTTCCCCCCTCTCCGCAGTATCGAATCTCTCCGCAATCTCCGTATTCCCCGCCGCACGCAGCAGCGGCGGCGGCTGGAAGTCGAGCGCGTCGCCCACGACCAACCGCAGACGCAGACGCTGCTGCTCCTGGCGCCACGTGTCCTTGAGTCGTTTCATCTGCGCCTCGGCTCCCGCAACTGTCGCGTCCCCGCGATCTCGCGCGCTAGTCGTCGCTGGGTCAGAATAAGCAGCTGCGAGCGAATCGCGTGCTGCACTCGGCGGCAGCAAACGCCCGGCGCCATCAACATCGCCCGGGATGTTTCGCTGGGACGACTCGGTTGAGTCTCGACTTGCTTCCGAGGATGCGACGCTCGTCATTTCGCACACTAAGCGTGGCAGGGATAGACCAAGAATAAGTTGGACTATCAAGATGATATTGTGAATGTGCAGCTGGTTCTTGCCTTGGACTTTGCTGAATGCCGGAGGGCTCTGTAGCCCTTTATCGCGTATGCAAGGTGGTGTTCTCTCCATCCGCAATTAGTGTTTACCTTCATCTTGGATGAAAGTGGATATGCTGCTTAAAACTATGCCGAGCATGTGACCTTCATTTCGTAGTCGCTCAAACGCTCGTATATCGAACATGATGATCCACTAAGGCGTACACCCAAACTAGTCAAAACCCTTCGAATATGTGTGGCTCTCGTCAAAAACCTTTCCCAAGGACATGAAACTTGCCGAGTTCCAAGATCTGGTTCATTCAGTATCCAGGCTCCATAGGAATCTGGGTGGAGCCTACCCCATACTTTCTCTGTACTGTAGCACATTCTTCATTCACGGCCGATCCTGAGCGCGACGCGTAACGGAATCTAGATGGCATCTTGCACCGAACGGCTCCGATCAACGATTCCATAATTTTACTGAGATGTGTTTCCACAGCCAATAACAGATGAACAATAAAAAATGCCATGCTGGCAGGAGCCTAGTCACAATGCCAAAGCAGCATACTACAACTAATTGGGTCACGTGGCAAGCCGCACCTGGAGCATATTTTTGCTAGATGGTGAAAGCAGCACCGTGAACGTAGCAACCCTATTTTGTTTTCTGAATTACCCGGAATCCGAGATGTTCTTCGTCGGCCCAGAAAAATGCGACTTCAGCTGGCTCTCCAAAGTCAACATAGAAACATACTCCTTTCTTCGTTACTTAAAACTGTCAGTCTCCCTGGATACAGTTCAAGGAAATCTTGAGTTTCCAAATAGCATTAGCCCTCATAATCATCCTTTCGTTTATAGGCCGCCTAGCTGCTGGAAGGCGAACCGTGTGGCGCGGTTCCAGGCTAGGTTGGGGCGACAAAGCACGCACACGCACTTACGGGTCAATTCTCCATCACCAATTCAGTCGCTCTTCAGTGTTTACAAGTACAGTAGGCTGAAGCCACTTTCCAAACCAACGTTTCGAAGCACAATTAGTCCGTCGTACCTCGAGTGCTGTTCAGTTCAGAGCAAGCTCCAGCTTCTAGTGCGGAACTACATTTGCACTCCGTTGTGCCTCTTGGCGAGTATCCTGAAAGTTAGCCGCCATGGCGGTTGTAATGCCCATCCACTCGTACACATGGATATTCGTCATGACCATGCTCTTCGCGTTCTTGGACGCCTACTCCATCGGTAAGAAATATTGTCGAGTTCGCTACACTGTCTCTTCATTCCTATTCTTTAACTTCTCGACCCGTCACAACTACCGGGATCGTCAACTCTTCGCTGACTTTCTTGTTTCTCTTATTTTCATGATCGCAGGAGCCAATGACGTCGCCAATTCTTTCGCCACGTCCGTCGGGTCGCGGTCGCTCACCCTCGCCCAAGCCGTCTGCATCGCCATCTTCACGGAATTCGGAGGAGCAATTGCTCTCGGCGCCACTACGACGAAGACGGTTAAGGACGGAATCATCCAAACGAACCTATTCAACAGTCGGCCGGATCTGCTCATGTCGGGTTTTATGTGCGCGCTGATAGCATCGTCCTCGTGGGTCATGTTCGCTACGTTCCTAGGCTGGCCCGTGTCCACCACTCACTCCATCGTCGGCGCGCTTATCGGAATCGGCGTTAGCGCGTACGGCATGGACGCTGTGAACTGGGGCTGGAACGGCAAGGGCGTGGCGCAGATCGCGGCATCGTGGGTGCTCGCGCCGACGCTGGCCGGTATCCTGGCCGCGACAATCTACCTCATTACCCTGTACGCCGTCATGAAGCGCAAGAACTCGCTGCGCGCCGGCATCTATGCTATTCCATTCTACTTCACCATCACCACCTTCATCGTGTCGTTCTACGTCGCGACGAAGAACGGCAAGTCCACCCTCAACTTCAGCTCCTCGACTACCGGCGGCGCGATCAAGGTCACCGGCAACGTCGCCCTCGCGTTCGGCATCATCGGCGCGGTGACAGGCGTAATGCTCATCTTCTCCGCTGGCTTCCTCGTGCCCTTCTTCATCCGACGGCTGGAGAAGGAGGAGACCCTCAAGTGGTACCATATCTTCTTCATCTGGTGCGTGCCGGAGCAGCCGCAGGACCCCAAGATCGACATGTACTTGAAGCGCGCCTTCACGCCGCAGCTTCTGAGCGACGACGAGAAGAAGCAGCTGGGAATGCCCGTCGAGGACCCCGAGGAGAACGAGAAGGAGAAGGACCTCGAGAAGCCCGTTCCCAAGAACGCGTTCCTGCGGTTCTTTAATCACATTAAGATGCTCCTGTGGCGGTCGCTGTTCATGGACGTCGCGAGTATGCAGCACGACAACAAGGGCGCAGTGCGCGCGCACGAGGTGGCGGTGATTTACGACAACAAGACGGAGTACCTCTACTCGCTGCTGCAAGTCATCACCGCCGGCTTCGCGAGTTTCGCACACGGGTCCAACGACATCGGAAACGCGCTGGGGCCCCTCGCGGGAGTGTATCAGATTTGGAGCCAGGGAACCTTCTCGACGGAGGCCAGTGTGCCCACGTGGATGCTCGCGTACGCCGGAATCGCGCTCGACTTTGGCCTCGCCTTCTGTGAGTCGCCGTGGCCGTGCCGTTGCAGTTTTCGCTATCTAACCTGCCGCGCGGGCTGTTTTCCACTTCGCCTCTGCCTCTGAGTCTCTGTTCCTCTCTACTCTGTCTCTCTGTCTACTCCTCGCTGCCTCTTGGCCTCTCTCCCCAATGCCTGCCGCTGCTGTCGTTGTTTAGTCGCCAATCTTATCTCGCCACTCACCGTCGTCGTTTCCCTCCCTATCTCACCATCCCTCGCTACAGATGGTTACCACATCATGCGAAGCCTGGGGAACAACATCACGTACCACTCGCCGTCGCGCGGGTTCTCCATGGAGCTCGGCGCCGCGCTCTCCGTCATCACCGCATCCTTCCTCGCGCTACCGGTTTCCACCACGCAGTGCATCGTTGGCGCAACGGTCGCCGTGGGGCTGTGCAACGGTAACTGGAGGGCCATCAACTGGGCCATGGTGGGCTTGGCTGGGTTTGGGTGGGTTCTCACGCTCCCCCTCGCCGGAACGGCCTCGGGTCTGCTCTATGCTGTTCTCACGCGCGGGCCCAGCTTCACCATGCCGCCCGGCATGTAGGCTGGAAAATTAGGACGGTATTAAAAAAAAAGTATCAGGGGAGGTGGGGTTAGAAGGGAATTCTCTGGCTCATAAACTCTGCTTGGCTAATTGTGTTTGCGGGTACGTAGGAAGGCCTTGTAGCGATGAAACATTTATTTATGCAATTGGCAGTTTTGATTCTTCAGCTGCCCCAGGTTGCAGTTGTGACCTTGCTCTGCAGAGACACAGGCAGAGCATCAGCGCCCCTATAGCTCCTTGTGCCCAGCCCTCCTCTCCCCCCCAGCTCTCCTTTCGCCCTCATCTACTCTACTTGCCCCCCCTTCTCTCCTTGTGCCCAACCCTCTTGTTGCCCATAACCATCCACTCCTTACCCTCCCTCTCGTTGCGCCCAAACCTCCTAACTTGAGCCTAAATCACCTTGATACGCCTTTCAGGTCATCTCTGGTGCCTCTTGCACTGCGGGAATATACGGTAGTGCATAGTGCAGTCAGACCTTTCAGGTCATCACTGATGCCTCTTGCTTCAGCAACAGGCAATGGGTATCTCACCGAGCATTGGGTGTCTCGATGAGCAATGGTTGTCCCAACTAGAAACGGGTGTTACAGTGAGGAATGGGTGTTACAGCAAGGAATGGGTGTTACAGCAAGGAATGGGTGTTACAGCAAGGAATGGGTGTTACAGCAAGGAATGGGTGTTACAGCAAGGAATAGGTGTTACAGCGAGGAATGGGTGGCCCAACGAGCAATGGGTGTGATAGTGAAAAAGGGTGCCTCGAGCAAAGGGCATCTAAATGAGCAATGGACATCACAAAGTGTTTTGCACAACCATTACTGACAGTAAGGAAGTGCAAACAGGGGACTGCCTGAGAAATCTAAAATCCTCGTCACTCTGCAAATCTCCCATGGACAGCCAACCAATCCCAGCCAGCCTGGCAAGAATGTCTGCTGACTCAGCAAGCAGCCCTGCCAGTGCAGCAGCACGCGCCATGTTGTACAGGCCACCGCATTGATCCGCATATGACATGACATCCGTGGCTGGACGGGGTGACACACAAAGGGGGGGAAAGAGAGGATAGGGGGACAAAGGTTTGATGCAAGGATAAGGGGTCATAAGGCAATGTGGTACTGTCCCATTGCTTGCTGATGCGGGACGCACACATGGATGAATTGCCAGATGGATGGACCGCGTGCACGCATGCAAGGATGAGCTCACAGCGACAGCCAGAGCGACAATCAGAGCAACAGTCAGAGAGACAGTCAGTGCTACAGCGCACACCTTTCATTGCCACAATGGCAGCACGGTATCCTGACATGACATGCCGCAAGTGATCCACCGTGTCTTGAGGCAGCGATGCCGTCAGTTCATCCCCAGAACCCATGCCTTTCCAGCCACCCTCCCTGCTGCCACCACCGCTGCCCCTCTCTGTGCCTGCCGCCCAGCCCACCCCATAAGCAGCCGGGCGGCAGACAGGTGCACATCTGCCGCCCCCAGGAGCGCCTCTGGGTGGTGAGAGTCGATACGCAGGGCGGCAGAGAATCCGCGGGAGAGAGAGAGGGAGAGCAGGTGCAGGGCTTCCTGTAGGCTGCTGGACGAGGATGCTGATTGGGCCCTCTCCATATATAACACCTCCCCCTCCGCAGATAACACCTCCCACAGAGCCAGACGAGGTGCGATATCTGTGGGCGGGCAATCGGCTGCCCTTTGAAGCTTCTCTGCAGCTTCCGTTAGAAGGCGAACTTCCTGGTCAGGCTTGGAGCAGCGCTGCAAGAGGTAGGAAGGGGAGATGAAGGGGGGAAAGAGAGAGAAGAGGGGGTGTGTGCAATCGAGCGATAGGGAACATAGTCAGCCATTTGTGTAAAAAAAAAGGAACCCTGGGATGGCGAAAAAAAATTGTATGTAAAATCAGACAATCATATCAAATTAGTATGATAAATTGGCATAAAACTCTCAGAATTGTAATTCAGATGCATGCTTCCTAAGGGATGAATGTTTTCCAACACCCCCCTGGCACGAAGCCTAGCACAATGTCGAATAAACATACTGCAGCAATTCGCTCACGTGGCAAGCCGCAGCTGGAGCATCTTTCTTGGTACTCGTTTGAGAATTCCCCAAGGTGAAGCCCGGACACCGACTGCTTTGCGGTAACTTGTGTTGGTTTCTTCATTGGCTCAGAAAACAAAGAACTTCTGCGGGCAGCAGCCCTGAGGTCAACAAAGTCTAGAAACCAACCACCAGGTTATTCAGGACATGCGTGAACGAACTGGGCTTTCTCCCTCACAGCCTGGTTACTAGTACTGTACTGATACTCTCTATTTTGGCTGTCGTTTGGAAATATTTTGAAGGTTAGGGTAATATGTACTAGCCTTCATTATCGCCAACTCGACTGCAGGCCGCGTTCTTGCAGCAAGGCGGAGCGCGCGGTCGCGGTTGCAGCCTAGATTGGGGCCGACCAAGCACGCATTTGCGGGTCACTTCACATTTCGTGATTACAAAGGTCGTTCTCGCCCTCCAGCCCTTCAAAGCAGAACAAGTCAGTTGCACCTCAGCAATTCTCTTCTGCACTACAAAGTTGTAGTGCAGGTTCCTCTCCTAAATCTACCGCACTGCATTGCCACTCCCTGGAGCCTCGTGGCGGGTCTCTGAAAGCTAGCCACCATGGCCGTGGTGGTAATGCCTGTCCATTCCTACACATGGATATTCGCGGTCAGCATGCTTTTCGCCTTTCTGGACGGCTACTCCATCGGTAAGAATCGTTATCGTGCTCGCTGCGGCATTTGACTGTACAATGCTCCGTCTTTCCGTCTCCGGCTTCCACATTCGCTGACATTGCGTCTTTGTGCCCATTGCAGGTGCCAATGACGTCGCCAACTCTTTCGCCACGTCCGTCGGGTCGCGGTCGCTCACGCTCGCCCAAGCCGTCTGCATCGCCATCTTCACGGAGTTTGGCGGAGCGATTGCTCTCGGTGCCACTACGACCAAGACGGTTAAGGACGGAATCATCCAAACGAGCCTATTCAGCAGTCGTCCGGACCTTCTCATGTCGGGATTCATGTGCGCGCTGATAGCGTCGTCCACGTGGGTCATGACCGCCACGTACTTTAGCTTTCCCGTGTCCAGCACACATTCCGTCATCGGCGCGCTAATCGGAGTCGGCGTCAGCGCGTTCGGCATCAACGCCGTGAATTGGGGCTGGGACAACAAGGGCGTGGCGCAGGTCGCGGCGTCGTGGGTCATCGCGCCGGCTGTGGCTGGTATCCTGGCCGCAATAATCTACACGATCACGTTATACGCCGTCATGAAGCGCAAGAACTCGCTGCGCGCCGGCATCTACGCGATCCCAGTCTACTTCACCATCACCACGTTCATCGTGTCGTTCTACGTCGCGACCAAGAACGGCAAGTCGACTCTCTCCTTCAGCGCCTCTACTGTCGGCGGCGCGGTCAAGGTCTCCGGCAATGTCGCTCTGGCGTTCACGATCATCGGAGTGGTAACCGGACTCGTGCTAACCTTCTGCGTCGCCTTCCTTGTGCCGTTCTTCATCCGACGGCTGGAGAAGGAGGAGGCCCTCAAGTGGTATCATATCTTCTACATCTGGTGCGTGCCGGAGCAGCCGCAGGACCCCAAGATCGATATCTACCTGAAACGTGCGTTCACGCCGCAGCTGCTCAGTGACGAGGAGAAGAAGGAAATCGGCATGCCGATTGACGATCCCGAGGATATCAAAGACAAGGAGCCCGAGAAGCCTGTGTCAAAGAACCCAGTCGTTCGGTTCCTTTATAAGCTCAGGGTGCTAATGTGGCGTGCGCTTTTCATCGACGTGGCGACCCTGCAGAAGGAAAACAAGCGCGCGACCCGCGCGCACGAGGTGGCGGTGCTGTACGACAACAAGACGGAGTACCTCTACTCGCTACTCCAAGTCATGACCGCTGCGTTTGCGAGCTTCGCACACGGGTCCAACGACATCGCAAACGCCCTGGGCCCCGTGGCGGGTGTGTATCAGATCTGGAATTCCGGGACGTTCACGTCGGACGCAAGCGTGCCCACGTGGATGCTCGCGTATGTCGGTATCGCCCTCGACTTCGGCCTCGCATTCTGTAAGTCAGCGCCTTGCTCGCGGTGCCGAGGCTAACCAGTCCACTTCCTAGCATTACAACTTTTGACTCTCCGACCCTCCGATTTCCAATTGATAACCACCTTCACCCAGGTATGGGGCCAGACTCGTGAACGCTGAACCCTTCGGTGTTTTATACTCGCGTGTGCGCTTCTCACTCACCGCTATCCTCTCTCTCTCACTCTCTCCCTAACCCCGGTGCAGACGGTTACCACATCATGCGAGCCCTCGGCAACAACATCACGTACCACTCGCCGTCGCGCGGGTTCTCCATGGAGCTGGGCTCTGCCCTCTCCGTCATCACCGCGTCGTTCCTCGCGCTACCGGTCTCCACCACGCAGTGCATCGTCGGCGCGACCATCGCCGTGGGGCTGTGCAACGGCAACTGGCGGGCGATTAACTGGGGCATGGTGGCCATCGCTGGGTTCGGATGGGTTCTCACGCTCCCCGTGGCGGCCTTATGGGCCGGCCTGCTCTATGCCATCCTCACCCGCGGCCCCAGCTTCACAATGCCGCCCGGCATGTAAACTTGTGAAGGAGATGGTAGATAAATGATTGTCTCGGGTCTGGTGGGTTAGGAGGAATTCTGTGCAGGCCATTGCAAGAATTGAGGGGCTAGACCGCTCTACGTGAATGGAATGTCAATGGTTTGGGGGCAAGGTGGCAATTCTGCTGCGTGGAAATTCCTGGATGTGCTTACGCCTGATCGACGGATGAAATTCCAAACAAAATTCCCAACGGTCGAGGTCGAGCCATTTGCTATTTGCTAGACGTTCGATATGTTGAGGATCTACGGCTCTCATTTTTGGGCGCGGTACGATTGCTAGGCGCAGCCAAACAAAAATTACGCGCCAGTGATATATTTCGTTCTATGGGCTGCGCGAATGTTCTGACACAAGCGAACGGCAATGTCGAGATTCTTGTGCGAGTAACGAGGTCATTGTTTCGCTGACATGAACATGCGAAAACTGTTGATAGAATAACTATGGCGAACACGCCAAAATCCTCAGAAAGTTCCTATTTAGGATTGTTTACAATAGAATATAAGTATACAGTATACCCTTGCGTCACAGGAAGAAATGTATGAGTAACACCTGTAAGCTAATCATTCTACACATGTACGGTAGCAGATGTCAGAAGGGAGGAATGAGTCTCAGGAGGAATGGGTGCCAGGAAGTAGAATGGGTGTCAGGAGGAGCAACGGGTGTCAGAAGGCGAGCAACGGGTGTCAGAAGGCGAGCAACGGGTGTCAGAAGGCGAGCAACGGGTGTCAGAAGGCGAGCAACGGGTGTCAGAAGGCGAGCAACGGGTGTCAGAAGGCGAGCAATCCATGTCAGAAGGTGAACAATGGGTATCACAATGATTCTTGCACCGTTAATCCAGACAGCAAGCATGTGTATACCGGGGACTGCCTGATAAATCTAAAATCCTCGTCACTCAGCAAATCTCCCTTGGAGAGCCAACCAATTGCGGCCAGCCTGGCAAGAATGTCTGCTGACTCAGCAAGCAGCCCTGCCAGCGCAGCAGCACACGCCATGTTGTACAGGCCACCGCATTGATCCGCATATGACATGACATCCGTGGCTGGATGGAGTGGCACAGGAAGAGGGGCGGGAGAGGGGACATGGAGACAGAGGTTCGATGCAAAGATAAAAGGCCATAAGGCAATGTGGTATTGTACGGTACCGTAACTTGCTGATGCGGATGGGGATGCACACATGGGGATGTACACATGGGGATGCATGGTCAGATGGATGGATACGCATGGATGCATGCACGGATGAGCTCACAGCGACAGTCAGAGCGACAGTCACAGAGACAGTCAGTGCGACAGTGCACACCTTTCATTGCCACCATGGCAGCACGGTACGCTGACATGGCATGCTGCAAGTGGTCCACCGCCTCTTGAGGCAGCGATGCCGCCACCTCATCACCACCACCCATGCCTTCTCCACCACCCTCCCTGCTGCCACCACCGCCGCCCCTCTCCCTGCCCGCCGCCCGCCCCATAAGCAGCCGGGCGGCAGACAGGTGCACATCTGCCGCCCCTAGGAGCGCCTCTGGGTGGCGAGAGTCGATTCGCAGGGCGGCAGAGAACCCGCGGGAGAGAGAGAGAGAGAGCAGGTGCAGGGCCTCCTGTAGGGCGGCAGGTGACGATGCTGATTGGGCCCTCTGAGCGGATAGCACCTCCCCCTGCGCAGATAGCACCTCCCCCAGAGCCAGACGAGAGGCGATATCTGTGGGCTGAAAATCGGCTGCCCGTTGAAGCTTCTCCGCAGCTTCTGTCAGAAGCCGAACCTCCTGGCCAGGATCGGGGCAGCGCTGGAGTGCAAAAGGCAGGAGGGGAGCGGAAGGAGAGAAAATTGCAGGTGAGCTTGATTGCGCGGTTGGGGAACGAAGTCACATGCTGCCGCGGGCAAACATGCTGCACACAGATGCTATACAGGTTGGTTGGCCCTGCCCTTACCCCCTCACCTGGGCAGCAGACAGCCCCCCCACGCCCCAGTTGTGCAGCAGGCCTGGCAGGTCGTCCCCCACACGTGCATGACACAGGGAGAAGGGGTCTCAAGTCCTCACAGCCCGTGCTCACCAGGCCGTGCATAGCCGCGCGGCAGTGTGTGTCCCAGCAACCTCACCTGGGCAGCGGACAGCAGCCCCACGCCCCAGTTGTGCAGCAGGCCTGGCAGATCGTCCCCCACACGTGCATCACACAGCGAGCACGCTGCAGCGTACGCCCCCATGCCCCTCTCGTACTGCCCCCACGCCCCCGCCCATGCTGCCACCGCCCCCTCGCCCACTGGCCGCTCTGGACACTGGTGGGGGGAGCAGGACGGACGGGAAGGGGGAAGAGGGAATGGGGAAGGGGGAAGGAGGAAGGATGAAGGGGGAAGGGGGAATGAGGAATGGGGAATGGGGAAGGGGGGAGGATGGGCGAGTGAGTACAGCAGGGCGGCCCATGGATTGCGGGAGGAATATGGAAGGGGGGGAGGGCAGGCAGAATGTGGGGACAACAACAGAGGCGAATCCAACTTTCATGCACGATGACAGCCCGCGATACAGCGAATCTGGACAGATTCCAACACACAGCTGTGCACGCGCGCATGCCTCACCAGGAGCTCTGCAGTCTTGACAGCGCAATCGCCCAGGTTGGTTGGATAGCAGGTCCGTGTCACAGGGTGCTGCGGCTGCTGCTGCCCACACTCGTTCCCCGTGCCCTGTGCCCTGTGCCCTGTGCCCTGTGCCCTGTGCCCTGTGCCCTGTGCCCTGTGCCCTGTGCCCTGTGCCCTGTGCCCTGTGCCCCATGCCCTGTGCCCTGTGCCCTGTGCCCTGTGCCCTGTGCCCTGTGCCCCGTGCCCTGTGCCCTGTGCCCCGTGCCCTGTGCCCTGTGCCCTGTGCCCTGTGCCCTGTGCCCCGTGCCCTGTGCCCCGTGCCCTGTGCCCTGTGCCCTGTGCCCTGTGCCCCGTGCCCTGTGCCCTGTGCCCTGTGCCCTGTGCCCCGTGCCCTGTGCCCTGTGCCCTGTGCCCTGTGCCCTGTGCCCTGTGCCCTGTGCTGTGTGCCTCATGGGAAATAGGTGCAGCCTCACTCACCAGGAGCTCGGCAGTCTTGACAGCGCAGTCCCCCAGGTTGGAGAGCAGGTCCGTGTCACCGGGTGCCGCTGCTGCTGCTGCCTCGTACCGTCTTGCTGCCTCCCCCACCAGCTGCACTGCCCTCACTGCTCTCACTCCGCCTTGCCCCGCCCGCTCCTGCTCATGCTGTGCCTGCTGCTGTTCCCTTCCATCCACCGCCATACCCTCGCACACTCCATCCCCTCTCTCCTCTTCCTTCTCCTCCTCCCCCTCCTCCACCTCCCCCACCGCCTCTGCCCATGCCACCAGCGCATTCGCTGCATTCACTGCCGCCCCTTGCACCATCTCCGCCACGTCAGCAGCCCCCCCTCCCTGTCCCCCTCCCCTCCCTCTGCCTCCTCTTTCGCCTCCTCCGCTGCTGACGTCAGCGGCTGATTGGGCACCCCCTGATGAGTCAGCAGAGAGAAGAGTGGGCCCCACACGGCAGATTTCATCGAACGCCTCAAATGCGAGTCGGCACGAGTCAGCAGCTGACATGGCAGCCTCCCTTTCCAGCCGTTTCACGGCTCGCCACGTCAGCACTGGCTGACTCATCGGTCCCCCTGCCGCCCGTTTCCCGTCTGCTAGCTGCGCCTCCCCGAGCCCCAGATAAGCCTCCCCCATGTCAAACAAAACGGAGAGGCGGGCGGCAGGAGTGAGGGCGGGCGAGGAGAGGGCAGTGTGATAGTAACGAAGGGAGGCTTCAAAGTGGTCCGTTGCTGGGCCCTTGGGGATGGTTGGGGCGGCAGTGGTGGTGACAGTAACGGGGGGGCTGCTGCTGCTGCTGCTGCTGATACTGCTGGTGCTATTGTGGGTGGCACCGCTGTTGTCACCTTCGAATACAGTCACAGCTGTCCTGCTGAGTCGCCGCTGCCCTGCCTGCTTCCTCCTGCCAGCCTCTTAAGAGGAAGGGGCAGGGGGGAGCGGGGGAAGGTGGGGGAAGGTGGGAAAATAGTGGATTGGCATAACTGGGGTGGGGGAGGACTGAGGGGGAGTGAAGGTGGAAGCGAGAGCAGGAGTAGGGGAAGAGAGCAAGTAAGGGAGGATGCGGAGGAGGGGAGGAACAGGGCGGCAAATGGCACTCAAGTCTGGTGCGCGCACCCCAACCCTCCACCCTCCACCCTCCACCCTCCACCCTCCACCCTCCACCCTCCACCCTCCACCCTCCACCCTCCACCCTCCACCCTCCACCCTCCACCCTCCACCCTCCGCCCTCCGCCCTCCGCCCTCCACCCTCCACCCTGCACCCTCCACCCTCCACCCTGCACCCTGCACCCTCCACCCTCCACCCTCCACCCTCCACCCTGCACCCTCCACCCTGCACCCTGCACCCTGCACCCTCCACCCTCCACCCTCCGCCCTCCACCCTCCGCCCTGCACCCTCCACCCTGCACCCTCCACCCTCCACCCTCCACCCTCCACCCTCCACCCTCCACCCTGCACCCTCCACCCTGCACCCTGCACCCTCCACCCTCCACCCTCCGCCCTCCGCCCTCCGCCCTCCACCCTCCACCCTGCACCCTGCACCCTCCACCCTCCACCCTCCACCCTCCACCCTCCACCCTCCACCCTCCACCCTCCACCCTCCACCCTCCACCCTCCACCCTCCGCCCTCCACCCTCCACCCTCCACCCTGCACCCTCCACCCTCCACCCTGCACCCTCCACCCTCCACCCTCCACCCTCCACCCTGCACCCTCCACCCTGCACCCTCCGCCCTCCGCCCTCCGCCCTCCACCCTCCACCCTGCACCCTCCACCCTCCACCCTCCACCCTGCACCCTGCACCCTCCACCCTCCACCCTGCACCCTCCACCCTCCACCCTCCACCCTGCACCCTCCACCCTCCACCCTCCACCCTCCACCCTCCACCCTCCACCCTGCACCCTGCACCCTGCACCCTCCACCCTGCACCCTCCGCCCTCCGCCCTCCGCCCTCCGCCCTCCGCCCTCCACCCTCCACCCTCCACCCTCCACCCTCCACCCTGCACCCTGCACCCTCCACCCTCCACCCTCCACCCTCCACCCTCCACCCTGCACCCTCCACCCTCCACCCTCCACCCTGCACCCTGCACCCTGCACCCTCCACCCTCCACCCTCCACCCTCCACCCTGCACCCTCCACCCTGCACCCTCCACCCTCCACCCTCCGCCCTCCACCCTCCACCCTCCACCCTGCACCCTCCACCCTCCACCCTCCACCCTGCACCCTCCACCCTCCACCCTCCACCCTGCACCCTGCACCCTCCACCCTGCACCCTCCACCCTCCACCCTCCACCCTCCACCCTCCACCCTGCACCCTCCACCCTGCACCCTCCACCCTCCACCCTCCACCCTCCACCCTCCACCCTCCACCCTGCACCCTCCACCCTCCACCCTCCACCCTCCACCCTGCACCCTGCACCCTCCACCCTCCACCCTCCACCCTGCACCCTCCACCCTCCACCCTCCACCCTCCACCCTGCACCCTCCACCCTCCACCCTCCACCCTCCACCCTCCACCCTCCACCCTCCACCCTGCACCCTCCACCCTCCACCCTCCACCCTGCACCCTCCACCCTGCACCCTCCACCCTGCACCCTCCACCCTGCACCCTCCACCCTGCACCCTCCACCCTCCACCCTGCACCCTCCACCCTCCACCCTGCACCCTGCACCCTCCACCCTCCACCCTCCACCCTCCACCCTGCACCCTGCACCCTCCACCCTGCACCCTCCACCCTCCACCCTCCACCCTCCACCCTCCACCCTGCACCCTCCACCCTCCACCCTCCACCCTCCACCCTGCACCCTGCACCCTCCACCCTCCACCCTCCACCCTCCACCCTCCACCCTGCACCCTCCACCCTCCACCCTCCACCCTCCACCCTGCACCCTCCACCCTCCACCCTCCACCCTCCACCCTCCACCCTCCACCCTCCACCCTGCACCCTCCACCCTCCACCCTCCGCCCTCCACCCTCCACCCTCCACCCTGCACCCTCCACCCTCCACCCTCCACCCTGCACCCTGCACCCTCCACCCTCCACCCTGCACCCTGCACCCTCCACCCTGCACCCTCCACCCTCCACCCTCCACCCTCCACCCTCCACCCTGCACCCTCCACCCTCCACCCTCCACCCTCCACCCTGCACCCTGCACCCTCCACCCTCCACCCTCCACCCTCCACCCTCCACCCTGCACCCTCCACCCTCCACCCTGCACCCTCCACCCTCCACCCTCCACCCTCCACCCTGCACCCTCCACCCTCCACCCTCCACCCTGCACCCTCCACCCTCCACCCTCCGCCCTCCACCCTCCACCCTCCACCCTGCACCCTCCACCCTCCACCCTCCACCCTGCACCCTCCACCCTCCACCCTCCACCCTGCACCCTCCACCCTGCACCCTCCACCCTCCACCCTCCACCCTCCACCCTGCACCCTCCACCCTCCACCCTCCACCCTGCACCCTCCACCCTCCACCCTCCACCCTGCACCCTCCACCCTCCACCCTGCACCCTCCACCCTCCACCCTGCACCCTCCACCCTGCACCCTCCACCCTCCACCCTCCACCCTCCACCCTCCACCCTCCACCCTGCACCCTCCACCCTCCACCCTGCACCCTCCACCCTCCACCCTCCACCCTGCACCCTCCACCCTCCACCCTCCACCCTGCACCCTCCACCCTGCACCCTCCACCCTCCACCCTCCACCCTCCACCCTCCACCCTCCACCCTGCACCCTCCACCCTCCACCCTGCACCCTCCACCCTGCACCCTCCACCCTCCACCCTTCACCCTCCACCCTCCACCCTTCACCCTCACCCCACAACCCCGTCCGCCCACCCTGTAAGGGGCTTATGAGGTTCATCAAGCACTCATCGCAACTCTTCCCCAACCACCCAATTCCCCTCCCTCGCCCCGCATCCACCCTCGTTCCGCACCTTCCAGCAGCGACTGCAGCGCCTCTTCTTCCGCCGTCACCGCCCGCCCTTGCGCCCGCCGCCCGCCTCCGCGCGCACCCCTCTGCGCCTCAGCCCGTTCACGATTGCGTCCTCTGCCGCTTCCGCCACCCGCCTCCGCCTCTTGCCGCCGATTGCCCCGCCCCCACGCGCGCCCCCCGCGGGAAGCCATCCGTCAGTGTGAGCGCAGCGCGTGCTTGATGGTTGGATCAGTTCACATCTGTGATCAACGGTGAGCAGCGCCCGATGAGCTTTCAACTTCTACGATTCGACGATCTGGCAGCTTCTGAGGCTCAGATAATGAAATGCTGCGAGATTCGGCTAGGTTTGGGCTCGGCGCTGTTGCTTAGAATCGGAGACTAGCATATGGTGTGGTGACTGAGATCAGTCGAGAACGCTAATTGGTGGGATTCGCGATACGATATCTGTCCCAGTGACGCGCGAAACGCGCTGTCAGCGCCTCTCCCACGCCATCTAGCGTGTGGAACGGTGGAGGGCGGCTGGTGGGTGGTGCTTGTGAAGAATTCACCCGATACCGGCATCTGGGTTAGATGCGTTACAAGAATTACCAACCTCGCGAATCAAGTTGAATACAAACAATTTGGTTTTGGATATGCGCCCCACAGGTTTATTGCACATCATTATTTGCGCTTTGGCCTACTTGGGGATTAGCTGGAACATTGAGATTCCCCACAACACAATCAATCACTGCGTGTTTGCAACGTCTAAATCACATGGAAGCTCTGATGCCTTGGCAACAGCAGCCTGGGACAATCCCCTCTCCCTCAGTTTCCGTTGACAGTTGAAGCGCAGCGACACCATCACCTGCAAACAAACCAGTGCAAATCCGGGAAGGAGGATTCATAACGTGAGTCAAATAAGCTGCGTGGGCCGAATATGTTGTACCGTACCGTATGCGATTCAATGCACTGCATTCACCTTGCATTGAACGTGACTCTGGAAAATGCACACATACGGTACCGTAATCACTACATGACAAGCGGAAGCATCGCACCTGTTGGTCCAAGTCCTCATAGTGAAACGGCACCGGACCAGGCACATCCAGCACTGACATCCCACCTCCCCCATCTGCGCCACCCTCCTCACCGCCCCCACCCGCCTGCTCTGCATGAGCCCCTGTCGCCCCTGAAGCAGCCACAGGTGCAGCCTGGCCAGAAGCCCCCTCCCCCAGGTACCACCTGAGGCGCTTCTCACAGTGCTCGCACTGAGCATTGGTGTGGGTAGAGGCGTCAGTGGCGGCGTGGGCAGTGCGGGCGGTGCAGGGCAGCAGGCGGATGGAATGAAAGAGCACGTCCACTCGGAAATCCACCAGCAACAGGCTGGCCGCCAGGGGGAGAGTAGGTAGCCCTGATAAGAGGGCAGGTGGGACGGTGCGTTGCTGTTGTTGGAGCTTGCAGCGCGGCCAGAGGGAGAGGAGAGGCGGCAGGCACGAGCGACAGGACACGGCACTCTCATCCGGGTCGTTCTCACCAAGGTCTTTCGCTCGATTGCCTGATTCGCCGCTGCTCGCCGCGTCCTCGTGATCGGTGTTGGAGCTCAGGTCGCCATCCTCGTCATCCGTGCTGCCAGGTGAGTCAGCAGCATCGCGCAGAGCGTGCGCGTGCAGCGCGGATTGAGTCAGCGGCGACAGCGTGCAGGGGTGGGAGACGGAGGCCGGGAAGCACTGCAGCCTGCAGGACTCACCCGCCTGCTGCTCGCCTGTGCTGCATTCACCACCCACTGCAGCACCAGTGGACGCGTGGCGAGGGTGGAAAGGCGAGGAGGGGGGCGATGAAGGGGGCGATGAAAGGGAGTCGGTGCCGTCGCTGCTGCTGGTGTCGAGTGCGTTGGAACACGGGTCGAAGGAGAGAGCGAGGGCGGATGGAATAGGCAACCCAGCCCGCTCGTCCCTCCACCCGCACCCGTCGAGCTCCTCCTTTTCTTGCTCCGCCCGAACCACCTCCCCTGCCGCCTGCTCCCCATTCCCCTGCTTTTCATTCCCCCGCCACTGCTGCTGCTGCTGCGGCTGCGGCGCTCTCTGTCCTCCTCGCCAGTGCAGCTTTCCCCGCCGTTCAATTCCTCCCCGCGCGCCTGTCGTCGGTGCAGTCATCCTCAGCGCCGGGGAGTGCGCGCCGGAGCAGCACCACCACGCGCTGGCCACCGCATGCCTGCGCCCAATTCCCTTCCCCGTCTCCCCGCCATGCGCGCCTCCCTTTCCGCGCCTCCCGCCTGTCTGCATCCCGCGCGTCCCTCCTGCCGCCTTCCCCCGGTTCCCTCGCCTTGCGAAGGATTCTCTCTCACCCGCCGCACGGCCCTGCCGCCAGAGCCCTGGCGACTTTCTCGGCGGCTCTTGCGCCGGTTTAGGCGGCGAAATTGCCGTGGTGCTACTTGCGCGAGCCTCCAACACCGCTTCCGCATCTCGCGGCAGCGCCGGGTCGCAGGTGAAGGGCGCGAATTGGCCCTGCCCCAGATGCCAGCCCTGGAACCAGTGAAGATTAATCTCCCCGGGCGAGTAGAAATACTCCGTGTACCCGAGTGATTGCCCCGCGACGCGCATCTCGACGCGGAACGGCGCGCGGAAGCTCGCTTGCGCCACCACTGTGAACGGCTCGCCCGCGCGGCACACCACCACTTCCTCCGTGGCGCTTACGCCGCTCGGAGCGGCGCGTGTTTCCGCACTCTGTTGGGGGTTGGGCGGCTGGCGCGGAATGTGGCCGTCGGGCAATTGCGCGGTGGCTTGCGGAGGCCGCGCGGAGGTGTCACGCGCGCTGCTTGAGAGGCGGCTGATGAGACCAATTTCATAGGGGCTCATGGGACTGCTTGGGTCGCTGTTGCCGCTGCTGCTGCTACTGTTGCTGCTGCTGCCGCTGCTCTTGAAGGTCCCGCTTTCGCTGCTTCTGCGGCTGCTGATCAGGGCTCTGCTGTTGCTGCTAGTACACCTGCCGGCGGATTGCGGAGCGGCGGCGACAGGCGGGGAAAGCGGGCTTCGAGGCTTATCTGTCGTGGAAGTGGCGCGCGGCGCGGCGGTGGGAAGGGATAGCTCCAACATAGCGCGAGCGTCGCCGTCGAGCACGGTGACGCTGTACGCCACGTCATCGTGAGTCACGATCATGGCGGCCAATCCTATTGAAGAAGCGTAACCCTACGAATTAGACGGTTCAAAGAGATCGATGAAATGTACTTTCGAGTCTGGAGGAGAATTCCGCAAGCGACCGTGAAAAAGACGCGAGCGTCACCTGCCAAGCGAAACGCTTCAGGCGCAAATGGTCGGTCCGCCCTCAGGCAAAGTGCGTTTGAGGAGGTGATGGCAGTATGGTAGCCTTGGGAAGGACGCACACACACCACGGGAGAACAGCGACGCGGGGTGACTCGCGATTTCGCCCCACCTGCTCTGAATGCTTCCACAAATCCGCCCTTTCTCTGCAAACACGCCCCTGGCTGCCTGCGGAAACTCGCCCCTTCCCCACAATTCCGCCCTTGAGCCCCGAATTTCCGCCCCAGATTGCTTTGCCTTGCCGCACATTCGTCCCTTCACAAATTCGCCCCACACTAGCTGCCAGCCAGCCTGGCGCTCGGATGTTCCCAGAATCTTGGTGGAGATCACTCCACTTGCAGGGGCGCAAGGGAACGGTCAGGATGGCCTCTGAGCTATCCAAAGCGGTCCAGGGACGGGGCAATTCGGTATGACGGATGTCGAGCACCGAACCTGCCGTGACTGAGCTGACGGCGTGGACGCAATCTCTCCCAGTTTCCGAGGTTGTGAGTCCGACGTTCGATTGACGAAGCAAAACGGCTGGTCAATGAATTCGTGCCCAGCTGAATGGTCCAGCCCAAGCCTTCGGCGAGGGGGAAGTAGAACCTTGCGCGCGCCTCGTCGTTCATGCGAGTTGCAAAGCCAATTTGCAGGAAGTAGTGGTCGTACCAATACAACTGCATCTCCGATAAGAAGTATCGGGAAGTTTGAAAATATATATGTTACAAGATTGAAATAAATTCGGAACTTCTATTGTTGATGCAACTTGAAACCACTTTGTTATGGCAATTAGAGGGTTGTTACTTACATCACCAATAAATGCTCGTCCATTGCAATCCAGCTTTTCGCAAACAACAAGAACAAACAGAAACGTGTAGCAAGATGCAAGTGGTACAAACAAGATCCAATGTCTCATACCGGTAAAACACTTTCGCTCCAAGTTTTAATTAAAATAACAAATTAGCCAAAAAAATCTGTCATCGAACTTTTTCCGTCACCAAATACAAGCTAATATTGAACTGCTTTAATACACCGACTGAGTAAGCATGAAAAACCCGTTGAATACAACACGAAAGAAACACTGACCAAACCCAATAGGTACAATCACAAGAAAAACGAGTTTCAATGCTTGGAGGAAAAAAATGGATGCAAGGCGGTCAAGTGATCCATGTTCCTGCACCGGGGAAGAAATTAGCATTGAAATGAGTACCGTACGAAAAAACAAGCGACCAGAAAACATTTCAATGGAGCCCAGCAACTACCGTAGTTGGATTAACTTACATTAGTGGAGGAAGAACGACTCTGGCCCGTACACGTCGTTCTCCTCTGCACCACTGCTTTGGAAAACTGGAGTCGCGGGGAGTTGAGCAGCTTCTTCACCTGTGGCGCTTTCCTTTGTGGTCTTCATCGAACTTTTCTCGTCACCATCACGCTGCTGCTGCCCCTCATCCGTCTCCTCGCTCACGTGCGCCGCCGATTCTGAAACCTGCGACACCTCCCCTATCCCCTCTCCATCGCACCCTCCATCCACCCCACTCCCATGCCCACCATCACCTGTCTTCTGCACCCCACCCTCCTGCACCCCAACCTCCTGCACCTCTCCCGCCTGCACCTCACCTTTCTGCACCTCACCCTTCTGCACCTCCCCTTCCAACCCGTCAACCTCAAACATCTCAGTGCTGTTACTGGCCTTCTCGATTACTCCCTTGCCCCCCTCCTCATTCAACCCCTCAACTACTCTCTCTTCCCTCTCCTCAGCCAACTTCTCAGCCGATCCATCCCCCCCTTCATTCACCTTTTCAACTAGCCCCTCACCCACTTCATTCACCTTCTCAACTGCTTCCTCACACCCCTCTTCAGTCACCTCTTCCACTGCTCCCTCTCCCCCCTCCGCATTCACCCCCTCACTTGCACCATTCCTTTCCTCACTTGACGCCTCTCCTTCTGCCTCTCCCTCTGCCTCTCCGTTTGCTTCCCCTTCTGCCTCTCCTTCTGCCTCTCCCTCTGCCTCTCCCTCTGCCCCTCCCTCTGCCTCTCCTTCTGCCTCTCCCTCTGCCCCTCCCTTTGCCTCCCCTTCGGCCTCTCTTTCGGCCTCTCCCTGTGCCTTTCCCTTTACCTCCCCTTCTGCCTTTACTTCTGCCTTTACTTCTGCCTCCCCTTGTGCTTCCCCTTCTACCTCCCTTTCTGCCTCCACTTCTGCATCTCCTCCCTCCCCTCCTTCCCCCACCATTTCCTCCTCCCCTTCCATCGCTCCTGTCTCTCCTACCTTCTCTTGACCCTTCTCGTCTTCCTCCACTCCTTCTGTTCTGCCTTCCTCCACTCCTTCCTTCCCTCGTTCCTCCACCCATTTATCCTCTTCTTCCACCTGCTTCTCCTCTTCTTCCCTCCCCCTCTCCTTCTTTTCCTCCACTCCCTCCTTACCTCCTTCCACAGCTACCTCCTCTTCTACCTTCCCTCCTTTTTCTGCCCCTTCCTCCTCCCCTCCCTCCACCCCTTCCTCCTCTCTTCCCTCCTCTCCCCTTCCACGAACCACCTCTTTCTCCTCCTCCTCCTCCTCCCCTGCAACATCTCCACTCCATTCCTTCTCTCCCTGCTCCTCACACACGTCTACCCCCTGCTCCTCGCTCTCCTTCACTTCCTCTTCTTGCTCCCCCCCTTTCTCTCCATCCAACACTCCTTCACCCTCGACACTCCCTGCCCCCTCCCCTCCCTCCCCTCCATCAATCACACTCACCACATTCCCCCTCCCCACCTCACTCCCTTCCTCACCTCGCCCAGCCTCACTCCCGGACCACCCTCCCCCCACCTCACTCCCACTCCCCTCCCGACCCCCACCTCCCATCCGCCTGCCAGCCTTCCCCACCCCGCGGCATTCAATCTGATCCAATGTTGCCTCGCTCTCCTCCCTCAGCGCCTCACACTCCTCCACGAATCTCACCCTCTCCTCCTCCAGCTGCTGCAGCAGCGCCAACTCCGCCTGCTTCACCCCCTGGCGGAACTGCAGCAGCTTCTCGTGCTGCTGCTGCTTCAGCTGGGCTAACCCCGCTTGGAACACAGCAGCAGCGTGCAGGCTGCCCCGCAGAGCGCTGCTGTGGTCGTCACTGTGAGAGGAAGCCGGTGCGGGCGGAGGAGGTTTCAGGGAGCGGGAGAGGGAGAGAGTGAGAGGAAATGAGAGCGTGCAGGCTGTGATGGTGACAATCGACTCAAAATGAAGTCCACGGCAGAATCACCCAATCGCACGCACCTGAGCTCAGACGAGCTGGAGAGTTGGCGCTGCAGGGTGCGGGCAGCAGCAACGTGCTGCTCGTTGGCCACCTTGCCTCGCCACTCCAGATCCGCCTGTTAGCAATGTGGAGCGCTGTTGACAAATCCCAAACACCCCAAGGCACACACCTGAGCTCGGACGAGCTGGACAGTTGGCGCTGCAGCGTGCGGGCGGCAGCAACATGCTGCTCGTTGGCCACCTTGCCCCGCCACTCCAGATCCGCCTCCCTCTCCTCCACCGCCCTCCTGCTCTTCTCCCTCTCCTCCAGGCTCCGCGCATATGCTTCCTCCAAACTCGCCACCTGGTGGGGAGGAATGCCAAAGGAGGAGGGGAGAGGAGTGGAGGTGGGTATGATGATGGGCGGTGGGTACGAGGACAGCTCAATGCTGCTCAATGCTCAATGCACAAGCAATGCAATCCACCTCACGCTCCTCCACCATACTCCTTCTCCTCGACTCCGCAATGCTCTGTGCGTATGCCTCCTTTAAACTCGCCACCTGTGGGGGGGGGGGGGGGGGGGGGGGGGGGACCCGGAGGACGGAAGGTGGGCATCGGAGAGGAATGGAGGGGATGGGCGGTGATTGTGAAGACAGCTCAATGCACTCCAAACCCAAAGATCGACTCCCCCTCCTCCAACAACCCACCACTCGCCCACTCCCTACCCCACCCGGCCCAACCTCACCCCTCCTTGTGCTGGGCCGCGAGAGAGGAAGATGAGATGAGAAGCAGCGACTGGGCGGAGTGCTCCTTGCCACCACCGCCTGCACCTCCGCCTCCTTCATCTGCATCAGCCTCGCAACACTCAGCACGGTGCTCTCCAGGTGCGTGAGGCGACGCCCACGGGTCCCGCCACACACGTTCATCAACCCTATGCTCACCTCCTCACCCCAGGCTCACCTCCTCCTTGTGCTGCGCCGCCAGCTTCTTGTGGCGCGCCACCACGGCCTGCACCTCCTCCTCCTTCATCTGCATCTGCACGAGCCACACCTGCCACAAAAGTCCACCAACCTGGCTCTCACCCACTCCCTACGCTAACCCCACCACTCACCTCTTCCTTGTGCTGCGCTGCCAGCTTCTTGTGGCGCGCCACCACGGCCTGCACCTCCTCCTCCTTCATCTGCATCAGCCTCGCCGCATTGAGCACCGTGCTCTCCAGGTGCTGCCGCTGCTGCTTCTCCCCCTCCAGCTCCGACGCCAGCTGCTGCCGCCGCTCCTTCTCCTCCTCCACCCGCTCCTGCAGCTGGTGCTTCTCTATCTTCACCTCCACCAACTTGTGCGACATCTGTAATTGGGGTGGGGGGAGGCAAGGGGGGAAGGGAAGACAAGGCGGGCAAGGGTGAAAGTTTGAGCTGCTGCCTGCTCTCGCCTTCTCCTCCTCCACCCGCTCCTGCAGCTGGTGCTTCTCTATCTTCACCTCCACCAACTTGTGGGACATCTGCGAAAAGAGGGAAGGGGCGGGGAAAGGGCGGGAAGGGAAGGCAAGGCAGGCAATGGTGACACATTGAGTTGCTGCGTCCAGATGCTCCTGCAGCTGCGAATTCTCGACCTTCACCTCCACCAGCTTGTGAGACATCGCCCCAACTCAAAAGACCCCCCCCAAGGCGCCCTGGCTCACCTCCACCACTTGAGACTTGTACATGCCGGCCTGCATTGCCTGCTCGCGCATGCGCCTCAGCGGCTCGTCCACCACCTCCCTCCTCCTCTTCACCTCCACCTTCAGTGCCGCCTTGCCTGCCCCACACACACACACACCCACACACCCATCATGGTTCAGTGCACACAGACAAGCACCGAAAGGAAACTTAGCACAGGGACAGACAGGCACAGGGACACTGTGAACTCCCTGCAGGGTGGCAAGGTACCCACACAGGTTCCTCTTCCCCAATACATCAGTCTACACTCCCTTCCCCTACTCCTTCCCCCACCTGTCTCCTCTCACCACCCCATGAAAACGTCCCACCTTGGAAGCACCGGTTGAAGTTGTCGACATCCTGTTGGGTGGCAAGGTACCCGAACAGGTTGCGCTTCCCCGACCGGTCCACCAGAGGCGCCGACCGCCGTTCCAGCTCCAGCCGCCCGCGACCCTCTTTCTCGAATTGCTGTGCCAGGCGCTCGGCTTCTTTGAATCCGTCTGGCGTGGCGTCGAAGACCAGAATGCTCATGCCGCGATGGCCCTGATGGGATGGGGTGGGTGGAGGAAGGCAGGCAGTGTGAGGGCGCGGGGCATGGAGCAATCGAGACAGGATTTGGCTGAGAGAGGAATATGATTCCTGAGGGATTCGTGGAGAAATAGAGGGAAAGAGCATTCCAGACAATGTGCCCTTGTGCATGTGCTGCAGTGTGTGTGTGGAGGAGCGTGAGTTGAGAGTGCGTGCTTGGAAAATGCGGTCACCTGACGGTTGTAGGCATGCTTTGTCTTGACAACGTGCAGGTAGTGCGCGAAGTGCTTCCGCAGCTCATAGCTGCCCATGCCTATCCACTGCCTCGGGACGAAAGACAGAGATGCGATGCACGGGGGTGGCAGGAAGGACGGGGGGAGGAGAGAAGGGGGGTGTTGAGTGGCCGTAGGCATGCTTTGTCTTGACTATGGGCTGGTAGTGCTCACAGTGCTGCCTCAGCTCACAGCTTCCCATGCCTATCCACCGCCTCCGGAAAACAGTGATTCACAGAGATGCCAGAGAAGGGAGCAAGGGGAGAAGGGGAGAAGGGTGGTGTGAAGTGGGGCGGAGGGAAAAGAGGGAAGAGTGTGAGTGAAAGCAGCATGAGAAGTAGCAAGATGGAGAATGAGTGAGAGGGAAGAATGAGAGGGAAAAATGAGTGAGGGAAGAATGAGAGAGGGAAAAAAGAGTGAGGGAAGAATGAGAGAGGGAAAAAAGAGTGAGAGGGGAGGATGAATGAGAGGGAAGAACAAGAGAATCAGTGCTGAAGAATGAGTGAGAGGGAAAGGAAGACAATAACCCGAGTCAACAGAGTGATTGACTGCAGAATGAGACTTTCACTCCTTCATGCACCCATCCACCCATCATCAACCCGTTGCCCACCCTCACCCACCACACCATCACCCTCCTGCCCATCACCACACACCCTCCCGTCCATAAGCATTCACCCACCCATCACCATCCATCCACCACCGGCACACACCTTCCCATCCTCATCAAGTCGCAGTTGAGTGTTCCGGATCATCACCACGGGGGGCCACAGCACCGTTGCGTTCCCCTCCTCCGCCCTCCGCCCTCCCACCCCCCGCCACTGCCCCTGCAGCACCCCCTCCTGCCCCTCCCTCCCCGCACCCCCACCCCCCTGGAAAATCCCCCTCTCCCGCAAATCCACGTGCATCGTAGCCGCAAACGCGCGGTGCGCTCCAATCCTCCTCGTTCTAATAGTCTCCGCATGCTGCAGGAGAGCCCGGATGCTCGGCCACCAGTAGGTCTCGCCCTTGCCGCCATTGCACGCGGGGCACTTGAACTGGTCTGCCTTGATCTGGTCGGCCGACAGCTTCGTGAGGTCAACAAAAAAGAGGGCGACAGCGGGCGAGTGCTTGTAGTCGGCGGTCAAGTCGAATGCCGACTCCGCGCCCTCTTCCTCCTCTTCCTCAACTTCATCGTCGCCCTCGCCGTCGTTTTCACCCAGTAGTCCGCCCACGCCTTGCCCTGGGGGCGTAGCAGCAGCACCAGCAGCAGCAGCAGGAGCAGCAGCAGGAGCACCAGCAGCACGAGCAGCAGCAGCAGGAGCAGTGCCGAACCTACTCCCACCAGCCGCCCTACTGCCAGCAGCAGCAGCAAGAGCAGCGGCAGCAGCGCGGGCCCGATCAGCCGCCCCAGCATTACTCACACTATCCGAGAAGTCCACATCGAGCTCGCTCACAGGGGGCACGTACTCGCTCCCTGCAGGCAGGCGCAGCACACTGGAGTGCAGCTCTGACTGCGGGCCGTACCCAGACTGAGCCCAGGAGGATGCGCCTGGTGATGCCATCACCCCCCTGCCAATCTCTGTGGGGAGCTGGGGGTTCTGTGCTCTCTGCCCAGCTGTGGCAGGGAGTGTGGCACTTGCTTGCTTTGCAGCGCTGATAGCAGAGCTTGCAACGGAGGGGGTTGCACGGCTTGCACGGGTTGCACCGCTCGCAGCGCTGGAAGCGCCACTCCTGCCCAGGCTACCGCCTGTCCCCACCCACTCCTCCGTCCTGCTGCCCCCACCCCCGCCCTGCTCCCCACTCTCCCCGATACTCGCCCCCACGCGGCCCCCCATGCTCCCGCCAGCACTGCCGGCCTCCAACCCCTGCCCGCCACATGGCAGAGACCCAAACTCGCCAGGAATACAAGCGCCCGAGCCCACGCCCATGCCCATCCCCATGCCACTGCCCATGCCCACTCCCGCTATAGCAGGATCAGGTGGGAGGCCGTGAGCAAAAGCAGAGGGAGGCAGGACGGCAGCAGAGGCCAATCCAGGTTGGACGAGCGATGGGAAGGCGGCGGATGGGGCAATAGCTGGCCAAGAAACCCCCGTGTCGCCGTACGATTGGCCGGAAGGATCAGCAAAAGCAGGGGATTGGGCGTAGAAAGAGGAAGGAGTGGAGGTGGGTGGGGAGGTGGGCGTGGAGGTGGGGTGCAGTGGAGCAGGGGAGAGAGCCCCAGGGGCGGAGGCAGTGGAGGGGGCGGGGACGTGGCCGGGGGGAGGGGAGGGGGTCGAGGGGGTGAATTCGGGCGCGGATGCGCGGATGAAGGAGGGCGCCTGGGCGCTGATGAAAGAGGGTGCTTGGGCGCGGATGAATGAAGGCGCATCCGCGCGTAGGTACGTGCTGGCATCGGCGCTGAGGGGGGAAGGGAGGGAAGAGGCGGAGGCAGCAGCGGGGAAGGGGGGGGCGCCTGCTCTCAAGCCCTCGCTACCAGGCACCTTGCCAGTGCCGCTCCCACTGCTGCGATCAGCGTTACCCGCACCGCTAGTCTCAGGTGTCAAACTCGTCTCAGCGCTGGTACCAGCCTTCAGCCCAATAGCATAGAGGATGCTGTCCGTGGCTGACCGCTCTGATACAATGCTCCCCGGCGCTACAGCCGATGCTACAGCCGGGGCTATCCCTGACGCTGCAGCTGAGGCTGTAGCGACGTGCTGCCAGGCGCGCAGGCCCTTGTTGATGGACGAGACGGCAGAGGCGTTGGTCTCTGTCTCCCACGCGCTGCTGTCGCCCCTGCTGCCCGCCTCCCACCCGTCTACCTCCCTGTGAGCCACTATGGGTGGCATCAGGGGAATGGGCACCACAGTAGGCACCACCGCAGGCACCATTGCCTCCTGCTCATTGCTCTTCCTCCACTCCCCGCCCTTCCCCTCCGCCCCGCCACTACCCCTCCTCCACTTCCCTTCCGCGGCTGCCTCGGCCTCCCCTCGACCCGACTTGTTCCCCGCGCCTCTCCACCCCGGTTCCCCTCCCGCCACCCGGCCTGCGCCCTTGCCTCCGGCCGCCCCCGCACCCTTCTTTCCGCCAGCCCCCGCACCCTTGCTTCCGCCCCCACTGCCCCCCGCGCCCTTGCTTCCGCCACCGCCCGCCACTCCCCCCCAGCCCGTGCTATCAGCGCCCCCCCACTGGCGCGCGAGGCGCTCGTCCTCCTCCTGCTGCTTCCAGATGTCCTCGTCAGATCCGCCCTCCCCCAGCTCCGCCTGCCTCTGCTGCCCAAACGCCCTCCAGCTGTCCACTGCTCCCCCGCCCCCTCCACTCGCTCCAGCCACTGCGTTCCCACTGCTGCCCATCCCACCACCACCACCACCACCACCGCCACCACTGCCGCTACCACCGCCACCTGGTGGTGGCGCTGCTGCTGCTCCTGACGCTGTCGCTCCTGCTGTTGCCCCTCCCCATCCTCCACCTACTACCGCGTCCCCCCATCCTTCCCCCTTGCCGGCTACCACAGGACCCCCTCCCGCACCCCCTGCTCTCCCGTTCGCCGCCGCAGCTGCAGCTAAATGCGAGGACGTGGACGAGTGAGTGGGCGAGACGATGTCCCTCTTTCGCCACTCCACCCCACTCTTGCCCGGCCCTCCCTTGGCTGCGCCCACTCCCCAGCCATCACCACTGCCACCGCCACCAGCAGCAGCATCAAGAGCAGCAGGGCTGAAGCCGCCACTGCTCCTCTCCCACGCGGACGCACCACCACTACCAGAAGCACCGCCAGTGCCACCAGCAGCAGCAGCGCTCACGGCAGCACTGGTCAACCCCACACTGCTCCTCTCCCACGTGGACGTAGCACCATCGCCACCAGCAGCAATACCGCCACCACCACCACCAGCGCTCAAGCCCCCACTGCTCCTCTCCCACGCGGAAGCCCCCACCCCCCCGCTCCTCTCCACCCCTCCCTTTGTCCCCCCACCTGCTGCCTCACCCTGCCCCCTTCCGCCGACCCGCTTGCTCGGCGGCACGTACCTGCCAGAGGTTCGGCCCGAGCCTCTGTCGCTGCTGACGCTGCTGGGCGCAGCATCCCCCCACCCCGCACCATCTGTCCCCCATGCCGAGCCGGCGCTACCCCTACTGGCGCCCCCCCCACCGCTGCTGCCCTGCCAGCTGGCGCCGGCGCTGTCGCCCCATTGGCTGTTGAGGTCTGACTTGGCGTCGGACCAGGCGGCACTAACTACACTAGCGTCCTCGTTAGTAGCAGTGCTCCTGGGGCGCACGTAGCCACTAGCGGAGCTGAGTTCGCTCATAGAGTCGTTGTCCTTGGCTTGTGCCGAGGAGCCTCCCCACTGCTGCTGGGGAGGCTGCTGCTGCTGCTGCTGCTGCTGCCATGTGAGTGTTTCCTTTGACTGCTGCTGCTGCTGCTGCTGCCATGTGAGTGTTTCCTTTGACTGCTGCTGCTGCTGCTGCTGCCATGTGAGTGTTTCCTTTGACTGCTGCTGCTGCTGCCACGTAAGAGGCTGTTTCGCAAACTGCTGCTGCTGATGCTGCGGTTCCTGCAGTTTTCCCTCCTCCTGCTGCTGCTGCTGCTGCTGCTGCTGCTGCTGCTGCCAGGTAAGCGGTTCCTTCCCCAGCAGCTGCTGCTGCTGCCAAGTGAGGCTCTGACTCTCACCTCCCACCGCTCCTTGCACTGGCCCCGCCTGGGCGGAAGACGCCTGCTTCCCAAATTGCGCCTGCTGCCCCCTCGGCTCCTTGCCAGCCCCCTCGCCGCCGCTGCCACTGCCCACACTGCCCTCCAACTCTCCCTCCTCCGCATCCCAAAACTCATCGTCCCCCTCTCCTCCCTCTTCGTTCGCCCCACCTGATTTCCCCCCATCCTCTTCCGCCCTCCCTCCTTCCAAAGCGCTATCCGCCTCGTTTCCGCCACCATCACCGCCGCCAGCACCGCCACCGCCGCCACCGCCACCGCCGCCCCCACCATCCCCATAACCCCCTTCGGCGTAACCATCGCCAGCAGCGTTACCCCCCTCGTTATACTCTCCCTCCGTATACTCCCCTTCCGCGTATTCCCCCTCCGCATATTCCCCCTCCGCATACTCCCCCTCCCAATACTCCCCCTCTCCATACTCCCCTTCCCCGTACTCCCCCTCGCCATACTCCCCCTCCACATACTCAGCCTCCTGAGCACCAGCGTCAGCAGCAGCAGCAGCAGCAGCAGCCCCAGCCGTGGCCCCGTCAGCAGCCGCACCAGTAGCAGCAGCGGCAGGAGCAGCAGCAGCAGGCGCGTCCTTCCACCCGATGATATCGCCCCACCCATCGTAAATCGGTACCTTGCCACCTACCTGCCCCTCCGCGCCTCCACTGCTCCCAGCCGTAGCGGCATCGCCAGCAGCTGCGCTTGAATACGCAGCAGTGGTGACAGGCGCGGTGCTGGCAGGGGCAGAGACGCCTGCGGGTGCAGGGGTGGCAGCCCACGCAGAGGCAGCAGCAGCAGCAGGCGCGTTAGCAGGCAGACGAGTCGGGTGCGAGGTAGTGAAGTTCCTGCGGTGCCAGCTGCTGGCGTCGGACCCAGAGCCAGCAGTGCTAGGCGCAGCCGTGCTAGCACCCCACGCTGTCCCCGCGGAACCACCAGCGGCAGCGCCAGCAGCAGCAGCAGCAGGAGCAGGAGCAGGAGCAGGAGCAGGAGCAGCAGGCGCGGAGTACCTGCTGGCGTCCGAGCCAGGCTCTTTGGCGCGCCACCCCCTGGCGTCGGAGCCAGCGCCCGCAGTACCAGGTGCAGCCGTGCTAGCACCCCACGCCGTGCCCGCGGAAGCACCAGCAGCAGGACCGGCAGGCGCGGAGTACCGGCTGGCGTCAGAGCCAGACTCCTTGGCGCGCCACCGGCTGGCGTCCGAGCCCGAGTCGGAGGGGGTGCGCGGCGCCTGTGGCGGTTGGCTGCCCCCCCAACGCTGCGCGCCAGTTCCTGCCGCCACCAGCAACCCTGCTCCCTGAGCCGCTCCCTTTGCCCCTCCTGCGCCTGCGCCTGCTGCTGCAGCGGGCTCTGATCGCCATGATCCTGCTGCGGATGGCGCTCGCGACTGCGCCTGCGGCGGCGGCAGGGGGGGCACAGCGGACACCACACGCACTGCCTGGGGCGCCGCCACGTGCTGGGGCGCATTGGGCTGAGGGGCCATGTTTGGGTGTGGGCCAACGTTTGACTGCAGGCTGGCGTTCGAGGGAGGCCGATGGCCGGCAGGCCCTGTCTGAACGGCAACGTCACGTTCCCACCATTCCCCGCCTTGCCCCGCCCCGCGCCCCGCCTGCTGCGCCGCTGGCCCATGCGCGCTACCCCACGGTGCTTGTCCCTTAGCTTGCGCCGCCTCCCAATCTCCCGCTCCATGCGCCTTCAGTTGCCACTGCCCTTGCCCCTGCCCTTGCCCCTGCCCCTGCCCCTGCCCCTGCGCCTGGGCCTGCGCTTGCCATTGCTCCTGCCCCCGCCCCTCCTCCCACCACGGTCCTGCATGCGTCTGCTGCCCAGGACCCTGCCCCGCCCCCGACTGCGCTCCCCAGCCCTGAGGCCCTTGATTCGCCCCCTGCCATCCTTGAGGGACTTCACTGCCCCCCTGCCAGCCCTGAGGCCCTTGGTTCGGGCCCTGCCAACCCTGAGGCCCTTGGTTCGGGCCCTGCCAACCCTGAGGCCCTTGGTTTGGGCCCTGCAAACCCTGGGGCGCTTGGTTTGACCCCTGCCAGCCCTGACCCGGACCCAATAAACCATGGGGCTGTTGGTTCGGTCCGGACCAGCCAGCAGCCTGGTTCGGCGCGGACCAAGCCTGAGGCTGATTGGACACCTGACCCGCCAGACCGATCGGTACGTTCGCGGAAGTATGTCCCCAAGTCGGGGGGGAAGGAGCTCTTCCGCCATACGGCCCCTGAATGGATGGCGCATACCCCCCAGGATGGGAAGGCCCCGCGGAATGAGGGAACGCGGAAGGTGGCGGAGGGGGGTAGGGTTGGGGCTGCTGGGGGAGATGCGGGGCGGCGGAGGTGAAAGGCGCGGGGGCGTGGGGCGGGAAGGGGGGTTGATGAGGCGGAGGTGGTTGTGGCGCAGCCGCTGGCGGAAGGGGCGCCATTGGCGGAACGCGGGAAGACGGAGATGCGGGCACGGAGGTTGTGCTGCCAGGCGCACTGCTGCCGCCGCCGGTTGCGGCAGGAGCGCCGCCCAGCGAGGCCCACCAGGGGATCGCGCTGCTGCTCCCGGCCACCGAGCGGGCAGAGCTCGTGCTCCCCGCGGGCTTCGAGGTGGTTACCACCGATGGCGGTTTGTAACCGCTGACGGTGTACCCGGCGAGGGCGCCACCCGGCGACACAGCTGCCACACCAGGGCCCACGACGTCTTTCTTCTTCTTTTTCTTTGTTGCGGCGGGCGCGGGGCTTCCGGGTTTCGCCAGCGGCTGTTTCTTCTGCGCGGCCGCTGCTGCGGCAGTGGGGGAGGACGCCCCTGCGGCAGGTGCTTTTTTCGCCGCCTTTTTTTTCTTCGCCTCGGCCGCCGTCACTGCTCCTGCCGCTGCCGTTGCTGCTGCACCCGTCCCTGATGCACCTGCTGCTGCTGCTGCTGCTGCTGCTTGACTTGCGGCCAGCGCCGGCCCTGGCGCGGCGGCGGGAGTGGCAGAAGAGCCCCAACCTGAGCTGTTGGCGGCGCCCCACGAGGCGCCGTACCCGGTGGCGCCGGACACGCCCCACGAGCCGTCCTTGTCGCGCCAGGACTCCGCGTCGGTGTCATCCGATTCGTTAGCCCAGTGCTTCTCTTTAAGCTGCACAGCGTTGTACTGTCGCCAGTACTCCGCCGGGTCGATGGGCGCGGCCGCCGTGCTGGTGCTGCAAACACTAGCGAGGTCGTCCATACCAGACCAGCTTTTTAGAGGGACGCGGAATCCTGCAAAAAAACGACGGGAAAATGTCATTGGACAAGCAGTCAAGCAAAACCCCTATCAGCCTTCCTGGATCGTAAAATCAGAGGGAAATTTCATAGCACCAAGCCAGCGACGCAGTCGAACAGAGCAATCGACATCCTAGACTCACCTTCCGCGTCACCTCGTGGTGAACTATCTCAGATCGGGTAACGTTCAGCACAGACTCATCCGTAATCTGCTGCTCAGATCTTTGCATGCAAACAGGCGCCTGAAAAATACTCTGCCGCGTACAATACTTATAAAAGAAGACGCGTATTCTTGAAAGTAGGCGGCGATAAGACGCTATTCCTACGAGGAAGGAGTCACCAACGACCAAGAGTGGTGTGGGCAATCAAGAGAGCTGAAAACCAGCTCCCTTGATGTCCCAGACCCCACTCTAGAGAGTTCCAAAGCAGAGCTGCTGTGGTGGGCTTATCTCGGAATGGAGGAGAATGGGTGAGTGGTGCATGAAGCGAACCTGGAATGAAGATAACTTGATGCCTCTGAGGGCTATATTATGGTTCTTTACGCTTACACAGCGTTTCCAAGGATTATCAATGCGGTGACCTGAAACCACATTGTGCGACCACCTGCGATCCAATCTGTTCCCGCCTGTGCGAGGCCTGGATGGCAATGCCATGCATGTCATGCGACGACCATCTGTAACACTGCGAACTGTTCCGAAAGCATGCACACGAACAGAAATCAAGCTCGAACTGAACGCGTTTTAGACGTGTCTTTATACCTGCTAGTGTGTGTTAATCTTCTCTCTTCCAAAGACGATATACGTTTTGGGAGCTGATACATTTGAGTTTGTCCGTTGCTCGGCTTGGCGTTTCCGTGCCAAATTGGCGCGAACCCCACCAAGCCACACGCGGCACGGCAAATCGAGCCTCTCTGTTTGAGGGAGCATGCAAAAACGAGTCTCGAGGTGAGGTGTCGAGGCCGAGGCAAAAAGAGGGCCGACCGCTTGACGAGCTGTTTCGCCGTTCGATTTCATCACTTCTGGTGCCGAGCAAATCAATCGACGGTAAAAATTAGCTCCAAGTTCGCGAGGTCCGTTAGGGGCCACCAATTTTGGGGCCAATTTTTCGTTGGCACATGAGGCTTGGCGGTTGGCGGACGTACTTGGACCTCCTTCCCTTGGGAATTGTTGGCTCTTCCCTAGACTAGTTTGGAACTCGTGACTCTGAGATTGATTCTTCATTGCCTTTAGATGGCTATCCTTGTGTCACCTGTTATGAGATAGCCAGCTGGTTCCGCCTGGCGCTCTAGGAGATACTAACACTGACACTAACTTATTGGTCTAAGAAAACCCATTACTGACACCACGTTTTGTCTGGATTAAGTTTCTAGATGGAGCGTGAAGGGTGGTCTTCGTATACGCTGGACGATAAGGGCATCAGCATTCGGGTACGGACAGGTCTTCCGCTCTCCATGCACTGCTCCCAATGTTCACGCTTTGATACGCAGGCTTGCAGCTGTCCGCTTCTAGTTGACAATGGCGTCGACTTTAACCAAGTCTTAGTTGCGTCCTTCGCCTGAGCGCGAATGTCCAGCACGTGCATGCACGGAGTCAACAAGGTTTTGTCCTTGTCCCGTCCTTGCATAGAATTTTCCGAGCCCCAACATACACCGGAGTTTTCCGTCTCCCATCCTTGTTTCGTTGATTTCCCAATCATGTTTCACTCCGTGCAGAATCGCGTGAGGCTGTCGCAAGCACCGGATTCGTCGTCGGAGTCGTCGCTGGCCAGCTTCATCAGCAACCTCGCACGGCCGGCCGGCTCGTACCGCACGCAGTTCCTGCCTTCGCCGCAGCAGCGCAAGAAACAGCAACCGGAGTCGCAGCAACAAGGAGACGATCAGAATGACCAGGCTCAAGCCGACCAGCCGTCGGAGCAAGGGCTGAGCGCCGACGGCGAAGAGCAACAGCACTCGCATGCTGACCAGGAGCCGAAGCAGTCGCCGTTACCGCTTCCCCTCTCCCTTCCTCGCTTCTTCCAGTGCCCGCAGCGGTCTCTGTCGCTCGACCCTCGCATTCTTCGCAAGCTGCTCTTCGAGCGACACGCAAAACCGTCGCACGACGACGCGACGGAAGGCGACGATTCGAGCCCCGCCGACAAACAACCAGAGCTCCTGGAGGATATGAATCATCCGCAGGAGCCACCGTCGACCATGGAGAAGAAAAGCTCGTTCTCGGAAAATAAGCCCTCCCTGCACCGCCGATCCTCGCTCCCGTTCGTCAAGGAGGTTCGGGAAGATGCCGAAGCTGATGACGGCGAGGCGAAGCAGATCCGCGAGGAGGGGCAGACGCGGGTTCTCCCGCTGGACATGGAGATGTCGCCGCGCACGCGGTGGGAGGAGCTGAGCGAGCAGCAGCTGCTGCACGAGCTGCAGCGCCGCGAGGAGGACGCTGCGCGGCTCAGGCGGATGCGCGAGCAGCAGGAGAGGGCCGGCGCGCGGGAGTCGTCGCGGGAGAGACGGCGGGACGTGTCGCCTCAACGGGTCAGTCAGCCCCTCGTGCCCCCTCGGCGGCCGTCTCTTCTGTGTCTTCACTTACTGAGTGCACTCCATGGGTGGCAAGCTATGCTATTCTCTACGTTTCCCGGTTATCTGTTTCGTCGTTTTCTTCTTCTTTATGTTTGTATAGAAGATTAGAAGTTTCTAGTTTTGACTCCCTGTCCCACACCTTTTTCCTCTTCCCCTCCTTCCGCCGTCCCCCTCCGCCTTGCCTGGTCCGCGCAGGACTTCCTTCCCCGCGACACCCTCACGTGGGTGCTGCTGGCGGGCGGCGCCATCGCCGCGGCGGCGTCTGCGGTGGGCAACAAGCGGCGCAAGGCGCATCTTACGGAGTCCTGCGTCGGCTCCACCGGACCATCGGACAGCTTCGGTATGTCAGGCTCGGGGCAGATGTCAGGCTCGGGACAAATGTCAGGCTCGGGAAGCGCGGATGAGATTCGGAGGCTGAGAAGACGCGACGGACGCCCGGAAAGGAGCCGCGACGGAGAGTCTTCTAGAGTCGGCGGGAACGGTGAGTGACACGCCGGGAAGCGAGGCAAGGAGAATGACACCCCTGTCCCTCTCCTTCTCTTTTCCCTTTCTCCGTCCACCCACCCACCCCCTCCCTCCCTCCCTCCCTCCCTCTCACCCACCGCCCTCTCTGACTCTCTCTTCCTCAGCGAAGCACCCAAACCGCTTACTGTTCCTCCTGTCCCCGTTCCCACTCGCCGTCCTTTGCTAGTCAGTTGCCCCCTCAACCTCCCCACCTTCTCCCCGGGCCTACAGTCGCCCTGAGCGATCCTCGCGGCAGCAGCGTCACGGGGGACGGCGGCGGGCGCAGCAGCAGGCGGAGCAGCAGCCGTCACAGCCACCACCACGACCGCGCATACGACCACAGGCACGCGCACTCGCGCGGGCACGAGGGGCACGGGGGGAGGCAGCGCGCGCGCGGGGCCGATTGCGGGGCGGACGACAGCGGGGAGTCGCGCGAGGCTTATCTGGGGGAGCAGTACTCCGGGCAGGGAGGGTACGTGGGGAACAGGCTTGCGCCGGCGGAGCGGGGGAGCTACAGCGAGAGGCGGAGACGAGGGGGAGGGAGCAGTAGGGCTTACAAAGAGGGCAGTGCCACCAGTGCTGCTGCTTACACCGCTGATGCCTTCACCCCTTCTTCTTCCTCCGCCGCAGCCGCTGCTGCTGGTGCTGGTGGAGCAGGCAGCAGGACGCGGACTTACTCCCTCTCCTCTGGTCAAGACGCCGCCGCCGCCACCGCCGCTGCCATGGCAGCCGGCACAGCCGCCGCTGCTGCAGGCGCGCTCGCCGCCCCCTCCCTTCCCCCTATCGTTCCCCCTCACCACATCCTCGTGGCGCCAGGCGCAGCAACGGGAGGGGCTCCCCCGGTGGGCCTGGGTCTGCTGGGCAAGGATGCTCCGGAGTTCTGGGCTGCGCTTCCTTCCGACGCGCTCGCAGCAGCGTCCGCCGTGGCAGCTGCGGCGGCTAAGGGGAAAGCGCCCCTGTTTACCCCCGAGAGCTCCGCCCCTGGCGCGGGCGCAGGTCCGTCGTCCTCGCTTCAGCTGCGCACCCCTTCCCAGACTGGTGAGCGCGCGGCGCCGCACGCGCCCTTCTCTTCCCCTTCTGCTGGCGTGTTCCGCTTCACCGGCGCCAGCCCCAGCGGCGGCGGCGGAACTGATGGCACAGGCGCGGGGAGCAGCGGAACGCCGCTGGGTCTTCTGGGGAGCGGCGTGGGGACCTTTTCCGGGCTGGGGGCGTCCGCGCATACGTCCAGCCCCTCTTCCGCCGCGGGGCTCCCCTCCCGCCGCGAGGAGGTGCTGCGGCTGCGCGCGCAGCTGCGGAGGCGCGACGAGATGATCCTAGACATGCAGACGCAGCTGCTGCGCCAGGAGGAGGGGGTTGCGCAGCGGATGGACGGGCTGGCGGAGCTCGAGCACGCGCTGGAGGAGCAGCGCGCGGAGAAAGCGCGCGCGGAAGCGAGGGCGGCGGAGGCGGAGAGAGAGGCGGAAGCCCAGGCGGAACAGTGCCAGGCGTTGTTGCGGAGGCTGAAGGAGCTGGAAAGGGGCAAGGGGGGAAGAAGCGGAAGCGGGGACAGTTCCGGGGGTGGAAATGCTAGCGCGGAAGGAGAAGCAGGCGGAGCCAGTGGGGGGAAGTCGGAAGAGGGGGAGTCCAGGGCGGCGGAAGGCGTGCTGGAGGCGCAGATTGCGGAGGCTGTGGCGGCGGCGAAGGATGCGGCAAGGCAGGCGGCGGAGGCTGCAGCGGCGGAGCAGTACCGCGTGGGGAAGGCGGAAGGATCGCTAGCCGCGCAGCGGGAGCTGGAAATCGCCGTGCGCCGGGGCAGGCAGCTGGAGGAGCAGCTCGCCAAGGCGGAGGAATCCGCGGAGAAATGGGAGCGGCTTGCGCGGGAGGCCATGGCGGAAAGCGCGCGGAAAGAGGCGGAGGCCGCGAAAGCAGAGGCGCGCGCCGCCCGCGCAGCAGCGGAGGCGGAGCGCCTGGATGAGGAGTGCGCGGCGCTGGGCGCGCAATACCAGGCGGTTCAGGAGCAGGCGGAGGCGCTGGAGAACGATCTGCGGGAAATGCAGGAGAAGGCGGAGCTGTGGGAGAACAGAGGCCACGAGGCCGTCAATATAGTGGAGATACTTGAAGCGGAGCTGACTGTAGCGAAGCAGCAGGCGGAGGAGGCGGAGGAGGCGAAGCGGGAGGCGGAAGAGGCGCGGCGAGAGGCGGCGGACGCCAAACTCGAGGCGGCTATGGCGCGGGAAAAGGTGGCGGATGCCTCCGCCGCGATGGCGGAAGAAGCGGAAGCGGCAGGCGCGCGGGTGAAGGAGCTGGAGGAGCGGTTGGAGGAGAGCGAGGGGCGCGCGCGGTACTGGGAGGTGGCGGGGAGCGAGGCGGTGGAGCAGGCGGCGGCGGCGGAGCGGAAGGAGGCGGCGGCGGTGGCGGCGGTAGAGCTGGCGGCGCAGATCTCGTACCAGAAGGGGCGGGATGAGATGCGCGCGGAGATGCAGGCGGAGATGGGGCCGCTGGTGCAGGCGTGGGAGCGGAAATGCGATGCGCTTCAGAAGCAGTGCGAGTCGCTGCAGCAGCGGAAGGGGGAGGGGCGGGAGGAGCGGGACGGGACGGGCGCTGGGCGAAGCGGAGAGGTGAGGACAGCGGATGGAAAGGCGGAGAGTGGAGAGGAGAGTGGGGAGGAGAGTGGATCGGAGAGTGGGAGTGTGGTGGATGAGGAGGGGGGGGAGTCAGAGAAGAGTGAGGTGTTGTCAGGGGACGAGGGGGAAGGGACTATGCTTGTACCCACCAACTCATCGGAAGAGGAAGGTGCGCTTGTTCCCAGCAACACACCTGCGCCATCCCTGGCACCTGTGCTAGAGCAGGAGGTGCAGCTGCTGCAGGAGAGATTCGCGTCGTTGGAACGGGTATACTCCCTGGCGGAGCAGGAGCGCACTGTGCTGCAAGAGAGGAACTCTATAATGGAGCAGGCGCAGTTTGAGTCGGAGCAGGAGCGCGCAGGCCTGCAGCAGGCGCTGTCAGAGAGGGAAGCAAGGCTGGAGGCGTGGGAGAAGAAGGGTGAGGAATTCAGTGCTACGGCTGAAGAGCTGGAGGAGTGGAGGGGAAAGGCAGAAGAGGCAGCAGTGGCAGCAGCAGCAGCTGAAGCGGTCCTCCTTGCTGCGTGCGAGCAGGCAGAGGCGGCTAAGGCCCTGGCAGAGGAGCGAGCTGCTGCTGTTGTTGCTGCTGCCGCTGCTGAGACTGCTGCTGCTGAGGCTGCTGAAGCAGCAGCTAGGGCGGCAATAGTACAGGCAGAGGCAGCAACCGAGGCGGCTAGAGAGGAGGCAACGCGAGCGAAGGACAATGCAAGTGCAGCTGTGGCTGCTGCCGAGACTGCTGCTGCTGAAGCAGTGACTGCTGCGAAGGCAGCTGCTGATGATGCTGTGACTTCTGCCGAAGCTGCTGCTGCTGAAGCCGTTTCTGCTGCCGAGGCTGCTGCATCTGGGGCGCGAGAGGAGGTGGAGGGGCTAAAGAAGCAGTACAGGCAGCTCGTGGACATGAAAGAGGCTGCTTCAGAGGCCGCGCAGGCCATTATAACGCAACAGGGGCAGCTTATAGCGGAGCATGAGGCGCGGATGGCAGAGCTGAGCGCGGAGCTTGAGAGCAGCCGCGCTGCTGCTGGTGAGATGAATAACAGGCTCGAGGGTGCCGTGAGAGAGGTAGCGGAGAGGCAGAGGGAGCTGGGTGAAGCAGGGACAGCAGCAGAGGAGAGGGAGCAGCAATTGAGGGTGCTGCAGGAGCAGCTGCGTGCTGCTATGCAGAGGGAGGAGGAGCTTCAGCAGGAGGTTCTAGAGGTGAAGGCAGCTTTGGAAAGAAGAGTGGCTGATGCTGTAGAAGCGGGGCGAGAGGAAGGGATGAGGGAAGCTGCAGCCGCAGTGGCGGAAGCCGAGGCTAGAGCCACTGCTGCTGCTGAAGCAGTAAAGGTAGCTGAAGCCTTGGCTGCTGATGCGAGGGCAGAGGCGGATGCTGCAAAGGAAAGGTGCGTGGTGCTGCAGAATGAGCTAGAGGCGAGTGAGAGGAGGGCGCAGGAGAGTGCGAGGAGAGTGGAGGAGATGAGGGTGAAGGAGAGAGAGGCGCTAGAGGCGCTGGAGGCGGCAGAGGCGTCTCAGGAGCAAGTGGTGGCTGCTGCTGTGCGTGCCGCCCAAGCTGCCGCCCAAGGAGCTGCAGAGGAAGCAGCAGAAGCCGCAGCGGAGGCAGCAGGCGAGGCTGCACGGCAGCAGCTGGAGAGAGAGCGGGAGGAGAGGAGGAAGGAGGTGGAGGCGGTGAGGGAGCAAGCAGAGGTGAATGCTGCAGCGAGAATCAAAGAGACTGAGGCTGCAGGGGCTGGTGCGGTTGCAAGTGCTGTAGCAGAGGCTGTAGCAGTGCAGGAGGCAGAGGTGGCTGTGTCTGTGGCGGCGGCTGTAGCAGCAGGGGAGGAGCAGGCGGTTGAGGCGTTTAGGAAGGGGTTGGAAGCTGGGAGGAAGGAGGTGATGGGTGAAGCGGAGAAGGAGAGTGAGAAAGTGAGGGAGGAGTGTGCTGTGCTGGAAGCTAGGGTTAGAGAGACTGAGGAGAGGCTGAGAGAGAGTGAGAAGCAGGTGGAGGAGAGTGAGGGGAGGGTTGGGGAGAGGGAGAGGAGGTTAAAGGAGAGTGAGAGAAGGTTGGAGGAGAGCGAAGGGAGGCTGGAGGACTGGAGGAAGATGAGGGAAGCTCAGGAGGAGGCACTGGGAGGGTTGGTGGTAACAGCAGCAGCAGGAGGGGTTACAGCTGCAGTAGCTCCATCAAAGGCTGGATCACGGGCAGCAGATGCAGAAGCACTGAAAGCAGATGCAGCAGCAGCAGGAGCAGCAGACGAGCCTGAGGCCATGGAGGTACCGATAGGGCTGACACCACAGCAGATGGAGGACTTGAGGGCACTACTCGAGGAGAATCGCCAGCTGGACGCTGCCAAGGTGGCAGCAGAGAGGGCTGCTGAGCTGGCGGGCAGTGAGCGTGATGAGCTGGCGGGGCGTGTAAAGGAGCTGGAGAGCCAGCTGGCAGCGCTGATTCAGCAGCAGCAGGATGCAGCAGCAACGGCGCGACAGGAGGGGGCTCTTCGGGGTGAAGATTCTGTAGTGGAAGGGAAAGAGAAGGACGAGACGACTCTCAAGGCGTTTGATGGGCTGTCCACTCGCAGTCTCGCTGGCAGTGATGACAGCAGCAGCAGCGAGGGCAGTCTGGGGGAGGACGCTGTGGAGGGGCAGACGGTAGCAGCAGTGGGTGGTGGTGATGGGGAGGGTGAGAGGGAGGTGGTGGAGGAGAAGGAGCGGAGTGAGCAGGTAGGGGAGCAGCAGGGGATTGGTGAGGAGGCGCGTGAGAAGGAAGCAGAGGAGGTGCCAGAGCAGAAAGAGGAAGAGAAGGTGGTGCAGCAGGAGAAGGAAGATGAGGTGGCGCACGAGGAGGGGGCCTCTGCAGCGGAAGCGGGTGGTGACTTGGAGCAGGTGGTTGTGTTGGAGTCGTATGGCAGTGGCGTTCCCCCTGCCGCCCACCCTGACGTGCAGGAGGCTGGCATGCAGGAGCATCAGGAGGAATCAGAAGCTGCATTGGGGACCAATGCTGTGAGCCAGGCAGATGCAGTGAATCAGGATGGCGCAGCGAACCAGGACAATGCCGTCATTCAGGCAAGTGTAGACGCAAAGGATGCAGCTGAAGCTACTCCTGCTGAAGCTACTCCTGCTGAAGCTACTCCTGCTGAAGCTACTCCTGCTGAAGCTACTCCTGCCGAGTCCACTCCTGCCGAGGCTACTCCTGCCGAGGCTACTCCTGCCAAGGCTACTCCTGCCGAGGCTACTCCTGCCGAAGCTACTCCTGCCAAAGCTACTCCTGCCGAAGCTACTCCTGCTGAAGCTACTCCTGCTGAAGCTGTGCCTGCGGAAGCTGTGCCTGCTGGACCTATGCCCGCTGAACCTGTGTCGGCTGAAGCTGTAGCTTTGTCTACAGGTTTTGGCGATGAAAGTGCTGCCAGCAAGAGTGAGGCATTCACGGTTGTTTATCCTGCCAGCAAGCATGATGCAGACAGCAAGGATGGGCCAGCAGCTGAGTCAAGTGAACCGGGTCCGTTCAGATTCACCAGGGGAGGTGGAACTCCTCAGAAAGGCCGGCGAGGTGGTGGTTATAACCGAGGGGGTAATCGAGGTGGTCGCCGAGGTGGCAAGAATTGGTAGCCCTGCAACTCAGGTACGTGACTGTATTTGAGTGCCGCCGATTTTGTGCATACTGCTGAGGTTTCTAACTTTCATGGGATGTGTTGTTTCGCAGGTTTATTTATTGGAAGACATTTGTGACCCTTCATGGAAATCTGACAGCATCTCTAATTCTTATTTAGTCATAGATTTATGTTTCACTTGCCTGAGGTTTCATGCTAATTGAAACATCCGTCAGTATTTGCTAAGTGTAGACTGATCTAATGTTTCTTCATAATCCTCAATGCAATTGGGCCAAGACGTGGCATCACGGGAAGCCGAGTGCAAATGCCAGTGTGTCGATGACGTGGACCCAGCTCCTCCGCAGCCCCGATAACATCCGCTGAGGATAACAATTTGCGCACACCTCCACCACAACAATCCAATCCCAAGAAAAAAATGCCTTCTCTCTCACCACCACCTCCTGACCAGTAAGGGCTAGACATTGACGGAAAGCTTCAGGGCTTTAGTTTGTCAGGCTTCACTCAAGTTCTACGGATTTTGCTCCTGTTTTCCTCAGGACGTGCTGGTTATGTTCTGTTGAAGAGTTTGCCGCTGCTACTGAGCAGCTTATTAGTGGCATCTGTTGAGAGCAATTAGGGCATGAACATATCTCGGCGCGGGCTTACGAGACTTCTTGTTCTAAGCCACGGCTTGCCATTTCCTGTGATCCGCCAGCTCAACCTTTTCGAATTTTCCGTTCCTGGATTGAGCTTGCCTCAGCTACAATTCGCCACAATGGCGTGTCACGCAGCGGAGGCATTAAGCTTGTCTCTTAGACTACCCGCCATTCCAACCGCCAAGTCGTGCAGATTGCACAAGAAAGCAACGTCTAACGTCTTGGTCCAAGGAAACCGCCTCGATTCGTTTCTTGGAGCTCAGCTTCAATTACGTAATGAACGATTCAGACCGTACGCGTCGGTTTCGTCAGCAATGCCGTCAGTGATTGCCTCTTCCGCGGCTGTTGAGGCCAAGGAAGTTTTCCCGCCGAGTCAATCGAACGACGGTTCCGCGAGAGCGGCTGCTGCTCCTCTTGCCACGTGGAAGGCGAGCATTGACTTTAAGTGGATACGAGAGAATCGAGATTTAATGGAGGCTACTGTGAAGGAACGGCAGTCCAATGCTGACGTGGCTCGTGTCGTGGAGCTTTACGAAGACTTTGTTTCAAAGAATCTGGTAAGAATAAGGTCATTGTAGGTGGAAGCATAAACGGTCATAATCTTTCAGTGCTGCATCTGCTGCTTAAGTAGCTCCCTGGATCTCCAGACTGTTGCTAATTAAACTATCCATCGTGCATGGTCTGCTTGGCATATGCTGCATGGCGTGCCTGCATGCGTGGGTTATCGGCATACTTGCATATCTTCCAGGAGGTGGATCGGCTACGCGCGGAGCGTAACAGAGTGGCGAACGCGATGAAGGCGAAGCTGGTGGCGGAGGAGAGGGCGAGGCTGGTGAGCGAAGGCAAGCACCTCAAGGACGTGCTCGCGGGGCTCGAGGCCGAACTGGGGGAGGTGGCTTCTGAGCTGCAGCGAGAGGGCCAGCGCGTTCCCAACCTGACCCATCCTGACGTGCCACGTGGCGGCGAAGAAGTGGCTGTTACCTTGCGAACGGTGAGTTTCTTGCTGATTGTTCCAATTAAGGGCACCAGATTCTACCTTTTTTTTTTCGTGGATGCTGCTGTTTGACCTTCTCTCACGCCTTCATGCCTTCATGCATTCCCCCTGATCTACCGTACCAGGTGGGCGAGAAGCGCGTGTTCGCCTTTCCCCCAAAGGACCACGTGGAGCTCGGCCTCGCGCTCGACCTCTTCGACTTCGACTCCGCTGCTGAGGTGCGCTGAGCCTGCTCTGATCCTGCTTCGTGAGAATGTTGTAGTGAGAGTCTGCTGGGTTGGAATGGGCTTATGGCGGGGGAATGAAAGGGAATGAGCAAGATGCTACCGGAAGGGGCTATTGGTTCTGTGCGTCGCTCACCTCTGCACTCCCTCCCTCCCTCCCTCCCCTCCCACTTCCCGCTTTCATTCCACCTCCCCGTTCGAGTCTCTCTTCGGCATCTCATCCCTCCCCACTCGCTCGAGAAGCTTAGCCTCTTGATAAGGTCCTATGCTAGTTGACTCCACATAAAGCTCAGCAGTTTGCGCAACGTCTTAACTGGTGCGTTGACCTAGGCTCAAATTCTGTATTCCCCCCTCGCCCTCCGCCCCCTTACCCCCTCCGCCAGGTGAGCGGCGCCAAGTTCTACTATCTGCGCAACGAGGCGGCGCTGCTGGAGATGGCGCTGCTCAATTGGGCGCTCGCGCTGCTCGTGGCGCGAGGCTTCACGCCCGTGTCCACGCCCGACCTCGTGCGCTCGCACGTCGTCGAGCGATGCGGATTCCAGCCGCGCGCCGCCAACACGCAGGTGTACTCAGTGGAGGGGTCGGACTTGTGCTTGGCCGGCACAGCAGAGATTCCTGTGGGCGGCAGCTTCATGGATAAGATTTTGAGCGAATCAGATCTGCCGCAGCGCGTTGTGGCCTTCTCCCACTGCTTCCGCACAGAGGCTGGCGCGGCTGGCTCTGCCACCAGGTAGCGTGGGGCCCAGGGGAGGGGAGAGGTTCGATAGGAGCGCAATGCGTGGGAGGATAAGAGTAGACATTGTGCGGACCAAAATGAGCGTTGTGGCAAGGCATGTGTGTGTGTCGGTTATTTTCCGCTTACTGACGGTCGATCGTTGGTCTTTTCCCATGGCCAACAATCAACAAACAAAATCAAGTAAGCCAGAGCGACCGGGGCTGTGCCTCTCTCCTGCCCCTGAAGCACCTCGCAGTGGCCTCGGGCACTTGCCTGTGGTACACTGTGTGGAGCCCATTTGACGGGGCAGGGTGAGGTGGGCCCAACACCTCCGTTCACCCACTCATTTCCAAGAAATTCTCGCCCATTTTACACGCACATGTTGTGTTTTCACCAGTGAGTTCATGAGTAACGCGGTCTCTATCTTACCCCGCCCTTACCCGTGCGTTCTGCTCCTGCTGCGTCTCTGTCCATACAGGGGGCTGTACCGCGTGCATCAGTTCAGCAAGCTGGAGATGTTTGTGGTGTGCCGCCCGGAGGACAGCGATGCCTTCCACCAGGAGCTCATTGAGATTGAGGAGGAAATGTACACTGCTCTCGGACTACACTTCGTGTACGTGTGTGTGTCGCACTCGGTTAACCTTAGTTGTTCCTGCCTTTGTCTGCTCAATACGTGCTGTTCCACCTTATCCACACCTTGTCCACACCTCGGCTACACCTCGCCCCTCACCTGTCCTCACGAAGCTCATCACGGCATTTTACTCTTGTACACCCCCCCATTGTCTACAGCACCTTGGACATGCCAACAGCGGATCTAGGCGCTCCTGCCTATCGCAAGTTTGACATTGAGGCCTGGATGCCAGGGCTAAACAGATATGGAGAGGTACGTCCGCGGTGGTCATTGTTAATTTTCGCTTCGTGTGGTTGTGCGTTTATACTGGCTGGAATGGTGGAGAGTTTTATCCTAACGCTCACACTTGTTGTCATTTGCAGATCTCTAGTGCGTCAAACTGCACCGACTACCAAGCTCGTCGACTGAATATCAGATATCGCCCTGCATCGAACTCTGGTGATCAGGAGGCAAGCTCTACTAAGCCAGAGAAAGGAAAGAAAGGTGGTAAAGCCAAGCCACCTTTGGCTCCACCACGGTTTGCCCATACATTGAATGCTACTGCCTGTGCAGTTCCACGTCTGATCGTGAGCATTCTAGAAAACTTCCAATCTGAAGATGGTTCTGTAGAGATCCCAGAGGTTTTGAGGCCCTATATGGGTGGTATCTCTGTTATTAGGCGGAAGTGAATATATTGAGGTGCTGCTGACTTGTACATTGCGTTGTTCCTATCGATTTCATTCATCGGGGACGCAACCCACGACAATTCCAACTGGGCTTTCCCTGGTTAGGCGGTTCTTGATTGGTCAAGGCTTACGTGTTTCAGGGACATTTACGCGTCAATCCTTGTTCCCTGCCGGTGCTTTCGAAATTCCGTAGATATTCTTGATACTTTCGCCTTCTGGAACTTGGAGTTGACCGAGCAATCACATCACACGCACGCCGAGTCGCTCCCATGTGGTCCCAGTCTACAGGTCAAATGTTCTGATGCACTCCTTGTAAAGCGCTGGCTGCCGCTCGTTTCAGAACAATGACAAAGTGAAAGCAATCCAACCAATCGTAGCAGCTATTCCCCCTGCCCGAACTTATACCCTTCCCAGCATACCTGACCAATCGAAGGTTACTTGCGGTTGTCGTTCTTGCAGTCATTTCCAGGTCCCATCTCTGCCTCTCCACCGACGTCACAGATTCAAGTTGTGCAAAGAAGCTCCCATTTTCCTTGTTCTGCATCTGTTTGTGTCACCTCTCCAAGCTGCCGCTGACAAGCGATCGCGCCTATTTTCCGCAGTTTGTTTCGCGACTTCCCTCCGAGAATCTTGTACCGTAAAGCAATTTGGTTTCCACAGTTTGTTTCGCGACTTTCCATCAGTGATTTTTTTCAAGCAATTTGGTTTCCCGTAAAGTTGGGATCGGCAGGTTCACGTACAGCCATGGCGGATCCCTCTTCGTCTCGTAGTTCTCCCACAGCTGACATAGGCCTGAAGCATCTCGAATTCGCTAGGCACGCTGTGATAAGCCTGTACATCCTCCTTTTTAAGCTTTACGAGCAGGCTAAGGGAAATTCAGGGTCGCTTAGAACAGGAATTGACAGGGTGGAGAGCATGGTGAGAACCGTGGTTGGCCCTGTGTGGAGTAAGATTGAGGACAAGTCGGACGAAGTACTTCGTTTCGCCGACGAGAAGGTGAGGTCCAATATACCCTTTGACAACATACCCCCTCTTTCCATATTGCGTAAAGTCTAACGGGTCCTTTTGGCGTTCAGGTTGACGTCGCACTGAAGTACGCGGACAGCTACGTCCCCAGAGACTTGGCTTATCGAGCATCTGATTTTGTCCGCACTGTTCCGGTGCGTGCCAAGGAGGCTCTTCACGGCTATCAGGAAAAGGGAGCCATTGGCGCTGCAAAATCCTACTATTACGACTCACTGGAGCCGGTTCTCTCAGCCTACCTTGTCTTCTTGTGGCGCTTGGCGTTGTCCATGCCGCTTGTCCCCCATGTGGTAGAAGCAGCTTACCCCACGGTATTCGCAGCAGCCAGTAAGTACAACAACGTCGTCGCATCGTTTCAAAAATCCGACTTCGCGTATGTGAAGAAGGCTGCTGATGTAGTTCCGCTGGTTCCCGTGGAGAAAGCTGAGAGCTACGTGAAGCTCAGTCTACAGCAGGCTGGAGTGCAGTAGCTGATGTTCATATCCAGACGTGACAGATGATATCTATGCATCTTGTGGAGTAATAGTTTCGTATCTGAATAATACGCAACCTCTGACTAGTTGCGGAATTCTTAGTGGTGCACACTTAGGAGCGTAGGTAACTCCAGTTCGTAGCTGCTGACCAAAATTCTGAGCAGTAATGCACTTTCAGCTATATTCACAAAAATCATTAACACTCATAATTATTACCCAGCTATGCTACACGCCATGGTGGCTTCACCTTGCGGGAATGCCATGTCGGTTCAAAGCCAAGACGGATCAACTCAAAATCGAATCCAGTACGGAAAGAGTTATGCTGACATTTTCAAGACAGGCAGGTTCGCGACTCCGTCCTCCCTCACTGCTCCGCCAGTCACTTGGTTCTTCTGAGTCGTTCCAGCTGATCCCGCAACAGCAGACGCCATGACCTGCCGCGACACAATCTTGCGCACGACGCGGCCGCCGAAGGCGTGGACGAGGATCCAGGGGTGAGAGAGCAGCTTGGCGGCGGAGGGACGTCGGCGCGGGTCGCGGTGCAGCATGCAGCGGAGCAGCCCCTTAGCCTCCGCCGACACCCCCGCCAACGCGCCGCTCGTCAGGTCCAGCGGCGCCTCCAGCACGGCGCGGAACACGCCGTTGTCGTCCGCGCCCCAAAACGGCGGGCTGCCGCTCAGCAGCACGTACAGCACCACGCCCAGCGACCACACGTCCGCCTCCGCGCCGTACTCGCCGCTCAGCACCTCCGGTGCGATGTAGAATGGGGAACCGGCAATGCCGCACGCCCTGGTTTCCCGATCGATCTGCACCGCGAGGCCGAAATCCGCGACTTTCGCGAACAGCTGGGAGGGGTTCTGAGGGGGCGTCGGCGAAGTCCCGGTATGGGACGGCTGTGAGCGGCGGAGGAGAATGTTTTCCGGCTTCAGGTCGCGATGCACAATGCCGCGGGAATGGCAGAACGCAACGGCCGATACAATCTGACGAAAGATCAGCGCGGCCTCTTTCTCTGGTAACCTCTTTCGCCGCACGACTTCATCGAACAATTCGCCGCCTTCGCACAGTTCCATTACGAGATGAATCTCTGATTCATCTTCGAACACTGTTCGAAGCTGCACCACGCCTGGGTGCCCCGCAACGGTCTGCATTATCGCCACTTCGCGCCGCACGTCCTCCCTCGCTGATTCCGTCAGGAGTCGGTCCTTCAGAATGGTCTTGCACGCGAGCACCTCGCCTGTTGCCCTGTTGACGCACCGACGGACGACGCCGAAATGACCAGAGCCGATTGGCTCGTCGCAGAGTGAGAAGTAATCATCGAGGCGCGCCGTGCATTCCGGAAACACGGCGTCGCAGCACGGCGTCGTCGAAGGCTGCGCGGCGTCGCTGGCGTCGTCGAGACGGAGATCGGAGAGAGGCGACGCTAGTGACAACTCGCTGGGACATTTTCGTGGTCGTTTCGCGGGGCTGCTCGTCTGAGTTCTCCTGTACTCCTGTGACCGCTCACCGCATTCTGGAGCCATGGCGTAGTTCCTGGTAGGCAGATTTCCTCGTCTATGCACAGAATTAGCGGCTATCTGGGAGAAATTCTGTTGTAAGAAGGGATGGAGCAGCTGCAATGCCGAGAAGTGAACAGCTGGGCCTGTTTCGGACCAGAAGGGTCCAACAGGGAATACTGTAATGTGGATGTGGAGGAGTGAGGCGGTTGGCAGGGTTATGTAACGAAATGCACGCAGCTGGGAAGAATCATGACTGCTGGATTAGGGAGGCCAGATGCAGGGCTCACTCCCGCTGCTTTACGCGCAAAAGACGATTGAAACGCGGCTTTGTTCCCTACCCAGCTGTGAGACACTCCACCTGTCTTGAAAACACCCTGTTTGAATCAGGGAAAACACGAAGTCCTGAAACGAATTAGGGCTAAACTAAGTCCTGATATATTATCAGTGAAACGGAGTCGTCTTGTTTACATAAAACATAACAATTTATTGTAGGGATATGGATGATATAACATTCTGCGAACCAGTGGTGACCTGACACTCAATTCTAGAAATCTTCATGGGGTGGTTATGGTTTCGACCCTGAATATTTGACTTTCATGCTCTTCCTGTGACGGGAAATACCAATCTGGCGGTGGTGCTTCTGCTGTTCGTGATTTCGCTGCATCCATGCGTGACTGTAAATATATCGCATGCGACACTTTGGCTAGCAAGCGGTGGGACATGTCGTCGACTGGTCCGCATTCCACGACCCAGATTTTTTACGGAGCACCTACGACCTGAAGGACGACGATCCAACCGTGCACAGCTGTCGCGAATGTGGCTTCAAAGGGCCAACGAACTTTGCATACACGTCGTCGACCCTTGTCCTGAATTCCATTCTAGGTTGGCAGATTTTGTGGCAGCCGACCGTCGAACCGGTGGCGCTTGGGGATCCGTGGACGAGAATGCCTCTTCGACTGACATTTCATCATGTGTTTCTCCATCCCATGCGGAAAATCTTCTTGTCGAATAAGATGAACCACAAACAATGCGGTAGATGGATGTCATTGGGTGATATTTCGAACCATATCCCATTGACCGTGAAATGCCTTCCGCGTGGCATTTTCCAGCTCCATGGAGTTCAGATAGGCCCCGCTCCCTCTGGCGGGTATCGCGGAACTTGAAGGACAGACCAGACCAGCCTGCTCGCCCCGCCTAGAGCTGAGGTCTGAAATTCACCACATTCGCGTGCCCGCCATGCTATGGCCAATTGAGGGTGACATGGGTGCAGCGTGATTTGTAGGACGCCTGCGGCTTTCTGACTGGAGGAGAAGATTTTTTGTTGGTGCTGGTCGTGCGTCTCCGTCAAGGCCATGTTGTGCTGTCTTTACCTACCCGGGCGAATGCACGCACGTGACGATGTGCACTCGCACCACAGCATCGCGCACTCCATTGTCAGACTAAGATCTCGTTATAAAGTACAAGTGGTGTTGCCGTAGCACTTTGTTATGCTGTGTTGGTAAACTTGATTGGGCCATTCACCCCTTCGCGTTACATGCAAAACAGACCCCGTGTTCTGTCGAAGACTAAATTACGCTAAATTTTTCTGAAGTGTAGAGAGTCGAAGCTATTATATAGATAGTGAATCTATTCATTCGCAGAAAGTTTGCTGGTTGAATTTCATATTCACGCCAGGTGGACACACCACACATGAACCTGGTTGAGCTGACTGTACAGGTAACGGGTGGGGGCCGATGAAACTTCACTCTTCTGGTTACGGCTGATTTGCCTAGATCTTCTCTCCGTTGTTACTGCTCTGGCCTGCGTTGTAACTCTCAGTGGCCACGTTTGCCCCACTGCGGTGTCAACTACCAGCAATGTGGGGCATCAGAAGTGTCCCCAACGCAGCGCCACGCCACGTGAGCAGCATGAGGGTTGCTTCTCTCGGTCCTTCGCTCCCAGCCCATACATGCACCGCGCTTCATGGCTCCTTTCCTCACCATTCTAGCTAGCATTCTTCATTCTATTCCTGGCACCCGAACATTTTGCCTGATTCACGGTTCACAACTCCTTTGTGATTTACGGGGCCGCCATCGTTTCCGCTCTGCGAGATCGGATAGTGCTGCAAGCTTGTAGATGTGCGATTTTCGGAATCGTTCTGCTTGAACCGGACGCGAGGGAATGCCGCCCACTATCGAAGCGGCCGCAGCTCCCGAGATCGGCAGACTGCTCCCGCCGCGAACCATCGCTCGCCGAGATTTGGCGCCGCATCGATCGGATATTATCAGCCAAGGCAGATCGGATCTGAAGAACGAAGGCAGATCGGATTTGAGTTTAGAGGCTATTGAAGCGGAAGCGAGATTGACCGCACCGGCGGGGAGGATGGCTGTTATGGAGGCAGGCGAGCGGACGGCTGTAGCGGGGCCGGTAGACAGGGCGGGTGAAGGCGCGGTTGTAGCGGATCCAGTACATGGCGACGCGGGCAGGCAGTCAGCCGTCAGTGGAAGGAACGGAGCTGACGAGCCGGCGGAACAGCGAGTTTCCGCAAATCATAGCGCGGATCGCGGCGCGGATCAAGGCGGGGGGGGAGCACGCGCGCTGCAGGAATCGAAGGCGGCAGGGGCGGAGGAGGACGAGCGCAGAGACGACGGACTGAGCTTCTGGCAGCACATGGTCGCAGGGTCCGTCGCAGGTGCGTGTCGCTCAGAGCAGAGTGTCGTAGGCTGCGTCGCGGATCCCGGCCCGAACGCGAGTCCTAGCCTCGGCAGAAGTCGAGCTCGTCGCGCCGCCGATCCCGATTCGTTCATCCGCGCCCCCAGTAACTCGCCATGGCGTCACCAGCCACTCGTTCACATTCTCAATCTCTCGCACAGTGAATTCCGAATCCACCTTGTCTCGTCGTCTCTCTCAGCTCCTCATCTCGGCGCGCCCACCAGGCAAGACAGCTTCGTTGTCTGGCTCTGCCTCATGGAGCACGCGGCATTGTTTCCTTGAGAATGTATTTATACTTGGTAAATTTTCAGAAAAAAAAACTCGCTAGTGCTCCACCTTCCCGCCCGCCAGGCATGGTGGAGCACATGGCGATGTTCCCCGTCGATACCATCAAGACGCGCATGCAAGCGCTCGCCACCACCCCCGGGCCCCCCGTCCCTCCCGCTCCTTCCGCACCCTCCGCCGCCTTCTCCGCCCTCCCGTCCGCATCCCCTTCCGCGATTTCCTCCTTCTCTTCTCTCTCGGCCTCTAGGAGCGTCCCCGCTGCCACGTCATGCGCCTTCCAATCCACGTGTTCCATCGCAAATCCAGCATCAGCAGCAGCGCAGAGCCTGTCACATTCGCCCACAATCAGGAATGCGGTTTCGTCTATCCTTAAAACGGAAGGCGCAGCAGGCTTATATCGGGGAATAGCTGCCATGGGACTGGGGGCCGGTCCTGCCCATGCCGTGTACTTCGCCGTTTACGAAGCGGCGAAAGAGTCGCTACTGAGAAACAGCAGCAGCAGCAGCAGCAGCAGCAGCGCCTCCGATGGTTTCGGGTTTACGCCGGCTTTAGGGGTTTCGCTGCCGCCAGCGGTCGCACATGCGACGGCGGGCGCGCTGGCGACGGTGGCGAGCGACGCGGTGCTGACGCCCATGGACGTGGTGAAGCAGCGCCTGCAGCTAAGGCGTAGCCCTTATGCTGGCGTGGTGGACTGCTGCCGCAAGGTGCGTGGGTAGGTGGGTGGGGCAGTGGGTGGGGCGGTGGGTGGGTGGGGCGGTGGGTGGGGCGGTGGGTGGGGCGGTGGGTGGGTGGGGTGGTGGGTGGGGCGGTGGGTGGGTGGGGCGGTGGGTGGAGGAGGGTGGTTTGTGAAAATTCTCACAAATCTCTCACAAAGGCTGCAGCTGCGGTGCAGCCCGTATGCTGGCATGGTGGAATGCTGCCATAAGGTGGGTGGGGATGAGGGACTGCATTGGATCCAGGCGGGTGGGGGAGGCGTGGGGGGAGAAGGCTAGAGGGGCAAGGCTGGTGGGGAAAAGGGTGGGAAAGGGAAGGTAAGGGGGCGGAGGCTGTGGGGGGATAGGCTGGGGGCAACGCATGCCAGGAAGGGATAGGCACGATAAAGATCGAGAAGCAAAGGCAAATAGTCAACTATTGGAGTGAGAATTAGCAGCTTTCATCTCCCCATTTCCCCATCTCCCCATCTCCCCATCTCCCCATCTCCCCATCTGCACGTGAGTAATGTGCCATCCATGGGTGTCCCCTGCCTCCCCTCCACTCCCCCACCACCACTCCTTTCGCACGACCCTACCGCACGGCCCAGCTGCACGACCCTACCGCACGGCCCAGCTGCACGACCCTACCGCACGGCCCAGCTGCACGACCCTACCGCACGGCCCAGCTGCACGACCCTACCGCACGGCCCAGCTGCACGACCCTACCGCACGGCCCAGCTGCACGACCCTACCGCACGGCCCAGCTGCACGACCCTACCGCACGGCCCAGCTGCACGACCCTACCGCACGGCCCAGCTGCACGACCCTACCGCACGGCCCAGCTGCACGACCCTACCGCACGGCCCAGCTGCACGACCCTACCGCACGGCCCAGCTGCACGACCCTACCGCACGGCCCAGCTGCACGACCCTACCGCACGGCCCAGCTGCACGACCCTACCGCACGGCCCAGCTGCACGACCCTACCGCACGGCCCAGCTGCACGACCCTACCGCACGGCCCAGCTGCACGACCCTACCGCACGGCCCAGCTGCACGACCCTACCGCACGGCCCAGCTGCACGACCCTACCGCACGGCCCAGCTGCACGACCCTACCGCACGGCCCAGCTGCACGACCCTACCGCACGGCCCAGCTGCACGACCCTACCGCACGGCCCAGCTGCACGACCCTACCGCACGGCCCAGCTGCACGACCCTACCGCACGGCCCAGCTGCACGACCCTACCGCACGGCCCAGCTGCACAACCCTATCGCACGGCCCAGCTGCACGACCCCTGTCATGGGCCCTCCCTTCACTGCCGTGTGCACACTCCCGTATCTCCCTATCGCACCACGCTGGTCATGAACGTGCCCTTCACAGCCGTGCTCATCACTAGTGTGCCCCCATGCCCTCTCCACACATTACAGATGCTACAAGAGGAGGGAATTTACTCCTTCTACCGCTCCTACCGCACCACGCTGGTCATGAACGTGCCATTCACAGCTGTGCACTTTGCCACGTACGAGGCCAGCAAGGCGGGCCTGGGGCGGGCGCTACCGGGGGAGGCGTTACCTGGGGAGGGTGTACTGGACGAGGATAGGCTGCTCACCCACGTGCTGGCAGGTGGCGCTGCTGGCGCTCTGGCCAGCGCTGTCACGAACCCTCTTGATGTGGTGAAGACGAGGCTACAATGCCAGGTGTGTTGAAGGGTGCACGGTGGGGAGGGAGGAGGCATTACCGGGGGAGGCGTTACCGGGGGAGGCGTTACCGGGGGAGGCGTTACCTGGGGAGGGCGTGTTGGATGAGGATAGGCTGCTCACTCACGTGCTGGTGGGCGGCGCTGCTGGGGCGCTCGCTAGCGCTGTGACTAACTGACTTGATGTGGTGAAGACGAGGCTGCAGTGCCAGGTGGGTTGAAGGGTGCTCGGGTGGAAATCTTTATTGTTTCGGAAAACCCGGTGCTGCTTGCGCTGTGGCGAGTGCTGTGACCAACCCGCTTGATGTGGTGAAGACGCGCCTCCAGTGCCAGATGGGTTTACGGGTGCTGGTGTGCCCCTGTGCGGGAGTTGTGCTGCTGCCGTACTGCTACAGCCTGAGCGGGTTAGGGAGGTGTCTTGATTGACAAAGCACAAGTGCTGCTGCTGTGTATGCCACTGCACAGGGTGAAGAGCGTGTATGTGAGTGGAGCACCTGCACAGAATGTGCGTAATTGCATCATTGGATAGTGAGGGAGGAGGGGCGGTGATCTGTACTAGATATTTTGTCAATATATACACCCATTACACCCATCAATCCCATGCTGCCCTGCACTCCTCCATTCCTCACAGCCCCCCCTCCTCCTCCCCCTCTCCCGCCCGTTCATGCAGGGAGTGTGTGGGGTGAAGCGGATGCAGAGTGCATCAGTGACAGCAGCGCTGCGCGGCATTGTGAGGGAGGAGGGGTGGGGGGCACTGCTGCGGGGCATGCGAGCCCGCATGCTCTTCCACACCCCCGCTGCTGCTATTGTGTGGTCCACTTATGAAGCTTCCAAGAACCTGCTACGGGACTTGTGAGGGGCGACGGGCACTGCTGAGGGGAACGCGAGCACGAGTGCTTTTCCACACCCCCGCTGCTGCCATTGTCTGGTCAACTTACGAGGCTTCCAAGAACCTGTTGCGGGACTTGTGAACGAGCTGGGGTGTCAGCAGCATTGAGCAGTATAGTGAGCGCGGAAGGGTGGGGGGCGTTGCTGTGGGGTGTGCTCTTCTAAATACCCCCGCTGTTGCCAACGTCTGCTACACATACAGCTTCCAAGAACCTGCTACGGGACTTGTGAGGGGGAGTGGCTGCTCGAAGGGCTGCTGTCACTGTGTTATGCAAATGTAGCACTGTACCACCCTTAGTACGGTAGCTGAGTCAGGAAATGGGAGAACATGAGTGGGTGATTATTCTGTGCTATACTAGGTGGTTGTCAAGAAGCGTGCTGTGCTGCCGTGGTGAAAGTGCTGGCGTTGCGGCACTCTTTTCTTGCTGTTGTGGCCGCAAATGGTACAGCTCACAAGTTGCACAATCCGCCATCCGCCATCCAGAGAATGACCTCATGTCGAGCAACCACTTGCTTGTCTTCTCATGACACATTGGCCAGCCAAACAGCATTGCACCTCCAATCCAAATGGCTCCATCCTGCTTACTACCCACCCACCCATAAGTTATTTCCCCTTGCTGCCCTCCTGCCATGCTACCCTCCCTCTGCTTCTCTCATTGCAACTTATCATCTGGAATAAATGAGCTGCCGGCAGCTGAAAGGTAATCCATGTACTGGGCTGGGCAGTGAGCAGCTTTCGACCATTCTCAAGAGAAAATACAATACCGTATGGCTGCTGCTGGTATTCCTTGATGAATGAGCTCAGCTGGACTGGGCAGCTATCGAGGATTCTCAAAACTAGATCCAAGAGGGCTACTGGTCGTCTTGAATGAGCGAGCTTGCGAGCAGTTGAAAGGTGCTCGTGCTCCGTATAATTTGGCCGGGAACTTGTCCAAGATCCTTCAAAGCACATCCAACACGGCTACTGCTCCTACTGCATGAGTGCATTGCGGTGCAGTTCAGAGGTGCTCAATAGATGAGCTGAACAACTCGGAAAAATCTCAGTACGGTAGCTACTCTATCGGCTACTGGTCGTCTTGAATGAGTGAGTTGCGGGCAGTCGAAAGGTGCTCCGCATAGATGGGCAACTCGAGGAAGAAGGCGAATTTGATGAAGTGAGGCAACATGGCGTACAGACCAGGGGGGAGTGGGATGAGAGGGCTGTGCACACCAGGCAGAGAGACACACATAGAGGCAGCCAGAAGTAGGGGAGAGAGGCAAGCACACAGAAAGGCAAGCACACAGAATGGGCACATACTGAGGTGGGTGCTGGTGTAGCATGCACACATGCGCCAGGGTGCACATTGGTCTTCAGACCGAATAGACTATTTGGACCAAACTGGCATTGGAAGTAATCGCACACACCTGGTGTTGGCACGGTACTGAAGGTAATCTGCCCGCTGGCCAAACTTCTTGTTGGCAGACTCCTGCCATGTGCGCGTGATGGGATTGGTGAGACAGGGATAAGGGGATGCGTGCATGGTGGCAACGGGCATGCATGGAGTGAGACTTGGACAGCCGTTGGAAATGCGAGACTCCGGCGCAAAATGCATGGATCTAGCAATGGATCTATCAATGCAATCATAAACGCAATGATGAAGGCAATCACAAACGAGCGCATGGTGCAAGGCATGCACCTCGAGCAGCGGCATGCCCGAGAGGAAGAGCCAGGATGGCAGCAGTGACCTTTGAGTCGGCTCAAACGTCACCTTGTTGCAATGACACACGACCTGCTGCACGCACCTCGAGCAACGGCATGCCGGAGAGGAAGAGCAGGATGGCAGCAGTGAAGAGTGGACTCACGACCGCTGCCCACTGCCACCCCTGCAGCACTTGCCAGTGTGGTGCCACCACCAACCGTTGGGATGTGGTCAAAGAGAGCCTACGGCACGCACCTCAAGCAGAGGCATGCCGGAGAGGAAGAGCAGGATGGTGGCAGTGAAGAGTGGACTCGCCACTGCCACCCATTGCCACCCCTGCAGCACCGCCGAGCTCACCACCAGCACCCCAACCCACGCTAGGATCTGACCAGGGTTACAAAGGAGTGGGGAAGTTGGGTGGATGTGGGAGGGTGGTGTGGCAGCAAGACTGATGTGCTTCGCACCCTTCTCTTCGAAAACACGTTCCTCACCTAGGCTCGTCTACGTACGCGTTGCCATCTCCCACTCACGTCCCTTGCAAACGCTCACTTGCACCATACGTTATCCCTTCACTCACCTTCCCATACCCAGCCGCCTCACACTCCCTACATACACTCACCTCGCCACAGTAATTGGGGTGGCGCGACCAGCTCCACACGCCCACGTCACACCAGTGGCCGCGGTTGGCAGCATCTGCCTTGAACCGCAGCTTCTGCTGGTCTGCCGCCCCCTCCAGCAGCACGCCTGCCGCCCACAGCGCACACCCCAGCGCGTCTACAGGGCCCAGTGGGGGGTTGCGCGTGACTGTGGCGTTGACGATGGTGACTGGGAGCGACACCACCCACACCCATACAGCCTGATGAGACAAGGAGGGGAAACAGGAGGGGGGGGGATTAGACAGGAAGAGAGTGGCGAGGGCCCAGAGGGGGGTTGCATGCGACTGTGGCGTTGACGATGGTGACTGGGAGGGACACCACCCACACCCACACCGCCTAATGAGACGAGGAGAGGGGTGGGGGGAATTAGATAGGCAGAGATTGAAGGAAGAGAGAGTGTGGAGAGGCCACAGGCAGGAAGAGTGTGGAGAGGCCACAGGCAGGAAGAGTGTGGAGAGGCCACAGGAAGGCAGAGTGTGCCGTGTGTGAGGGTGGTACCTGGAACACCCAGAAGATGGCGAACTGCAGGACGTTGTTGCGCGTCTGATCGAACCTGTGGTCCTCCCCCCATGCAAGAATGCTGACAGGCGCACAGGAAACGGACGGTTGGGTTGGGTTGGAACCGTGAGATTTGGGAGAGAGATAAGTTAGGAGATGATGCAGAGGGTGCAATAGAGAGGAGGACCAGAGTAACGGGACACTAGGAGGAATAATTGGACGAAAGCAGGTGAACACACCGGAAGAGAAGGAAAAGGCCGAGGCGAAGGCCCCAGATGACGACAAGGGATGTCACCAGCACCTGCACAGTCCCAGGCAAGGCGCAAGCGAGAGGTAGGAAACGAGAGCTGGGAAACAATGAGCAGGGGAATCATCGCCTCCTAGCAAGACCCTCCGAAGTTCGTCATTCCAACACTTTCAACAAAGGCGGTAACCCTATGTTTTCGCAAGTACACGAGTCACGACGAGAAGGAATTGGTCTAGAGTACGATACCTGCCGCAAGTACCAGGTTCCGCTGAGGAAGGAGGTGAGGAGTGCGAGGACAATGAAGTTGGTGGTTCCTGAAAACGGCATCGCATGAAAATAACATGTATTGATTTTAATTTACCAGCCAAAAAAGCTACGGAATGTCGGAACGGATGATTGGCCGAGAACGAGCATCTGATGAGCCTGCTGTATTGGCTGTGCTCACCCGCAAAATCTGTGACTTTATCGAACTTGAAGCCAGCAGCAATCACGAAGAATGATAATTGGTACGCGATGGTGACTACAGCGGTGATTGCGAGGCAGTTGGAGTCAGTCACAGCAGCCATGGCGTCTGGGAGCGCACTTGAGACAGCCAAGGATGACAGACGTTTCGAGATGCGGCGATTTCTTGAAGGGCTGAATACTGGAGTGCGAGAGGCTGAATACCGGGAGAAACAACTGATAGAATGAGAAACCGCTGACGGAATACGATGCTGTGAGTCAGTCACGCACTGACGCGGATGAGACCGAAAACGCTTGCTGGAGAAGACGTTTACGCTCTGGTCGCCGATGTTTAATTTACATGCAACATATCGACTTGAATGCTGACATAACGCAGTTATAGTCCTCCCTGTTTGCGTTGTGCCCATCAGCAAGCTCTACGAGGCCAGTTCTGCCATAGAATTCGCGGAATTGCTGGAACTTCGCTTTTGCTCCTGCTGGGATTGCAATTCTGCTTGCTGACGCTGGGAATGAAGCATCCAGCTGGTTTCTCTGCTTGGGGGCAACGTGGAATGTGAAGTGAGTGATGGCGAATTCTAGCGACAAGTAAAAAAGGTTTGAACGAATCAGTTTGAGAAAGCGAGAAAGACAAAGGTGATGCGAAACTACGTTTCGCTTTGGCTTGTTACTCTGCCTCTTCGTGAATCCAGACACCATAAGTCTGTGTCCTGCCACGTGTACCTCACCTCGAAATGCTCGAAGCTCAGAGGGCCACAGAAGTATACGGCTCGTCAGATTGGGGCCGCCACCCGGCCTAACCTGAACCAATCTGAGGCTTGCCAGAGGGCGGACCACAGTTGCGTAGACACCTCGATGTTCGCCAGATCGAATCCGACGGCTCAGATTTCGGACGGACGGATAGCCAACCACATTTCAGTTGCACTCCCTCGCACCACCCGCTTCTGATAGACTATTTCCTGGACTGCCTTCTCAATCTGGACAGAATAGCTTTTACCCACTAGTCCATGGCTGCACTTGGATTCAAGTCTCCATATGATCTTTGAAGCGTGCTTGCTATAGCAAATTACTTAGGTCACGCATTCCCTCATTCTAATGCATGCTCAACGTTACCGCCAAGTAAAGTTCTCGGAGCTCATTAGCTCCAGCCTTGCATCAGCCTTAGATCATCACTCCCAGTACCCTGCATTCAAAGCAATAATTCAACCCCATTAGGACCGTGCGAGGTTCTCATGCCGCCATAGAAGCAACAATGTCAACTGTTCAACCCGCTCGAACCATGAATCATGGTCACTTACCTCTCATTGGAGAATCAAATCGCATCTCCAAGAGCCAGATCACACACATTGTCAATGGTTCCCTCCATCAGCCAGTTTTTGCGCTTCGCCCTGTTCTTAGCGGTTCGGCTAGCAAAGGATTAAAATCCCATTTCTGTCAACTTGTTAAATCTGACTGCAAGGTCAATTCTACAATTCGTCGCCAGTTAGTAAGTACCAGCTTCTTGCACCGTCCGTCTCCTGCATCATTCCCGTCATCCTCGTCGTTTCCAATCCATAATCGTAACAACCGTCGCCAGACTATCATTTGCCAGACAGCAGATGGCAGCAACCACCGCGAGTGGTCACTGGGTGACCAGCAAGGGCCGGGACGAGGTGGAACCGGCGGCGGGGTGTGGGAAATCGAGTCGTATGAAGAGGCGCAGATGGGTTCTGAGACAGGGATAGAGGAGGACAACGGAGCCCTTACGGGATCGCGCACCCGGCGAGAGCAATACAAGTCTTCTGCTCGTGAGGTAGAGGAGAGCGACGGTGCTCGTCCAGCGAGCCACATTTCTACAGATGAGCACTCGACTGACCACGAAGCCGCACCTGGAGTCGAAAACGGCAGCGCTGTGAGCGAGAGAAACTTTTCGGCCGTTGATGATGCCAGTGAAGGAAACGGCGGGGTTCGAGCAAGAATCAGCAGCGAATCTGAGTTAAGGGCCCAGGATGATTCGCGGAATGCCGTGCTACCGGATGAAACGGCGGGTTTTCCGGAGGCGTTTGGGCGGACGATGCGCAGGATTCCAGTGGCGGTTTGGAGGGCGATTGCTGTGCTGCGCGCTGTGCTGCCACGGGGGAGCTGGTGGGACCTGCAGCAGCTGGCTGGGGGGAAAGCAGCACGCGGAAAAGGGGCTAGTGGTGATAGCAGTGGGAAAGGGAGCGGCGGTGGGGATTCGCCAGGCGAGCTGTGGGACGCCATTCGCAAGCTCTGGCGGTTCTGCGCGCCCAACAGGACCATGCTCGTCCTCGCCTCGCTCTGCCTCGCCCTCGCCGCCGTCAGTCCTGCTTCCCCTTTGTGAATGAACCTCCTCCTCTCCTCCCCCACCCCCCTCCGCCTAACACCACGGAATTTCAAGCCAGAGACGCGAGGTGGCATGTGTTATGCATGTTGCCCTTCCCTGTACTCCACCACACCCCTCACGCCTCTCTCCTCCCCCTCATGTCCTTTCATCCCTGCTCTCCATCACCACCACACGGTCTTTCTCCCCCCCCCCACACTGCATCTTCCCCCCCGTCTCTTTTACCATACCCATTCCTTCCAACCTCGTCCCCCCCCCGCATCACTTGGGCCCGCGCCTCTTCTCACATTCGCCCCCAATACCGCTTGATTTTTTGCCTCCTGCTGTCGGAGGTGACCCTTTTCCCTTTTTTCCCCCCCACCAGCGATTGGAAATTCCCTCCTTCTCTCCCCCCACCCTCCTCCTCTCCCTCTCCCTCGCATCGCTTCCACACCCCCACGTCTGTGCGCCACCAGCTGTCGGAGGTGACCATCCCGCACTTCCTGGCGGCCACCATATTCGCCGCGTCCAACGGGCTCAAACCCCAGTTCGACCGCAACGTGCACCTCCTCATCACCATGACTCTCGCCTGCGGACTCTTCAGGTGTGCGTCATGCTCAGGTGTGCATCATGCTCAGGTGTGCGTCATGTTCAGGTGTGCATCATGCTCAGGTGTGCGCAATGCTGTACCCACAGACAACTTAAGCGACACTGACTTGCCTTCCTCTCCCCTGCGCTCGTCTCACTCTTGTCTTTTTCTTCCGAGCAGTGGGCTGAGGGCCGCTTCTTTCACCATCCTCAACCTGCAAATGGTCAGTGCACACTGCCGAGCACCCTAACTCTCACATGCCTGCTTGCCCCTTTCCTTTTAAACAAGCTCATAAGTTCTTTCACCCTCCTCAACCTCCAAATGGTCAGTGCAGACTGCACAACACGCTCCTTTCACATGCCTGCTTGCACTCTAACCCTCACCTGCGATTCCTTAGCCCATCTGTACACCCTTGCGCTCCTCTCCACTCGGTGGTAAATGCGGCTCCCTTCCCACCATCCTAATACGCCACCACATCGCCTTCTTTCACCCCCACCCCTTAACCAATTCTCTCTCTCCCACGGTGTCCAGGTGCGGCGAATGGGGGTGGTGCTATACGAGACACTCATCCGGCAGGACATCTCCTTCCTTCTTTGACTCTGCAAACCCCCCTCCCCTGCTCATGTCCAGGTGCGGCGAATGCGGCTGGCACTATACGAGACGCTGATCCGGCAGGACATTGCCTTCTTTGACGGCCAATCAGTGGGCGACCTCACGTCCCGCCTCGGCTCCGACTGCCAGGCTGCCGGGCACACTGTGGCCATTGATCTCAACATCATGCTGCGCAATGCCTTGCAGGTAGGCAGTGGGAGGGAGGGAGGGAGGGAGGGGACGAGCTATGGGTGCGGGTTAGGCAGTGTGCATCAATGAAAGGGGCACACAGTGGCCATCGACCTCAACATCATGCTGCGCAACGCCTTGCAGGTGGGCAGTGGGAGGGAGGGAGGGGATGGGGTTGGTTGCATGCGAGTTAGGCATGGATGAAAACAGCACACAGTGGCCATTAACCTCAACATCATGCTGCGCAATGCCCTGCACGTGGGGCAGTGGGAGGGGTTTGTCTATGATTGCAGGTTATGCAGTGCGGATCAATGGATCATTCCATGCGCACCGCACGCTCATTCACTGCACCGCACGCTCATACACTGCACCGCACACACATGCGCTGCACCGCACACTCATACGCTGCACCGCACGCTCATATGCTGCACCCCACGCTCATACGCTGCCATGCCCGCTCATACGCTGCATCGCCCGCTCATATGCTGCACCGCCCGCTCATACGCTGCACCGCCCGCTCATACGCTGCACCGCCGGCCCATACGCTGCACCGCACGCTCATATGCTGCACCGCCCGCTCATACGCTGCACCGCCCGCTCATACGCTGCACCGCCCGCTCATACGCTGCACCGCACGCTCATACGCTGCACCGCACGCTCATGCGCTGCACCGCACGCTCATACGCTGCACCGCCCGCTCATACGCTGCACCACCTGCTCATACGCTGCACCGCCCGCTCATACGCTGCACCGCACGCTCATACGCTGCACCGCACGCTCATACGCTGCACCGCACGCTCATACGCTGCACCGCCCGCTCATACGCTGCAAAGCCCACTCATACGCTGCACTGCACGCTCATACGCTGCACCGCACACTCATACGCTGCACCGCCCGCTCATATGCTGCACCGCCCGCTCATATGCTGCACCGCCCGCTCATACGCTGCACCGCCCGCTCATACGCTGCACCGCCCGCTCATACGCTGCACCCCACGCTCATATGCTGCAGTGCCCGCTTATACGCTGCCCCACCCGCTCATACGCTGCCCCGCCCGCTCATACGCTGCCCCGCCCGCTCATACGCTGCCCCGCCCGCTCATACGTTGCACCGCTCGCTCATACGCTGCATCGCACGCTTATACGCTGCACCACCCGCTCGTAAGCTGCACCGTCCGATCATACGCTGCATCAAGTTCAGCATCAGCATCAGGTTCAGCATCAGGATCAGCATCAGGTTCAGCATCAGGTTCAGCATCAGCGTCAGGTTCAGCATCAGCATCAGGATCAGCATCAGCATCAGGTTCAGCATCAGCACTAGGATCAGCATCAGCATCAGGTCCAGCATCAGCATCAGGTTCAGCATCAGGTTCAGCATCAAGTTCAGCATTAGCATCAGGTTCAGCATCTGGTTCAGCATCTGGTTCAGCATCAGGTTCAGCATCTGGTTCAGCATCAGGTTCAGGTTTAGCATCAGCATCTGGTTCAGCATCAGGTTCAACATCAGGTTCAACATTAGAATCAGGTTCAGCATCAGGTTCAGCATCAGGTTCAGCATCAAGTTCAGCATCAGCATCAGGTTCAGCATCAGGTTCAGGTTTAGCATCAGCATCAGGTTCAGCATCAGGTGCATCAGGTTCAGCATCAGTTTCAGCATCAGGTTCAGCTGTCAAGTTACAAAGCCGTAAGTGTTGACTAAGGAGAGTGAAAACAAGCAAGATATATGCGACCTAACCCTAACTCTAGGAAATATGAATGTCACACCTAACATAAACAACACATATAAAATATATGTTGACACACCCCCATAGTCAAGGTGACGGTACCAGAGTCCTGTGAAAAGCAACACAAATCTCATGGTGGGTCTCAAGGACCCACAAAGTCTGAGAGTAAGCAAGGGTCACATGACCAGTCAGCAAGAACAAGCAAGGGTCACAAGATTAATCCACACAAACATGATAAATCTCAGGGTGGAGCTCAAAGTCACCACACAATCCAAGAGCAAGCAAGAGGCCACAAGGCCAGTCCACATGCAGGTATATAGCAAATATAAAGAGATGCAAGAGTACAAGACAAGCAAGACAAAGCATCTCTACGTAAGCAAGTGAGGACGGGCAGGCACAAGGCCAAGCTGGGTGCAGAAACGCTGGTGGTCACAAGACAGCAACGCCTTGGTGAAGATATCTGCCGTGTTGGCCTCAGAGACTACACGTCGTACAAGTGCCTGGCCACGCTGCTGCAACTCACGCAGTCGGGGCTCCTCACACAACAGGACAGCAGACCTGTTGTCGGCGAACAAGACTCGGGGAGAGCGAGGTCTCTCACCAAGGTCAGTGAGAAGGAAAGACAGCCAGCGAAGCTCCTGAGCGGCCATGGCCGCAGCGTACACCTCTGCCTCACAGCTGGAACCGGCAACGGACGACGCCCGAGTCGACCGCAACGAAATAGCACCTGCCCCGAGGCTAAAAGAGTACCCCTGTGTAGACCGACGCGTCTCCGCGTCGTCGGCCCACGACGAGTCCGAGTAACCTGCGAGTGTAACTGGCTGCTTCCCTCCAAGGACAAGTCACCTCACCCGGAATCAGCCGCCCCACCCGGTACTCTCCACCCTGCAGAACCGCACAAAACCGCACAGAACCGCGCAGAACCGCTCTGATACCATGTCAAGTTACAAAACTGTAAGTGTTGACTAAGGAAAGTGAAAACAAGCAAGATATATGCGACCTAACCCTAACTTTAGGAAATATGAATGTCACACCTAGATTAACATAAACAACACATATAAAATATATGTTGACTTCAGCATCCGGTTCAGCATCAGGTTCAGCATCAGGTTCAGCATCAGGTTCAGCATCAGGTTCAGCGTCAGGTTCAGCATCAGGTTTAGCATCAGCATCAGGTTCAGCATCAGGTTCAGCATCAGGTTCAGGTTTAGCATCAGCATCAGGTTCAGCATCAGGTTCAGCATCAGCATCAGGTTCAGCATCAGGTTCAGCATCAGGTTCAGCATCAGGTTCAGCATCAGGTTCACCATCAGGTTCACCATCAGCATCAGGTTCAGCATCAGGTTCAGCATCAGGTTCAGCATCAGGTTCAGCATCAGCATCAGGTTTAGCATCAGGTTCAGCATCAGGTTCAGCATCAGGTTCAGCATCAGGTTCAGCATCAGCATCAGGTTTAGCATCAGGTTCAGCATCAGGTTCAGCATCAGGTTCAGCATCAGGTTCAGCATCAGGTTCAGCATCAGGTTCAGCATCAGGTTCAGCATCAGGTTCAGCATCAGATTCAGCATCAGGTTCAGCATCAGGTTCAGGTTTAGCATCAGCATCAGGTTCAGCATCAGGTTCAGCCTATGTTGGAAAAGTCGCGCCCAGCGTATTATACGCAAGCCTATATACGCTTTCATATAATACCTGATGCGCTGAATGGGTGACTCAAGATTACGTGAAAAATACGCTGCCCGGGCAGGTAAAACTTTTTCCCGGTCAGGCGGCACTAGGAACCTCATAAGTCGCACTCGCGGGAGTGCCAGTGCCAGTAGGGGGCGTCATCGTAGAGCTGCGGGGTGATCGAGAGAACTGGAGAAAGAGAATTGGACGATGTGACTGATGAGAATGTTTAGGGTTGGGAGGGACTTACCTTTTTGTCCTTGATGAGAGTTGAGGTAGGCTGGTTGGAGACATTTGTGTAGCTGAGTTGGAGTCGCGGGGTAACGGACGGTGCAATGCGGTTGATTTGAATGTCCCCTTGCCAAATTTGTGTGTTGGTGGGGTCGACGAAGTGCGAACAATTTGACGTCGCATTTGCAAAATTCGTGCGCACAATGTGTGTCGCGACGCATTTCCCAATTTCGTGCGCTAACTTTTTCTTTTTCTTTTTTGGCCGGGCAGCCCGGATTTTTTCGAACGAGTGTACGTGCGTATTGCGTACAGCGTATATTCGTCTACGTATATACGCTGTACGCATGCCCAGGCTGGCGACTTTTCCAACATAGGGTTCAGCATGAGGTTCAGCATGAGGTTCAGCATGAGGTTCAGTATCAGGTTCGGCATCAGCATCAGGTTCAGCATCAGGTTCAGCATCAGGTTCAGCATCAGGTTCCGCACGCTCATAAACTGCACCGCCAGCTCATACGCTGCACCGCACGCTCGTACGCTGCACCGCACGCTCATGCGCCGCACCGCTCGGTCATACGCTACACCGCACGCTCATGCTCCGCACCGCACGCTCATACGCTGCACCGCACGCTCATACGCTGCACCGCCCGCTCATACGCTGCACCGCACGCTCATATGCTGCACCGCCCGCTCATACGCTGCACCGCCCGCTCATATCCTGCACCGCCCGGTCATGCGCTGCACCGCCCGCTCATATGCTGCACCGCACGGTCATACGCTGCACCGCACGCTCATAAACTGCACCGCACGCTCATTCGCTGCACTGCACGCTGCACCGCACTCTCGTACGCTGCACCGCATGCTCATACGCTGCACCGCACGCTCATACGCTGCACCACACGCTCATACGACGCACCGCACGCTCATACGCCGCACCGCACGCTCGTACGCTGCACCGCCCGCTCATACGCTGCACCGCCAGCTCATACGCTGCACCGCCCGCTCATACGCTGCACCGCACGCTCATACGCTGCACCGCACGCTCATACGCTGCATCGCCCGCTCATACGCTGCACCGCACGCTCATACGTTGCACCGCACGCTCATACGCTGCACCGCACGCTCATACACTGCACCGCCCGCTCATACGCTGCACCGCACGCTCATACGCTGCATCGCCCGCTCATACGCTGCACCGCACGCTCATACACTGCACTGCCCGCTCATACGCTGCACCGCACGCTCATACGCTGCACCGCCTGCTCATACACTGCACCGCACGCTCATTCCTTGCGCACCGCACCTCCTCCCCTCCCCCTCCCCCCCCTCTCCCGCCCCCCTTCCTCCCCCACTCCCCCCCTTCCCCCGCCCATCGCACCTGATTCCACTCGCACCGCACCTCATCCTACTCGCACTCACTCCCACCCACTCATGCCCCCTCAGTCCCCTCACACCCTCGTGTCCCCTCACATCCTCACATCGCTTCTGATCCCCTCTCATGTCACCCGGACGCCCCTTCCACCCCTTTCTTTTCCCCATGCGCAATCCCCCATACCGCCTCCCCCATTCCCTCACCTACCCGCACTCACAGGGCATAGGGGCGTTTGTGTTCCTCATCCGCCTGAGCTGGCAGATGGCACTCGTGACGGCTGCGCTCTGTGGCCTCATGTGGTACCTGCTCATGGTCTATGGCAGGTATGTGGGCTCTTTTCATGGTCAATCCATGGCAGTTCACGTGTAACAGAAACAAGCATTTTCCTGGCGGGCGCCAGAGTTGAATCGCGTCGCCGCTCATTGTCTGAGTTCGCCTGCTTTCACTTGACTACCTTTTCTCTTCCCCCACCTTCCCATGCCATGCCTCCCACCCACCCATCGCCTTCCCTGCCGTGCAGCTTCTCCCGGCGGAGCTCCATGGTGGTGCAGGACACTGTGGCAGCCGCCAACGAGGTGAGCAAACCGGGGCGGGCAGGAATCGGGCAAAGACTTTAGCCGCCTCGAAACGCCTCTTTCAGCGGACCTCCATGGTGGTGCAGGGCAGGACACTGTGGCCGCCGCCCCATGTGGGTGAGAAAAACCCTCCGACTATTCCGTCCCGTTCATGCCATCCACAGGTGACGAATGACATAATCTCGCTCTAGAAAGGGCCAACAGAAAAGCCACCCATCCCCACCCCACCCCTTTCCATGACATCCCCACCCCCCATTGACCCCACCTCAGGTGGCGGAGGAGACTCTGTCTCTCGCCCGAGTGGTGCGGACGTTTGGCACGGAGAGCAAGGAGGTGAAGAGGTGAGGCCGCTCTTTGTGCACTAAGTTGGGTGCCCCGCCTGCAGTCCATCACGTATTGAGTGCACTGTGGATGGATTGCATTCCCTGCCACACTGCATTTCGTCACTCACCGGCCCCTGCTTTCTGAATAGGCTGCTCATTACAGGATTGTGTGCGATGCAGGGGTGCTTTAATCAATTATCAAACTGTGTGTGCATGTGAGTGTGCGTTTATCAGGTACGAGGTGCCTCTTCAGCGCATAGTCAATGTGGGTCTGAGGCGGTCCGTGGCCTATGGCGTGTGGACGTGCACTGGCAACACCATCTACAACACCACGCAGGTATGCTAAGACGCCTGCTCATAAGAACAGAGTCTTTATTGAGACGTGTCAAAGCCCTCACTTCCTCGTCTCCTCTTCCCCTCGCTGGAGTGGCATAGGCATGTGGACGTGCACTGGCAACACCATCTACAACGCCACGCAGGTATGCTAAGACGCCTGCTGATAATAACAGAGTCTTTATTGAGACGTGTCAAAGCCCTCACCTCCTTGTCTCCTCTTCCCCTCGCTGGAGTGGCGTAGGCGTGTGGACGTGCACTGGCAACACCATCTACAACGCCACGCAAGTATGCTAAGACGCCTGCTCATAAGAACAGAGTCTTTATTGAGACGTGTCAAAGCCCTCACTTCCTCGTCTCCTCTTCCCCTCGCTGGAGTGGCATAGGCATGTGGACGTGCACTGGCAACACCATCTACAATGCCACGCAGGTACGCTCTTGGACATCTGGTGAGATGTCTCATCTTAAAGCCCCACAACACCGTCCACAATGCCACGCAGGTAGGTACAGCGAGAGCTATGGCGGGGCGCATGTAAGCTGAGCAGCCGACGCAGTTCATGTTCTAACCACTATGAATGGTGCATGTCATGTGGTGCTACTGCATTCCCGGGTGTTTTTGCAAATTCTTGAAAATACTTCCTCTCCTTCCACTACTCCCTTTCCTCATTCCCCCCACCTGCCACCCCTCAGGTGCTTGCTCTGATCATGGGAGGGGGGGCGGTGATGGCAGGGCGCATAACAGCGGAGCAGCTGACGCAGTTCATTCTGTACGCGGAGTGGGTGGTGCACGCCACGTGGTGGGTGGGCGACCACTGGGCGTCCCTCATGGACTCGGTGGGCGCCTGCCATCGCGTGTTCCAGCTGCTCGACCTGCCGCCCTCAGAGCAGCTCACTCAGAACCATGGTGAGAGGGCTCACACAGGGCCATGTTGGGAGTGCTGCTCACACAGGGGAAGAGTGAGTGGGTGTGCCTCTATGGGAGTCAAGAGTAGAATACGGGCTCCTGTCATCGCATCTTGTCACTACGGCTCTGTTAGGTCCTATGGGCACATGATGCTGCGTGTGGTATCCCTGGGCCTCCCTTATGGACTCTGTTGGCCCGTCCCATCCCATCCCATCACATCACACTGCTACCCTCATCCCACTCAACTCCATCATCACCCTCAACTCCATCATCACCCTCAACTCCATCATCCTCAGTCTTCCCACTCATCCTCCTCATCCCCCTACCCTCGCCTTTCCATCTTCGCCTTGATTGCTCCCCTGCCCCCCGGCCTGGCATCAGGCCGAGTGCTGCCGTCGCTGAAAGGCAAGCTGGAGTTCCGCAATCTCTCCTTCCGCTACCCCACCCGCCCTGAGGTAGCAGAAAGAAATGATTTCTCTAGATGATGTTATCAGCTTCCCTCCCTCCCTGCTAATAACATTTTTCCTTGCTCCACACTCACTGCCTCTCCCTCCCTCTCTTCCCCAACCCATATTTATGTTTGCCATCAACTCCCCTCCTGCACTTACAGTCACCCATGTTGGATCAACCACTGATGTACCCCCCCTCCCCTGCACTGTCCCCTCTATAGGTACAAGTGTTGGATCTCAACGTCAAATGAAAGTAACCACCCCTCCTCCCCTCTCCCCCCCATTCCTCTCTCTGCAGGCACCGGTGTTGGATCACATCAACCTGACCATCCAACCAGGCGAGCTGGTGGCGCTGGTGGGGCTCAGTGGCAGTGGCAAGAGCACTCTAGTAGGGCTGCTGCAACGCCTCTACGAACCCACAGAGGGGCAGGTGAGAGGAGTGGGTGAGAGAAACAACATGCATGCGCTCCGCTCTGCAATGTTGATGGATTTTCGTTAATGGTTTCGTACTGTCTGTCTGTTCACAGGTGCTTATAGACGACGTGCCTCTACCAGAGATTGACATCGCATGGCTGAGAAGCCACATTGGCGTCGTCAGCCAGGTGAGCTCGCCTCTACCCCACTCTCATTTTACTCATCCCCCACTCTCCTTTTACCTTTCCCTGCTTACCTTAAGTTTTCTCTTCTTATTCTCCCACTTTCTTCCTCCTATCACTCCGAAGGCATTTTCTTCATGCAAAGTCAATCACCCCCAAGCAATCAACAAACATGCTCAATCTACACACCACACACTCTGCCTTGCATGTTAATGATGCGCAGAATGAACAAGACCCATCTTTCCACCACTTTTACCATACCTTGCACTCCACTCCCCACTCCTCACTCCCCATTACCCACTCCCCATTCCCCATTCCCCATTCCCCATTCCCCATTCCCCATTCCCGACTCTCTACTCCTCCCTGCCCCACACGGCTCCATCAGGAACCCCGTCTCTTCAGCACAGACGTCGCATCCAACATCGCTTATGGAAGCAGAGAGGAAATTTCCCAAGAAAAAATCACCCGAGCTGCAACCCAGGCCAACGTCCATCAATTTGTTTCAGGGCTGCCCGAGGGCTACGACACAGTGGTGGACAATGCCCGGTTGAGCGGCGGGCAGAAGCAAAGAATAGCGATTGCCCGGGCTTTAGTGCGCGACCCAACCCTGCTGATTCTGGATGAAGCTACAAGTGCTCTGGATGCTGAGAGCGAGCACTACGTACAGGTGAGGGGAGGAGGGGGGAGGGGGGCGTGTGAGAAGAGTGTGGTGTGGAGTGCAGGAAAAATAGTAAGCTGCTGCTTTTTGCTGTGCGGAAGGGGGAAGGCATGGAGTGCGTGCAGGTGAGTGCACTCAGTTCCCCATCCTGCTGCTCACCCTGTTTGTCAAATCTATCAACACTCCGTCACTTTGTGTCTCTCGCCAATGTGAGTGTTCCTGCAGATGGCATTGGACCAGGCCATGCATGACGATTCGGCAATGGGAAGGAGAAAACGGACCATCATTGTGATTGCTCATCGGTATGTTGGATTTCCCCTGCTCATTTACACAGCATTCGCTGCCTGTCATGGTGTTTGCATTCGGCTCTCGTAACGATACCAAGTGTCTGTGGATTGTCACCTCAATCATGCCAAACCCCGTTACGTTAATTTGTGTGTCCATCTGTTTCCCACAATGCCAGGTTATCCACGATTCGCTCCGCAGATAGAATAGTGGTCATGTCCGCAGGCAAGATTGTCGAGGTGAGTAGTAGAGGGTGCTTTTGGGATTTATGTTTGGATACTTGGTTTTACAATTATCTTTACTACCTCGTAATCTACGTCTGTCTTTCAGGTTGGCACGCACCAGCAGCTGATGGATAGGAAAGGGGAGTACATGAGACTGCATTTGCGCCAAATAGAAGCCCTTGCCTGATTATTGCAGAAGTATAATATGTGAATTGTGGTAGGCGTGTACCGGCTCGCTTCTGCTATCGAAGTCGATTCGATAAGGGTGTACGCGAAATCTCCGGCTTGACCCCGCGAGTCAGACAAATTTACCCACCAACCTCACTCCCGTCACTTGCGAAGCAAGTGTACAGTCCGACTTTTGTCGCGACGGTTGTTGCTGTTGCTGCTGATTTGCTGTATGCTGCCTGCACCTGCCCACTGATGCAGCTCACTCGTGCTGTGCTGTATCTGTGGCTTTCGTCGAGTTACCATGTGTATCCAGCATGGAAGTCAACAGTTTCGTCCAACAACGTTCCTCTCACCTCGACTTATCCAACCAACCACCTCGCAACTGACTCTCGCACATCTCACCGAATACGGCAGCTCCTGATTCGGCCGCGAAAATCGACTCCCGTTTTCGTCAGTGTCGCAACATATATGTGGCTTGGGGCTGATTCCAACTCTGCGCATCGTATCTGCGCTTGAGTTGGCTAGAGTTGGCTAGGGAAAATTAGTGTTCTAGAATCTAGGGTGCTTCTCCAGAAAGCGCCGTAATTTTCAGCGTTTGCCAGCATCCACGAGTTACATACGTACGGATGGTGTTAAGGTTTTTTTGCACAGCTCTCGGCGTAAAGCTGACTGCCACGTCACACATATAGCGCACGGCAGACGCGGAACAGTCGGATGGGAATGGGTCGCGAGCAGGGCAACGATCAGGAGCTTATTCTGGGCCTGGGTGTCAGCCACTCCGGCAATGTGCTTATATCGCATAGTTCCAGCTCATTAGCGGATGACTTTAACGAGGTGCTTCGCGAAGCCATCGCCCAAGTACCGCCGCACGTGCGATGGTTCTCCGTCGTAAGTGGATCATGGTAGCGCCATGCCCGTCGCATGATGCGACTCAATCGCTCCACATTCTGCCTCCGTCATTTAAATCTCTCACCGCGTTTCGTTGGCTGTTCGCCTTTACCAGATGGTCGCCCGCCGTTCCGCTGTTCGTTGCTGCCTTCCCCGGGTTCACCACCCCGCCTTCCCCCACCTCACTCCACTCCAATGCTCGCTCTGACCTCACCCTTCCTTTCCCCCAATGCCTTCCGCTTCTCTTCCGCCCTTCCGCCGATGCCCCCAGAGTCACGATCAGCGCATGATCATCCACCTCATTCACCGCAAGCAACCGGGCGCGGAACCGCCACTCGCGGGAGCCTCCGCCTGCGGCGGCGCCACCATCGTCACCGCCGCGGCGCACGAGTGCGCGGATCGGCAGCGCGTTCGCCGCCTGTTACAGTCCCTCCTGGACGAATGCGCCGCGGAGCTGCTGCCGGCGGTTGACGCCGCGGGGGAGGCACAGGCGCAGGCGCACGCCGCGGAGCGCGATGGCGGAGCGGTGCACAACGGAGCGGCAGCAACAGCCGTGGAAGAGCCCAATGTTTTGCTGTCAGAGAGGAAAAAACAACAGCTAGAGAAGCTAGGGCAGCGGCTTAGGTCTTTAATCGCATCGCATAGGGGCGCCGTGCCTCCGCGCCCCGTCCTGATGCTCTACCCCGGCGCGCCCAAGCGCTTCCTAACGCGCGCGCCCGAACCTCCCCCGTGGGAAGGCGGCGCAGGGGAAGCGGCGGATGAGGAGGGGCGGAGGGTGCTGGCGTGCGGGCGCACGCGACTGCAGAAGGAATTGGCGGAGCTGGATGAAAACGAGGATGATGATAACGAGGATGACGCGTTTGTGTTCAATGTGGCGGGGAGAGTGGCAGAGGGGGGAACTCACGGGGGCCTGCGCGGGGCTGCGAATGGGGGCGCTGGGAATGGGGACGCTGGGAATGGGGGAGCTGGGAATGGGGGAGCTGGGAATGGGGGAGCTGGGAATGGGGGAGCTGGGAATGGGGGAGCTGGGAATGGGGGAGCTGGGAATGGGGGAGCTGGGAATGGGGGAGCTGGGAATGGGGGAGCTGGGAATGGGGCTGTTGAGAGGGTGGAGGATGAGCGAAAGACGAGAGAGAAAGCAGCATCCTCTGCAACAGTAGCAGCAGGTGGGGGAGGAAAGAAAGAGCAACCATTGCAGGCACCGGCCAGTGCTGACGCACACGCCCCCTTGCGGCCACCGCAGCCGCAACAGCAGCTGCATGGACAACAAAAGCAGCAACAGAAGCAGCAGCTGGTGCTGCAACCGCAGCAGGAGGAGGGGGAGGAGGGGGGGGAGGAGAAGACAGAACAGCAGGAGCTTGCACAGCCTGGCGCGCAACAAGCAGATTCCGCAGGCGGGTCAGGGTGGACCAGCCCCCTGGCCTCTGCTGATTTCTCCTGGGCTGCACACATGGCACCTGACGGCTTGTTAGGCAGCATTGCCAGTGCTGTGGCAGCAGTTGCTTCAGGTTCCTCCACACCCCCTTCACCCTCACCACAAGGCAACACCAGTACACTCCCCCCTGCCCACCCTGCTCCCTCTACCCCCCCACCTACCCCCACTCCTGGTTCTGCCGCCTTTCCCCCCCGTCCTGCCACTCTCACCACTCCTGCTCCCACCATCACCTCCGCATCTCCCGGCCCAGCCAACCCTAGCGGGCTCTTCCAATCAGGCATCAATGTGATATACGAGTCAGCAGTGGCGTTTTCTACCGAGTATACCAACACGATGCGCACGCTCACACACACCACCAGCGCCACCAACGCCAACTGGTCTACCCAGTTCTCCAACATGGTTACCGCTGCTGCCATCGCTGCCGGCACCCTGGCCAGCGGCCCTGCTGTTTCAGGAGACGTTTCAGGTGCTGCTTCAGGTGGTGCTGCTGGTGATGCTGCGGTGGGCAGCAACAGGGGAGCAAACACCGCCTTTCACGCTGCCAGAGCAGGTCTCGGAGGTGATCCCACTGCACTGGGTAACGCTGGGTTACCTCCGGCACACGGCAGGCCCAGGGATGGGAAGGTGCGGGGGCGGGTGGGTGACGTGGCGCCGTCAGGGCTGACGTGGGAGGAGGAGATTGCGTCCCAGCTGGCGTCTGTGGGCGTGGCTGTGTCGTCCTGGGGCCCGGGGGAAGAGGTGCGGGCGGAGAGGGGAGGAGATGGTGGAGGAGGTGGAGTAGGAGGAGGGGGAAGGGGAGTAGGAGGGAATGGCGAAGCAGCAGCGATGGCTAGTAATGGCGTGTCACTCGCAGCGGCAAAAGTAGGAACAGGAGCGGCATCAGAGAGAGAAAACACTGCACCTCCAGCAGCCCCTTCAGCAGCGTACCCAACAGCAAGGAGTGGTGGCAGCAGGGCGCGGACTCAGAGCATGGTGGGACTGGTGGGGGGAGGCAGGGCAGCAGCGGGAGCCAAAGGAGCAGATGGAGGGGTGGGGGGGCGGGCCACACTAGGCATAAATGTGGGGAGGGCAGGGCACAACAGGGCAGCGTCTGTAGCGGCGTCTGTAGCGGGGGCACCACCGCCGTCCCCAGGGAGTGGGAACAAGTTTGGGGGGTTTGGGCTTGGGAGCTTTTTCTCTAAGGGGTGGAGGAAGGCGTTTAACCTGGAGTGACTGTGAAGGGACCTGCAGGCGGATGGGGTCTCGTTTAGAGTTCTTAATAATTAATTTCAAGGGGTGGGGGCAAGGGCGTTCTATCTGGAGTGACTGTGAAGGGACCACCGGGCGGAGGGGGTACTATAAGCCCTGTGGTAATGGCCATGGTGTGGAGAAGGGTGAGCTATGTGGAGTGGAGTGCTTGTGAAGGGGCCAGTGGGTAGAAGGGGAGATCCCTGAACCCCTGTGACCAACGGGCAGAGAGAAGCATTCAACGCGAAGGGCGTGTAAATTCGGCCACCATCCGTCGGGCCGTTCTGGCGCGAGTACCCATTTGAACCCCTAAGTACCAAGCTGTCACGTACCCGAACCCCTTCGTACCCTAATGGCCGGAAAACCGGCCATAGCAATTTTCGCATGTGTGCGGCGATTTTACACGCCCTAAGGGGTCGACAGCGGGCAGGGAAAATGGCTGCACCACTTTCTTTTTGGGAAAAGCGTGCTGGCCGTGTTACTGGTGTGTGTGCCATACGGTATTTTTGTTAAAATCTGGTTTTTGTGGTTTGACATTTCAAGCACTGGGTTGTGACAACCACAGGAATCCATGATCCATCCTGTTACCGGTATCTGAACGTGAAATTCTTCGCACCATGCACGAGGAGGACTGCAGCTCACACATTGCCCAGTTCACACCCATCACATCACATGCTGGTGTTTCTGCCATCCAGGCAGAAAGGTTTCTTTACGAGTCCCTCAGAATTGCCACATCATCGCACTTGCTCGCATGCATCTCCAACAGCAGCACACACACCAGCCAGCAATGGGCAGCGCTGCTGCAGTCACAGCAGCACATGCCCATCCACGGGGTGCGGTGCTGCTAGCGAGTGTGCAAGCATCATGTCACTAAATCCATCATCATTGGGACTCGGGGGATCAAACTGACTTGACGGATGGCAGCAGGGATGCCATCCAGTGAAGGATAAAAATGAGAGAGAGAAGAGAAGAAGTGGGAGTGTAAGATTTGCACCAATAAGAGGAGAGAGTGTCAGCATGCTGGAATGAACGGCTCAGATGCAGTGCTCCCTTTTGGGATTGCATTGTCGATTTACAGAATGCACTGCCGCACGAGTAATAAACAAATTGGGGGATTGGTAGGTATGCACTGTAACACTGGCACTTAATCACCCTTATTGATTGGCTGTGACCAGGATGCACCGTTGGACACGTCACAGCCACGTGTCACGACAGCAGAACCCGACAGCTTCAGCTGACGTGTCATCATATCAGAACCCCACAGCACTGCGAACCTCATCCACACTGCAACCCTCTCTGAATAAACCGCAAGTCAGGGCCACCTCGCGCAGCTTCTCAGAAACTTCTGGCGCCGGCCAAACCATCCTGGCGACTAGTAGAGCTTCTAGAAACCCTAGGAGGCAACCGACGGCCACGTCGAGAACGAAATGCCGTCCCAGGAACACTCTGGAACCGGCAGTCGCAGCACCCCACACGGCAATCGCTGATATAAGTAACCAAACCCTAAATTCTGCGCTTAAATCGGCTGATAAAGCGGTTGTGAAGCTTTCAGGGAGTAGACGTTGCAGATACGGCGGGATCAGGCGGCCGGGGTTGGCGGGAAGCACATGGCCGAATTCGGCGGAGATGGGTGGGAGGAGGTGGAAGAGGAGCGCTGCGATCATGATGGCACGCGACGCGTGGCCGCTGGGGAAGGACCACTGATCGGGTGCCACGACGATCAGCATCCCGCGATTGTAGTGCGGACGCGGCCGGCGAAACGCGATCTTGAGAATACCGACGACCGCCAGATCGAGTATGCAAGCGAGGAACGTTCCTAGAAAGATCTGACGGATCGTCGCGGTGGTGAAGACAGGAGAAAGCCAGAGCGCGAAGCAGAGAGGGAGGAGGAGGCGGCCATCGCCGGATCGCTCGAGGAGGATCAGGAAAGAGCGGAAGATCGGCAAATGCTCGGTGGCTTTATAGAGGCGGGTCGACACAGCGGTGTCTCGGAGTACTAGCCGCGTCAGAAGACTAGGTACTGACCGATCGGCAGCCATGAAGGGGGAATCTGAGAACAGAACTAATTAGTTGCATAGATACCTACGTACTGACCTGAATTGGGGCGCGTTTCTATCCCGTGTCAGACACGAAGCCAGACACGAAGTTGAGGTTGGGAAGACCCAGGGACTCGGAACGCTGGCAAATTTAGGTCCGGAAGACACAAACCGAGTCACTTTGTGTCTTCCGAAGCTTTGACCTGATGTCTGACACGGGATAGAAACGCGCCTTTGGTAGGCAGGTTCTGGTCGCCAAAATTAGGGTCCTATGGTGTCCGCGTTAAGGTAAGAACCTTTAGCAGGTACAAATCCTACTATGTCACTTTGTTTAATCTGATTTTGCTTTGCTTATTGGATCAATTTTGTGAAGGAAATGGTTTGTTTATCAGCTGTAGGCTGCAACACTGTATTGAGTCTCTCACCTCAGTCGAATATGACCTGCGCTTCGTTTTTCTCTCGCCTTCGAACGATCTACACCAGGTGACATCAACAGATTGCCGCGTCAGCAGCGTTGTTTTGACCCGAAGCTGCATTCGTTCCCAGGTGAAACCCGAGCAGCCGAGTTTGGTCGAAGGGGGAGGAATTTGAAAAGAGACCTGACCTCTGAGAATCCACGCTCGAAGTGGCCTGATTTGTCGTCATCTCCCACCAACAACGTGTTTCTTGTGAGATTCTGTGGCATCAGAAAGTAGTCTCTGTTTGCTTATGCTAGATCCCTTGTACCCTCACATGTTGGTGGTGCGTAAAAACATTGCTGGATTTAGTTGTTAAAGCTTTCGTATACATTTGAAAGTGGGAGTTTCAGAAGTTTAGAAATTTGAAAACTGGTTACCCTATTACAGGTCATTTCCCTCGTCCCACAAGGGAGATGATCCCCCCGACACCCCGCACCATCTCCTCTGACTGCTGGTTCAAAACTTTTGAAACAACGAAAGGATACAAATTACCATGTTTCTCAGAACTAGGCCACTACGCACGATAGGCCGAAAACTACGTAGATAAGCAGATCGCGATTCAACAACCAGCGCAAAGAACCCCGTTTCCGACACAAACAGCGACGTAACTAGACGTATAGAGTCATTACGCGTCCGCACCAACGCCAGTTCCGCCCTCTCACACTCGCCTCTCCCGCATCACACGCGTTCGACATTGAAATAGCACTAGCCGCGCCCGCTAGCTTTCAAACGCGGCATCCCTCCACCTACCACTCTCGTCGCGCCGCATCAAACCGCTGCTTGTGGCCTAGCCGGCGCCGGTTCTAGTCACCTCGCCGAGCCGATCACAACGGACCTCCTTTCATTAGCCTCGCCTCGTTGTCCGTCGCGGCGTCGCATCGCCTCACCTCGCTGCCTCCTCACACCTCCTTGAACACGCACGCTGCATCTGAAACTGCCGAACAGCGGGATCTCGCACGATCACAGTCGCCTCCCGCTCGCGCAGCTTTGTTACCCCGTTTCCGCACTAGCCACGGCAGCCGCACTTGAGGTCGCGACGGACTGCCGAAACGGTCTCCTTGACCAGCCAATTCTTCTCCCCTTCCCAGCGCCTTCCCATCTCCCCTTTTCGCCTCCCTATTTCGCCTGCGTGGCTCCGTATCTCGCGTTAGTGCCTCCGAATTCCCACTTTCTGCCTTCCGATCTCCCTTTCTTGCCTCCCTGTTCCGATCTTCCCTTCCCTCTTTCCCCATTTCCCCTTGCCTTCCCGCATCCCCAATTCCCCTTTCCTCCACCGCAATTCCCCTTCCCGTGTCATGATTACCCCTTCCCGCCTCCCCGGTTTTCCTTCCCGCCGCGCATTTCCCCTTTCCGCCTCCCCGATTCCCATTCCCGCTCCCGGTATCCCCTTCACACATTTGCGTTTCCCCTTCCCGCACCCCATTTCCCCTTCCCGCCTCCCCGTTTCGCATTCCCGCTCTCCCACATTCGCGTTTCCCCTTCACGGTCCCCATTACCCCTTCCCACCTCCCCGTTTCCCCTTCCCGCTCCCCGTTTCCCCTTCCCGCTCCCCGTTTCCCCTTCTCGCTCCCCGTTTCCCCATCCCACCTTCCCGTTTCCCCTTCCCGCTCCCCATTATCCCTCCCCGCCTCCCCGTTTCCCCTTCTCGCCCCCTCGTTTTCCCTACCCGCCTCCCCGTCTCCCTCTCGTTTCTCCACCTTCTCCCTCTCGATTCCCCCCTTCCCCCTCTCGTCTACCCCCCTCCCCCCTCTCATGTCCCACCTTTCTCCTTCTCATTTTTCCCCATTCTCCGTCTCATCCCCCCCCCCCCCCCCCCTTCTCAAGCTCACCTACCCCCTTTCTCCCTCTTAGCTCCTCTCTTCCTACGCCCTGCTTCCCCCTTTACTCTCTCGTCCCTACACCCTTCATTCCCCTCTCCGCTCTCTGCCTTATACCCTTCTACCTCCTTTCCCCTCTCTGTCTTACACCCCTCTTGATTTATTCTCCACTCTGCCTTACTCCCTTCTTCCACCTTTCCCCTCTCTACTCCACACCCTTCTTCTCCCACCATGCGTTCTCCCCCTTATATCCTGCTAAACCCCATTTCCCTCTCTTCCCTACACCCTGCTTCCCCCTCTCTCTTCTCTGCCTTACGCCCTGCTTTCCCCTTTCCCCTATCTTCCCTACACCCTTCTTCCCTCTTTCTACCCGCGCTGCTTCCCTTTTTCCCTATCTCCCTTTCCCTCTTTCACCCTGCTTCTCCCGTACCCTGCGACGTGGTAAGGACGCGAGGCGACACATACGACGTCGTTTCGATTCTGGACGAGCTAGCTGGCGAGCTGGAAGGATTCTGGTAACCACACAACCGTCCGAACGGCTGGACGTCCGGACAAAACAAAGGAAAAATGTCACACGCCCTAAGGGCTGAGGCGCCGCAGCGGGTTCGGCGATAAAGGGCCATGGTGCGCATCGGGTGAGGCGCTAAGTGGGAAAGGCGCGCAGCGGGTGAGGAGCCAAGCGGGAGAGGCCTACCTAGCGAGTGTTGAGAGTGGCGGCGTGGCCAACGCATGAAACGCGCATCCGCTCAGTGAACACGGCCCCTAAATTATCAATCGCGTGACGGCTTACTCGAGTGCGGCGACCCAGCGTCGTGATGCAAACCGCTAGCCTCGGTTCCTCTATCTATGCTTCGGCTGGTGAGTCACTGCAAGGTTGGGTGACGGGGGAGTTTCCCGTGTTTGGAACCCTCAAAGGTGCAAGTTTTCGCAAAACCTCTCGCCACCCTCATTTGGTTTCGTTTGAGCGAATTTTTTTGGGATACTGTGCAACCGTGAACAGTACTTGCAAATGTATACGAAAGCTTTAACGCCGGACCATTTCTAAACCCAGAAGAACATCACGTTAAAAACGATTGCATTCTCTGCTTCTGTGTACACGTACAGTAGCTTGGATCAGGTCCAAGAGCAGCTGTGGACCTCGTTTGACCCTCTTGTCGTCTTTCTCGTCCTCCCCCCGCAGTAGTCGTTGCGATTGTGCGAAATTGATGTGCTCCAGCAATCCTTTTCGCCCACGTTTCCTGCCGTCGCTCTAAACCGCCTTACTGGTCCTGCTACGGCTGGAGAGCACGTCCTTATTCAAAGAACCGAGTTTCATTCCGTAATCCGTTCAGTGAAACCATCTGAGAGAAAAGGCTAAACTTTCACATCATGGCGACGACTAAGACCAAAGCCGCATTCATCTTGCTCCTCTGCATCACAGGCCAAGTTGTTGCAACTCAACCTGCGGGCGTCAACACTGGCGGCGGCACAGACAACCGCTCGTGCCCCATTTTCCAGTGCCAGTCCAAGTCGAAACAGAGTGGCCGCTTCGACTCCGTGAACCCTAAATTCTCCGAGGCCTTCACGTACAGCGCGACCAAGGACCCGAACGAGGAGTGCTGGAAGGTGTGCCAGTATCACAACCAGGGCAACCGGCCCGACCCCGTCGTGTACTGGCAGTACGAGCCCTTCACCGACCCCACCACCGGCGGTAAGCATTCATGTTCCGTGTTTCGCACCGAATCTTGGGTACATTCCTAGCTCCGCAATCTCCGTGTCGTATCTCCCGCTTGCCGGCATCGACGTTCTCAATCTGCGTTTGTCTCCGTCCTTGAATGTTCTCGCTCCGGCGTTATCCGCGCAGGTCTGTGCACATGCTACGGCGAGGAGGTGTGCAAAGACAAACACTTCGTCGACCCTACGAAAGATAACGGCGTGCGCCCCGAATTCATTTACGTCGGCAAGATCTGCCCCGCCAATGGCACCGGCGACCCGCACTTTGTCGGCGCCGACCTGTCGCGCTTCGACTTTAGCGGCCGGCCCGGCGAGGACTACGCGCTCATCTCCGACGCCCACGTGGCAGTCCAGGCTCACTTTGATGGCCGCTGGGGCGAGTGGGAAGGCCGCAACAAGGCGTTGACGTGGATGCGCCAGATCAGCGTTCTGTGGGGGCACCACACTATTGTGTTCGAGGCGCGTCAGGGCTGGGCTGCCGACTACCGTACCGGCTACCTCCAGCGCCTAGTGGTTGATAACGAGGAGGTTAAGCTGGGCGTTCCCGGGTCGCACCTGGAGGCCGCGTCGTTCTTTGACGGGCAGGTTGAGATCAAGTGGGTAGCTGCGAAGAAGCCGGTTAAGGACGACCTTGTTGACGAGTACGAGATTCGCATCAGCGACATTCTCGCCCTGCGACTGACTCTGCGACCGGAGATCGAAATGCTTCGCACGGATGAGGACGGGCTGGTGCACTTCACGGTGGATGTGATGAGCGCCAAGCTGTCGCCCAACGTGCACGGCGTGCTCGGCCAGACCTACCGCCCTGACTTCGCCGGCCGACTGTAAGTCGCTGCGCTTTTTCCCGCTGCTTACTTGCAAACCCGAGCGAGCCCCTTCCGCACCGCTTTTGTAGCTGTAGTTTTCCGCACCCGCCCTGACATTTGTCTCTTTCGTTCTTTTTTGTTGAACGCAGTGAGAAGCAGAAGCTGGTGTACAGCGAGCTGTTCAAGACGTACGTGGTGCCGGGCGACAACGCCGAGGGTTTCATCGACGGAACCGTCGACGACTACAAGTGCTCCGACCTCACCCACTCCGACTGCGCCTTCTGCCGCTTCGTGCGCGCCGAGGGCCTCGACGACGAGACTGCTCTCGCTGTTGAGATGGCGACCGGCGCATCGTCGTCGTTCAGCGACAACGGAAACGCTTACTACCCCCGCAAGGCGCTTATCGGCGCTTTCTAGATGGACACAAGCGCTTGAAGTCCCCCTTAGCGTCTTCTATTCCATTTGATTTGCTTTGGGATTTTGGTTCTCCCTCGTGTATGTAATATAAAATCACGCTGGTTGCGTCCATGCCCACTCCCAGGTTCTTGATGTGAAAACCTTGAAATAAAACCTTGAAAGCCCAATTATTCAATAATTCCCTTCACTAAGGCTTCAGTTGAAAACATTCGTTTCTTCCAGTGGTTCGTTCATTATGGAGCATTTTTTCGCCGCCAAGTGTCCAGCGAAGTGTGACTAGCTCGCAACACCGAACCGAACCATTGACTACCCAAACACACTACTCTACACCACTAATTTACAACTTCGAAAGCAGTCATTCCATCCAGAATTCTTCGCTGCCAGGGAATTTTCCAGCCCTCAAGGCCGGCCAGCCTCCAGCCACTTTCCTACAGCAGCACGGCACGGCACGGCACTGCATTGGGATGGGCAGCCAATTCCTGTTTGCCTAACTCTCGATTCCCGGCTGTTCCATCGGGTGCAGTAGTTGCTCTGAATCAGCCATGGCCGCGCTTCGCGCCGCGTTTCTCGGCGTGCTTGTAGCGGCAGTCGGGTCGTTCGTGTACAACGACCCGCTCGCTCTTCGCCAGCCCGTTGACGTGTCGCCTGTTCCTCTCCCGCCGCGTGCCGTCCCAGCAGCTAGTGACCCTTCGAACCGCCTTGCTTCTGCCGAGATTAAGTAATCTACGATGCGTATTACGATGCCTGAGGAGAGTGCACGCTGATAAGAAACGCTGCCATAGTCTCTCCGTTATTTCTTGAGAAAATATATTGATATTTGAAACAGGATGTCTGGGTCGCCCTCATCTTTTCTTTTTTCCCCAATGTGTGCGGTGACTGTCGCGCTGCGGATGCTGCGAATGGCAGGTACTTGCACGAGGGGATCGGCCCTGAGAGTCTCGCCATCGACACGAGCGGTCGGGGCCCTTACTCCGGCCTGGCAGACGGCCGCGTTGTGCGGCGGAGCGCGGACGGCAGCCAATGGGTGCCCTTCGCTCAGGCCTCCCCGAATCGCACCCCTCAGTTGTGTGACATTCTGCCAAAGTCACATCCCGACCCGTCTAAGGAACCTCTTTGCGGCCGTCCCCTGGGCCTGCGGTTTCACCCTGTAACCGGAGAGCTTTATATCGCGGACGCGTACTATGGGCTGAATCGGGTCGGCTTGAAAGGGGGACTGGCGGAGCAGCTGGTTGGCGGGAAATCGGTGGACGGGCAGAAGGTGTCGTTTGTGAACGACCTAGATATTGACGCGGAGGATGCGAACGGAACAGTGTACTTCACTGTAACGAGCACAAAATACGAAATGAGGTAGGCGCGGCTCTGCTCACTGCATTCCGTGAACTACCTGCTCCACAGCAGGCCCTCCCTTAGAAACCCCCCATCTCACTCTCCACTCCCTCCACCTTCCCACTTCCTCTTACCATTACCTCCCTCGGTGCGAGCCTGGCGCCAAGCCTCCAACATCCTCGCTCCCCCTCCCCCACCCATCTGCCGCCCGGCAGGAACTTCCTCTCCATGATTCTGGACGGCGGGGCGAACGGCGGAGTGTACAAGTATGACGTGGCGACGGGGGAGGTGACGCAGCTGGTGGCGGGAGTGGCCTTCGCCAACGGCATAGCTCTCTCTGCCGATCGCTCCTTTCTCGTGTATTGCGAGACCATCCGAGCCAGGTAGGTTGATTCGCTTGGCATGGAGGCACGTGTTGTGGATGGCATCGAGCTAATGGATAAAGGGCGAATCGTGCAGCACGGCCTGTTACCCCCAGATACCGGCATATACCTCAACATACCTCCATATACCTCCACGTACCTCCATTTGCTTCCAGATGCCTTCATATACCTTTGTATACCTCCTTATGTGTGTGTGTGCGTGCATGTTTGCGGGCATGTGCGCATGCCCACGTGCATGTGCGTGCCGTGCCGTGCAATGTGCATGTGCGTGCATGTGTGCGCCTGTGCATGAGCAGGTGCAACCGGTACTGGCTCACAGGCAGCAAGGCAGGCAGCCACGAGGTGATGGTGGATTTGCCAGGCATGCCTGACAACCCCCGACTCAACCCCCGCGGCCGCTTCTGGATTGCCATGCCTGCCTACCGAACCTCCGCTTATGGTTCGGGAATCCTCTCCCCTGTTCCCCTTTCCCTCTTAATGCTCCTTCCCAGCCACTTCCTGTGCCACCATTCCCCACCGTTGCCGCGATCTTCATCCCCTTGTTATCACCTCAAGCCCCCACGCCCGTCTCCCTCATCCCTCCAACCCCCACTCTCATGCTCTCCCCACCCCACTTTCTCCCCTTACCTCTCCCCACCCCCATCTCCCCCGCCTCCCCAGATTTCCTCGCTCGCACGCCCCGCCTGCGCTCCATCCTCCTCCGCCTCCACCTCCACCCACTCCTCCTCTACGCCGGAATTTTCGGGCTGCCCAACGGGGTTATCGCGGAGGTGGACTCGTCCGGGCAGATCACGGAAATTTTGGAGGACCGGGCGGGGAAGCGGGTGCAGGCGCCAAGTGAGGTGATGGAGAGGGATGGGAAGCTGTGGATCGCGTCTCTCATAGTGCCCCACCTCGCCGTGCTTGACTATTCACCAGGAGGCCCCACTTCTGCCACTGCTTAGCCTGAGCCCAGTTCTGAGACGTCTCAAGGAGGGAGAGGGAAGGGATGGGAAGCTGTGGATCGCGTCTATCATAGTGCCCCACCTAGCTGTGCTGGACTATACACCAGGAGGAGGCGCCGCTGCTGCTGCTTAACCTCTTGAGGCGTCTCATAAGTCGCCGCTGCTGCTTCTTAACCTGAGCCCAGCTTAGGCTGTGCAGGGCTAAGCACCACATCGTGAGACATGTCTGAATTGGACACCTGTGGGGATGGGACACAGTTAAGGATTGCGACTCTCGTAGTGCCCCGCCTGGCTGTGCTGAAGTGTTCACCACAAGGCACCACTGCTGCTTAGCCCAAGCCTAGTTTTGAGATGTCTCCAAGGTGGAGAGGGGTGGAACTCGTGTCGTGCCAGCTGCCCCTCCTGGCTGTGCTGGTCTAGGCACAAGCTGGCAGCACCAATGCTGCTTAGCCCGAGCTTCGTTTTGGAATGTCTCAAAGATTGAGGCAATGTAGGGTATACAGTAGATGCCGTGAACCTTGGTTTGCTTTGAAACTTGGTTTGCCTTGTGCATATTTTTAAGCTTTACTGTGCTGCTGACCTGCAGCTGTTGCCTGCTCGCCTGCTGCTGCTGCTCCTGCTGGGGAAGAGAGTGCTGAACTGGGATTGCCGTAGAGAGAGATGAACTCATTTCACCGCCAGCTCAGCATCACTGCTTATAATGGGGATGTTGCATCCCGCCTCTATTGCACAAGCATGAGTGCACCAAGGTCAGTACTGGAAAAAAAATGCTGCCGATACCGTATCCCACAGCCACATTGACCCTATATTGCACCTACAGCTCTTCTCAGATTACCCTACTTGGCACAAGCACGTAATCGCTCGCGTAAGTGCAACTACACTAATAAAACCCACACTACACTACACCACACTGTAGAGGACTCTGTCCAACCCACACCCCATTCAGCAAGGCAGCAAGCAGGCACGGGCAGTACCCTTTGAAACAATCTGCTGCCTGACCAACATGTGAAATGAGACATCTGAGACAACTCAGAGAACGGGTGGCTTGACTTGTAATTTGAATCAAGCGTCAACTTCACATCTTCACATTACTTTGACTGTGAACAAGCGGTCAAGTGCTGCCATGCTTCCCAGCATCGCAGGGCGCACCATTCCCTCTCGTTCCCCTCTCAGCCGGCCCACCTCCCACTGCCACTGTCAGTGTGCCCCACACAACCCCACCGTACCGCATCCCACCGCAACGTAATACCTCTTCAGACGACTCTAAGCAGGCACAGGCAGGTCTACACCTGCTGCTGTGCCTGCACTTCTGTGGCCGCCCCATCTGCCCCTCCTTCCCCCCCCAACCCGCCCTGCTCCAATGCTGCCCACAGCCCCCAGCTGACCTCACTTGTGGGGCGCCTGGAAATCAGCCCTCGCACCCAGCCCTGCTCCTGTGCTAGCAACTGCTGATAAACCCCCGGCAGACATCTCAAACACTGACCGGCTGCTGCTAAATCTTACTTGTGAGAGTTTTCAAAAGTGACTCCAATATTGCTGGCGACTGCTGATAAATCCCCCGCTGACACCTCTGTCACTGACCGGCTCACCAGCTCACTCTCTCCCCCTCCTCGGCCCTCCCTCACGCCCACACCCCGCCATTCCTGCTCGCCTGCGCCCTCTGCCTCTACCCCTGCCCCCTCCTGTGTCCTGCCACCACCCTCCTCCCCCTCTCCCCCGTTCTGCCGCATTTGATTGGTCAGCGCCTGTACCAGCAGGCCCTCCCTCTCTCGCTCCCGGCCTCGCCCAGTGCCACCAACCCCAGCTATGACATCACCACCATCAGAAGGACCTGCCCCACCAGCCCCGCCAGCCCCACCTGTATCTATGTTTGCAGCCTCAGCTGCTGCACGAGAGCCTGCAGCAGCAGCAGCAGCACCTGCAAGAGCCCTCTCTGTTTCTGCGTCCGCTTGATCCCTACCTGCACCCAAACCCACATCCCCCTCCCTTGCATTTGAATCCACGGCCCCTTCCCCGCCCTCCGCTGCCACTGCTTCTGCTGCTGCTACATTTCCTACCTCTGCAACTGCTGCTACAGCTGCTGAGTCACCTGCTACTGCAGCTGCTGCTAATTCGCCCGCTTCTCCTGCAGCTGGCGCAGGGCTGCGCAAACAGGGCTCCGCTGCGCCCATACGCGCATCCGCACCCGCGCCCGCGCCCGCCATCGTTGCTGCAGCAGCCGCCGCTGTGGCAGCAGCTGCAGCGGCGGCAGCAGCAGGGGACAGCGCGGCTCCCGATCCCAAGCCTGTAGGCCCGGCAGTCCGAGCCTGCGAGTGAAACTTAGCGCTGAGAAAGGTAGCGTCAGCGCTGTCTTTCCACGTGCGCACTGCAGAGGGGTTGCGCGTTGCAGTGCCGGCAGCGGTAGCAGAAGGAAGGGTGGCGGAGGGGGCAGCGGCAGCACTGTTATCACGAGCAGAAGCAGAAGCAGACGCAGAAGCAGCAGCAGCCGGAGCAGCTAGAGAACCCACAACAGCACCTAAACGCCCGACGCCCGTGCCTCCTACATCTCCTGCTGCTGCTCGCGTTGCTCCTGCTGCTGCTCCTCCTGCTCTTCCTCCCGCAATCCCCCCCGCTCCCCCTCCCACTCCCCCCCCTCCTACTGCTGCTGTGCTCGAACCAAACGGACGTGCGGCAGGAGGCAGGTCCTTTCTGGACCCCGGTAGAGTCACAACTGCGGTCTCTCTGCGCCACGACCCCGCGTTACTAGAACTAGCGAACGGATCGAACGGCTGATTGCTGCTGCCCGGCTGAGGGGGAGGCGCGGGGCTGCTGGCGTCATCATAGCACCCGTTTAGCAGGCTCGATAAGAACGAACCGAGTTTCTCTATAGCGGGTTCGTCAGGGTTGGAGAGTGCGGGTCTAAAAGGGTCGTGGCTGCCTTCTCTCGTGCTGTTCGTGCCCCCGCTGCTGTCACCTCCGCCTACAGTCACAGCGTCGCTATCACCGGCGGCGCTGCTTGACCCTTTACCGGTTGAGGGAGGAAGCTTCGTAGGAGAGTTGTCCACCTCGTCAACTATCGCGTAGTTAAACTCTGACTCCTGAAGCCACGCGAGTATCCGCGCGCGACCCGGCGCAGACGCGGCCGCGCTCGACGCCATTGGCACGGGGCGCTGCGTCCCAGGTCCGCTCGCCATCGTAACTGCGCCACCCGCTCCCCCTGCGCCGCCTCCGCCTCCGCCTGCGCCAATGCCTCCGCTTGCGCCCCCGCCCGCCCCCCCGCTCTCCCCCTGATGCGCATACTGCGCGTGATGATGACCCCCCTGTGCGGGGCTGTAATTGTGACCTTGCGCCTGGCCCGTTATAAGCATACCCGATAGAGGCGATAGCGGTAATTTGTCCCCTGTAGCACCAGGTGTTGCGATTCGAGGCTCTGACATGCTATGGACCCCACCGGCCCCGCCAAACCCGCTCCCGCTAACTCCGCTTCCCACCGCGGCAGCATTCGATCCAAACCCCGCACCGGACGCTGCCCCCGGAGTGGACTGGCCTTGATAATTTCGATTCCAATCGCCGGCGACACCCGGCGACCGCTGCGACTCGCGGGGGGTCGCTCCGCGACTCCCGCCGCGACTCGGCGGCGTGCCGACGGGCCTCGCGTCGCCGGCATTCTCGGAACGGATGCTGCGGATCTGCGCGGCGTGAAGCACGGCGACGGACGACATGGCGACGCGGTCGTCCGCCGCCGCCATCTGGCTCGCGAACTCGTGCACGCCCGCGGATGCTCCGGTGGCGGTTGGCGCGGCGTGCTTGCGATTCGCGGGAGCGGGGGGGAGTGACGTGGCGTAGTCGTCGTCATCGTCCGCGGCTCGCGAGCGACAGAAGCAACAGAACATGTTAGTGGACGCGGCGACGCGGGAGAATCGGTGACGTGTTCCGTAAGAAGCGGCGACTGACGCGGCACAATGTCGAGCGTAGCGCGCACACGGGACGCAGGGAGTTCACTAAAACTGAAAACTATTAGCTTGGGGAGCGTGAGCAAGCTAAAATGGAAGGTAAAGAAGGAATGGAGGGTACTTAGCAAACGGGAAGGTGGAGGCGACGAGGAGCGATGTGCTGCACGCGATGAGAGATGGAACTCCAATTCGGAACAATGCTCGCAGCAACTTGCGTTCTGAGTGGAAGAATCGACTTACTGCCGTCAATTGCTGTCAAGACCTAAGCTGCAGGCGGCGTGAATCGTGGCTCGTGAGGGGAAAGGGATGGGAATGGCAAGAAAGCAAAGCGGATCAAGCAAGCAATCAAGCAGGGACAAGGCAATCACAAGTCGAGGCAAGCAGCATGATGATGCATGGCGAGCCATCTATCTCGGCTATAATCCCCATCGATATTGTCCCGACCTGGCGGTCGGGGGATGCCGTGGTTTGGGTGAATCGAGGGCGACAGGGGCCACGCGGGGAGGACAAAGTTGGTGGTTTGATACGCGCGGGCGGGAATGCGCAATTTGCTGGAAATGGCGGAGTGCGGTAGCGAGAGCGGAGTGTGGTGCTTCTGTTTCTGTACTCGTCAACACGGTGAAGACGGATTTATTTTGTGTCTGGTGCTTCGAATACATACAGTAAGTACTTGTAAGTGTGCTCGCTTTCCACTGATTTTGAATAATGGGTGCAATGATTTGCAACGCTTTTGAAAACAAGTTATAAATCCTTCACCGTACAGAAATAAACGCTCAGCTTCAAGCTGCAAAAGCAAGATTCTAAAATTTGTGCTAATCAAGTTTCTACTTGAGGCTCTTCTCAATCTCAATAACGAAGCGGTATTTCACGTCGTTCTTCAACATTCTCTCATACGCCTTGTTCACATCCTGGATGTCAATCTTCTCAATCATAGGTGCAACCCCCTTCTCCGCACAGAACTCCAGCATCTCCTGGGTCTCCTTGATCCCTCCAATCAAACTTCCAGCCACAGTCTTGCGGCCTGGAAGTAGCAAGGGGGAAGTTCAAAATTATCAGCAATCACCAATACCATACATAAGTCACAACCACAGCACAATGGGAAAATCAGCATTACGCGAGTTTAGAGCCCTTGCTTAGAACCAACAAGATATCTCTATTCCAAAATCAATAAATTGATTCCGGCATGGGCAACATGACTCACCGAAAATGAGCTGGCCAGCATGCAGGCCGTAGGGCTCTGGGGGCACGCCAACAAGGATCATCTTGCCATTGAATGTGAGGAGGTCCAGGTATGGTGCCAGGTCATGCTGCGCTGATACAGTGTCCACTATGGCATCCAATGTCCCCACTGCTGCCTGTTGGTGGTGGAAAGAGTGCCGCAGGAAAACTAGTTTTCAGCAAATCCACAGGGCCAACAGAAAAACGAAAATGTAATATCTAGTACACTCGGTTCAAATGTTCCCCACTCTGTCACCCCCATAAGACCTCAAATCCACCTTCTCTCACCTTCATGGTGTCGGCTCTCACCTTCATGGCGTCGGCGTCCTTGGTGACAATGAACTCATCCGCACCCATCACCTCCTTGGCCTCCTTCTCCTTGCTCGGACTCGTGCTCAGCACCGTCACGTGCATGCCAAACGCCTTGCCGAATTTCACCGCCATGTGCCCCAGCCCGCCCAGCCCCACCACTCCCAACCGCTTGCCGGCCTGGTTGATGCCGTAGTAGACCATGGGCGAGTAGACAGTGATTCCCGCGCACAGCAGCGGCGCCGCCACGTCGGACGGCAGCTTGTCGGGGATTGTCAGCACGAAGCTGTGGGTGTCGCGGAAAGTAGTGGGAGTTGGGGCGGGGGAGGGGCACGCGAGGAACTGTCAGGAAGCTAGTCTCGCAAAGTAAGATAGCAGACGAGTTTGTGAGCTTCGCGCATTTGACGCGAATAGCTGGAGCGGCAAGGGCGGGAAACGCCCGTCAAAATCGCGAAGGCCGCGAGTGGATCCGAAGAGACGTACTCCTGGTCGCAGACGTAGAACGAGGAGTAGCCGCCCTGCGTTGACTCGCCCGTCTTGGGGTCCACCTTGTTGTACGTGTACACGCATTGCGGGCAGAACTGTTCCACGTGCTGCACGCATGGCTGGCACGTGCGGCACGAGTCCACCATGCACCCGATGCCCGCCCTCTGCCCCACCGCCACCTTCGTCACCTCGGAGCCCACAGCCTCAACCACCCCCGCGATCTCGTGTCTGTCGCGAAAAAGAAAACGAGGGGGAGAGAGCGGTGCCGGGTTAAAAAAGGCCAGCATGCAGGGAACAGACTATTCCAGAGGAGAAAGATGAAAACCAGGGAACGAGGGAGAGAGAGAAGTAAAGAGCTTTCTTAACATGGGAGAGAAAGAGGGAGAGAAGAAGAGGAAGAGACGAAGCGGACGTACCCTGGAACCATGGGGTACTGCGAGCCGCCCCATTCGTTCTTGACCTGGTGCAGGTCGCTGTGGCAGATGCCGCAGTGCGTGATGCGGATGCGCACGTCCTTGGGCCCCACCTCCCTGCGCGCGACAGAACATAACACAAAGAAGCTTTGAGTTTCTCAAAGGCGAACGCAATGCGTGATACGAATGCGTGTACGAATCAATGGCACGGAACTTACGCCGTTCCACTAAGTTTTTCTTAATTCCAGGATCCAGTAGGTGGTAAGAGAAATGGACTTCAGACACAAGGCACGGATTTGGCGGAAACGCGGGAAAGATATGAATAAAGAGAGGCGAACCTGCGGTTGAACTTGAAGGGCGAAAGGAATCCCGACTGATCCCTGGCGGCATAGCCGATGCAGTTACCCTCTCCGAATTCGGCGGCCATTGCGAACAGCTGGTACGTCGTCGGGAGTATCCGAAAGGAAAGGAAGCTGAAGGTGGATCGAGCGAAGGAGCGTCTAGACAACCGGAGAATGGTGATATGGAAAACATATTTGGATGATTATATATGTGGCGAGCAATGGGAGAAGATGGAATTTCTTGGAGGATTCACCACGCTGATTGCGAATCTGAACCATCGCGAGGTTTGGTGCCACGTTGACACGAGTGGGCCACAAGCATGACGCCAGCAAGTCTGGCAAACAAGCCTGTGTGTGGTTCGCTGACATGGCTGACTCTGCTGTGGTGGCATGCCGAGCGCCCATGCCGAACCTAGATGCGAGCGAACTTGTGAAGAAATTTCTCCCTGCACAAATTGCACAATTGCTGACGTCGCCTGATTCTGTGATACTCGTGATTCGATGTCAGCTGCTTGTTTGAGAGACAAGACAACACCCAAGGTTGTCACGTTTCAAGCATACACCTCACACCTCGTGAATGAGCCTTGCCACATTGGCACGGCTGGGCAGCAGGCCCGGCCAGCAATCAAGGCTCGGTGCGCGAATCTAGAGGTCTGGAGGCTGACATGGCTGCAGTCTGGTGGCGTGGCGTGGCGAGGCACCCAGCCCGAACCTAGATACAGGCGAACGTGTTGAGAAGTTTCTCCCTGCACAGATTGCAGGTTGGTTGACGTCTCTGGGATCTCTCGCGAGTCGGAGTTCGATGTAAAGTGCTCCGACAAAGACCTCTCAATCATACGATGCATTCACATGAAGCAGAGCTTGGCAACTAGTAAAAACTTTGTTCTTCCATGCTTTAGGGTTCACTTCAAACATGCAGATGATGCATCTACTTCAAACATGTATTCCAGCTATTACATCAGAACATGTTTATGTTTCACTTGCCAATACACGGGATCCATGCTGATGTGAACAGGGAACGGCTTCCCCGCCACATCAAGCTCACCATCCCATCCTCTATCTGTAACCCCAGCCCAAGCGGGAACCGTTTCAGCATCTTATGTACACTGTCTATCACTGACGTCGGAATGGTGCACGGTGCAAACCCCATCAGTAACAACCGCTTCCTCCATTGCCCCGCCCTCTCCGACCGCACCACCCGCTCATCCCCTTCACAAGCAATCCCGTTGATAATAGAGCGCGCGAAGTAAATCTCCTCGAAGACCGAGAGCAGGCGCTTGTCGGCGTTCCCGAGGAAGACATCGTGAAACTGGAAGGTGGCGAGGTGGTGGTCGACAATGTCTTGAAAGCGCGGGAGGAAGGCGCTGTGGTTGGTGTCCAAGTCCACGTCACAGAAGGCGAAGAGTGCTGGATGCATGTCGTGGATCCACTGGGAGGGGGAACAGAAAGGGGGCAACGAAAGGGGAGGGGGGGAAGGGAAGATGAGGAGGGGGAGGAAGGCGCTGTGGTTGGTATCGAGGTCACGTTCAGAATGTGAAGCTTGTTGGATGCATGTTATGGATCCACTGGGAGGAAGGGAGGGCACGAACGGTGGGAGGTGGGGGGAGGGGGTGGGGTGGGGAATAGGAAGGGATGGGGAGTGAAGGGGAGGGATAAGGAGGGGTGGGGATGAGGATGGGGAGAGGTGAGTGAGAGATGGCAAAGAGAATGGGGAGAGAAGAAGTGGGAATGGAGCAAGCGGATGGTGGAACAGGAAATGGGTGGGACGGAAGGGAGGGGTTGGGAAATGTGATAAGGCAAGGGGTAGAATGTGCATAATGCAGGTGATGAAAGGATCCAAGAAAGACAGTCTACTGACCCACAGCACACACTGTGAGATGACATGAGCCACTGACCCATTTGGACTGTTGACTATTGACTATTGACTCGCAGGCAGCACGCAGCATGGAAGGATCCAAGTACAACGATTCACTGACCCGCAGCACGCAGTGGCGAGGGCTACTCACCCGCAGCACGCAGTGGCGAGGGCCGTTGGGGGAGTCGGGCAGCAGCAGCAGCTCCAGAGCGCACACCACCACCAGCGTCTCATGCCATTGCCGCTTCACCTGGCAAGGGATGGGAGGGAAGGGCATGGGGGAAGAGAGTGTGGGAGAGGAGCGCGTCGGTGAAGAGAGGGTAGGCGCGGAGGGGCGGGAGGGCAGCAGCAGCAGTAGCTCACTTTTGAGACGTCTCAAAGGACGCACGGCTCCACCAGCGCCTCGTGCCAGCGCCACTCCACATCACATGCGCGGGACAAGAAGGAAGAGGAGAGTTCAGGAACAAAGCACTGTGAAGCTGGGCATTGAGTGAACAGCACCATTCAACCTCACCTGCTGCGGGTCCACCTCAGCTGGTGTAGGGTTCACCTACTACAGGGTTCACCTAGTACAGGGTTCACCTAGTACAGACAGGCAGGCTGATTTGGTGCAGGCGGATCCTCACTTAATAGAGCAGCTGCAGATACCTTCTCATCTCACCTGGTAGAGCAGCTGCAGGTTATCCTCGTCCACATTCACGCTCTCAAACTCAAACGGCACGCCCAGGTGCCGCGCCACGCCGCGCAGCCGCCTCCCCACGTCCTCCATCGCCCTCAGCCTCTTAAAGTCCTTCCTCCCAGCACAAATGAAACTCGCCGTGTCCATGCCAGTGAGTCGCAGCGACGGCGGCCCCCCGGGGCGGGAGGCGAGGAGGTCCATGAGCACGGGCAGGTGGATGGGCTGGAAGCACCCAAAGTCCACTATGTGTACGTGCGTGCTGCCACTCACTGCCTCTGCTACTAGCCCCGCCACCGAGATGCTCGCGAAGAGCGGGAACGGCTGTGACGACGCGTACAGGGTCAGGGCCTCGTCTAGCTCCTGGGACCGGGAGGAGGGGAAGGGGGGAGGGGAAGGTGGGAGGAGAAAGGGGGAGGGAAAGGGGGGAGGAGAAGGGGAAAGGGAAAGGGGGGAGGAGAAGGGGAAAGGGAAAGGGGGGAGGAGAAGGGGAAAGGGAAAGGGGGGAGGAGAAGGGGAAAGGGAAAGGGGGGAGGAGAAGGGGAAAGGGAAAGGGGGGAGGAGAAGGGGAAAGGGAAAGGGGGGAGGAGAAGGGGAAAGGGAAAGGGGGGAGGAGAAGGGGAAAGGGAAAGGGGGGAGGAGAAGGGGAAAGGGAAAGGGGGGAGGAGAAGGGGAAAGGGAAAGGGGGGAGGAGAAGGGGAAAGGGAAAGGGGGGAGGAGAAGGGGAAAGGGAAAGGGGGAGGAGAAGGGGAAAGGGAAAGGGGGGAGGAGAAGGGGAAAGGGAAAGGGGGGAGGAGAAGGGGAAAGGGAAAGGGGGGAGGGAGCGCCAGATTTGAGTAAAGCTTGCGTAACTTGCACCCGCTTTTCACCATGCTTGCTCTGGCTCGCTACAGAGTCACTCATTTCCCAAGAAGAGCATCGTACCAGGGGACGTTTCGTCTGGACCTTCATGTCCTGGGAGGGCGCCTCTTGGGTCCCCGACCCAGCCAAGCGCCTCATAAGGCCCTCGTAAAGTCGGCCGCTGCACTGCACACAGAGAGTGACTTACGACCCTGCTCGGAGTCTCAGAGTGTCTCACCTTGGGAGGGCGCCTAAGAGGCGAGCAGAAGTGTTGGAACCCCGTCCCAGCCATGCGCCTCAACCACCCCTCCACCACACGTAGTGAGTCAACCACTCTACAGCACAGAGTGACTGACTTACCACCCCATGCCTGCATCTCGTACCTTGGGAGGGCGCCTAAGAGGGGTGCAGAAGTGTTGGAACCCTGTCCCAGCCATGCGCCTCATCAGCCCCTCCAACACGTAGTGCGTCAGCCGCTCCACCGCATTTCCTCGCACCTTCCCCAGCGGCTTCAGCTGCACAAACGCCGAGTGAAACCGCCCGGTGTCGCCCGCCTCTGCCGCCTCCGCCATCGCCACCATCTGTGCCCGCGCAAATTTCTCCACTGAGCGAAACTTCCCAGAAACATCCGGGCCTGTAACTTCAACGGATACAGGTCCGGCGGTAGGCCTGGGGAATTCCAAGGCTCCGACCTGCCCCCGAGCCTCCCACCAAGCTGCGGACAGTGCTGCCACTGCAGCGTTGCCTCCTCTTGCTGCATTCTCCCCCATCCCCTTTATAAGTTGATCTGACATACCACTTGCTCCTCCTTCCCAGGCCCCCCAGGGAACCCGACAGCCAGATCCGCTATAGCCAGATTCGTTAAAAGAAACAGCATCCCTATAATCAAGAGAGACTGCTCCTACCCCGTAAAGACCGGAGGTTCGGCGGCGAGACCCCGGGGGCTGCAGCGACTGAAGGTCGTCCAATCCGGTCGCGCCACCTGGCAATGCCTCCAAAAGTTCCCTAGCAACAGCGTAGCTGCTCCCGCCACCACCAGTACCGCTGCCAAACCCAGCAGCACCCCCGGTTCCACCAGCAGCACCACCAATCAACGCACTAGCCCTGGGAAATCCAAAGGAATCCATGCCTCGGACCCTACCGCCCACCACCATCATCTCCCCGCCTGCTGCCCCACCCGAAGCAACCCCCCCCTGTGCCGCTGCCTGCTCCTCCTCTGTACCGCGAGCCCCTGACGCGTCCAAGGAAGTGAGGGCGGGAAAGGCGGCGGCAGAGGCAGAGGGAACGCCGAAGTCCGAGGGAGGGGCAGAGGGAGAGAGGGACGCGGCAGCTGAGGGAGGAGACAAGCGGGAGGCAGATGCAGAGGCGAAGGGCGGGGCGGGCTTGGACTGAATGTCGTTCAGCACGGCCGCCAGGCGAGACGCCAGCGCGGACGGAGGGGCCCTCCGCGCCCTGCTGCTCCTAGACGCAGCTGCTGCAGGCGCAGAAGCCGATGCAGATGCAGAGGCAGGGAGGCTCCTAGAAGACACAGCAGGGCCAGCGCGCGTTCTGGGCGAGGCTTGGTTCGTGCATGCGGGTCTTGCGGGTTCATGGAAGGAGGCGTGGTGGGTCGTGGCGGTGGTGGGAGTACGTGGGAGCGGGTTGGCTGGAGGTGAGCAGGCTGTGGGGGTGGTGGCGACGGCAGGCAGCAGGTTGCGTCCAGGTGGGCTGTGGGTCAGAATGGGGGGATGAGAGCTGGCCGTGGGGGGGGAATGAGACACACCTACCCCAGTCACACCTCCACCCAACACACCTGCCCCTCCCTCACCTGCCCTTGCCCCCGCCACACGTCCCCCCAGCACACCTCCGCCGGACGCCCTTTTCCCCAGCACCCCTCCGCCCTGACCGGACGAGCTTCCTCCAGAGCCCGATGTGGAATGCGATGGTGATGAGAGCGCCGACGCTGACGTGGCAGGGGAATCCGTCGTGGCAGGTGATCCCGAGGCTGTTTCGCAGGCTCGGAAGGCAGGAGGGGGAGGCGCAGCACTGCCAAGTGCCCCACGACTAGCAGCGGCTGAAGCAGCACCAGCAGAGGCAAGAGCAGCAGCAGCAGCAGCAGCAGCAGCAGCAGCCGGCATAGCAGCAGCCGGCATAGCAGCTGTTGGTTGGTCCCGGAGCCTCTTCCCTCCCACTGATGACCGCGCAGGCACTTCCAGTGCTGCACTCGTACTGGCAGCAAAAACACCAGCAGCAGAAGCAGAACGCGAAGTGGTGGCCGTAGCAGCAGCAGCAGCAGCAGCAGCGCGTTGGTTGGTATGCTGTGTCAGCCCCATGGCTTGCGCTTGAAGCGCCCCTCCTGAACTCGCGCCACCACCAGCAGGAGCAGCAGAAGCACCACCACCACCCTCGCCCACCAGAGCCGATCCCCCCAGCAGCTGCTGCAGCAGCTCCCACTCGCCTCCCGCACCCATCCCTCCGCCCCCCACACCCGCCGCGCCTCCCGCGCCCATGCCACCGCTCCTCACACCGCCTGCCACCACCCCAACCCCCTCCAGCCTCCCCGTGGCGTGCACGTCCCACGCTCGCCCCCCCTCGCACAGCACATCACGCCCTCCGCTCGCCCGCGTTGCTGCACCCACCAGAGGGGCACGCGGCGATTCACCCCCCTGAGCCATACGCCCCAGCGATCCACCCCCCTGCATTCCACCCTCCTGCGCCGACAAGCCTTGAATCCCACCATCCCCACAAGATGCACCCAGCGCAGCACCTCTCGTCGCCAGGAAACTTCCAGGCAAAGGCTGGTTCCGCAGCTGAAGCAGGACTTGCTCCCGAGCCTGCCGCCAAGCCACGGAGGCTCGGTCACAGGGGTTGAGAGCGGTGCTGCTGAGCAGGTCGGTTTGCGCTGATGCGGCTTGCAACAGGCCTCCTGCTGCTTGTTCTTGCCGTGCTAAAGCTTGCTGCGCTTGCTGTGTTATCGCTTGTTGTTTTATCGCTTGCTCTGTTAGCGCTTGCTGCGTTACCGCTTGCTGTGTTAGCGCTCGCTGCGTTAGTGCTGGGTGCAGTCGATCATACTGTTGCTGTGTCACCTGCGCCTGCTGCATCTGCCGCTGTTGCTGTTGCAATTGCTGCAGTTGTTGCATCCGCTGATGCTGCTCGTGCTCCTGTTGATGCAGCTGCTGTTGCATCTGCTCCTGCTGTTGGTGCATCAGCATGCGTCCCCGTGGTGAGAGGACATCGTGTGCTTGTCCCTGTAACAGCCGCCGTTGCTGCAAGAGCTGCAGCTGCAGCAACATTCGTTGCTCCTGCTCTTGCTGATGCTGAATTAGCTCCTGCTGCTGCTGCTGCTGCTGCTGCTGCTGCTGCTGCTGCTGCTGCTGCTGCTGAAGTTGGCCGAGATGTTGCAACAGCCGTTGCTGCTGCACCTGCTGCAGCATCTGCGTCGCCAGCGCGGACATATCCTCTTGTCGCTGCCCTTGCTCTTGCTGCTGCTCTCGCTGCCGTTGCTCTTGCTGTTGCTGTTGCTGCTCTTGCTGTTTCTGTCGCTGGTTCTGCTGCTGTAGATCCATCTGTTGTTGTTGCTGCTCTTGTTGGTCTTGCTGCTGCTGCTGCTGCTGATGAAGCAGAATCTGCATCTCCAAGTTCAGCTGCTGCTGCTGAAACTCAAGCTGCTCCGCATCTAATGACGCCAAACCGTCACCCCCCATTCCTGAACTTGTTCCAGAACCTGCTCCCGAACCTAGATCCGAACCTGCGCC